TTTTTTTCCTCAAAATTGGCGCTTTTTTTTAATAAAATAAAAATAAAAAATGCACAGGCGATCAAATACCGAAAGAAAGTTCAATTCGTGGGGGGGGGAAAAAAATACGTAAATTTCATTTGGGTGCAGCGTTGCATGACCGATTTAATTGTCAGTTAAAGTAACGCAGCGACGTAACACAAACCGCTTCCTGACCACCCTATAGCAGAAATACTGCTACAGGGCGGCACGTGTGCACAAAATCACATGCGCACACACACACACGCACGATTCGCGCCCCAGTGGTTTTCACGCCCCTCCCAGATAATGTCAGATTGCCCATCAGTACACCAGTAATCACATTTAACCCCTTGATTGCCAGGAACACGCTAATACACAATAAACCTCCATTTCTAGTATAGTATAATATCTTTGATCAGATCAGCACTATACCAGCGTTCACATTAGTTTAGTGTCCCCAAAAACGCAGCGTTAGCAGGATCAGCCCTTCTCCCCCAGCAAGTGCAGTGTCAGTAGGTCACTGTCATTTGATACATTGCACACAAAACCGCAGTGTTCACAGAATCAGGCCTGATCTCTGTTAGCACTTGTCAGTAAATTTTGATGACTCTCATATGCAGCAGAGTGCCAGTACTAGTGCCACGCCCCCCCCCTTTCTTGAACTGGCGAGCACCAGCGGCCTAGTACATCCTGGTCTTTCACATACCTCTTAGATCCAAGGAGCAGGGCCCTCTTTAATCCTCTTGTATTGAACTGTATTGTTGCTGTATTGTCTCCCGTTATATTGTAAAGCGGTGAGCAAACTGTTGGCGCTATATAAATCCTGTATTATAATATTAATACCAACACTGCAGTATCACTTGGTGACATGGTGAGTACCAAAAGTGCAGTACAAGCTGGTGTGGTGGCGAGCACAAGTATCGTCCCGCAACCACCAAGAATTCGCACAGAGGCCCGTAGAGCCCCTAGTATCCTTCTGGATGTGCTTGGAAATCCCGATTTGCAACCAACAAATTCTGCAGCACCCGTACACCCCCCCCCCCCCCCCCCCCCCCCCCCCCCCCCCCCCCCCCCCCCCCCCCCCCCCCCCCCCCCCCCCATTCACTGCCCAACCCGGAATTCAGGTGGAAACAGCAAATTTAACTACTCCCATTGATTTTTTTGGAACTGTTTTTCAAGGAAGATCTGTATGCATTGATTGTTGATCAAAGCATTTTATATGCACAACAATTTATCGCCGCCAACCCAAATTCAAACCTTGCCAGACCATTCCATTGGAAACCCAATACGGTTCCAAATTAAAAATTTTTTTTGTGGCTAGCCCTCAACATGGGCATTACTAAAAAAAAAATGAATTGCGGTTGTATTGGTCCACAGACCCGATTCATCACATGCCCGTGTTCTCTGCTGCCATGGCCAGGCATAAATATGAGAGTATAATGTGTTTTATGCATTTCAACGACAATACACTCTGTTGTCCTCCAGGTGACCCTGAATTTGACCTGCTCCACAAAATTCAGCCCCTCACAAATCACCTTAACCAAACATTTGCAGATGTCTATACTCTCCAGCAAAACATCTGCGTTGATGAGTCCCTCATTCATTTTTCTGGCTGCCTTGCATTCAAACAGTTCCCCCCAGCAAGCGTGCCAGATATGGGGTCAAGATGTATAAGACCTGTGAGAGGGCAGCAGGCTTTACATATACGTTTTGGATTTACGAGGGAAAAGATAGTCACATTGAGCCCCCCGGATGCCCAGACTACACGGGGAGTAGTGGCAAGATAGTTTGGAACTAGGTGTCATCCTTTTTCCATATGGGGTACCACTTATACGTGGACAATTTTTATTCAAGCGTGCCAGTATTTAGACATTTGTACAATCTTGGAACTGGTGCATGTGGCAAAGTGTGACCTAATGTGTGCCCACCATTAGAAGTGGGTGGATGCAGGGCAGTATATTTTAACCATTTCAATACCGGGCACTTTTGCCCCTTCCTGCCCAGGCCATTTTTCAGGTTTCAGCGCTCTCACACTTTGAATGACAATTGCGCGGTCATACAACATTTTGAAAAAAAAAACCCACGTTTTTCTTTGTTTCTGTTATAAAAGTTTGCAAATAAATAATTGTTCTTCATAAATTTAGGTCAAGATGTATTCTGCTACATGTCTTTGGTGAAAATAACCCAAATTAGGATGTATTTTTTAGTTTGTAGGAAAGTTATAGAGTTCACAAACTATGGTATAGATCTGAAAATTGATCAATCCTGAAGTACTGACAGCTAATCTAATTTCTTGAGGTCCAAGAATGTCAGAACAGTACAGATATCCCCCAAATGACCACTTTTTGCAAAGTAGACAGTCTGACGTACTTCATAAGAGGCACGGCAAGTTTTTTGAAGTATTTTTTTGTCATAATTTTTTGGAAAGTTAAAAAAATTTTCACTATTTTTTTTTACATACTGTCACTAGTGCAGTACAGTGTCATCATATAACTGGCATGGCGGTGATCAGGGACACTGACAGTATGATCTGTAAAATACTCACCATGCTTCTTTTAAAATTCCTTGGGGTGTCTACTTTCCAAAAAGGGGTCATTTGGGGGGTTTGGTGCTATCCTGGCATTTCAAGGCCTTCAAAACTGTGATAGGTAGGAAGTGAAATGAGGATGTTACGCACTTTCAGGCTTTCAAAGTGGTCATTGGATTTCAGGCTCCTGTATGTGACTAGGCTCCCAAAAAGTCTCACACATGTGGTACCCCCATACTCAGTAGAAGTAGCAGAATGTATTTTGGGGTGTAATTCCACATACAGTGGGGATCGAAAATTTGGGCACCCCAGCTAAACATTTGTATTATTGTGCATAAAGAAGCCAAGGAAAGATGGAAAAATCTCCAAAAGGCATCAAATTACAGATTAGACATTCTTATAATATGTCAACAAAAGTTAGATTTTACTTCCATCATTTACACTTTCAAAATAACAGAAAACAAAAAAATGGCGTCTGCAAAAGTTTGGGCACCCTGCAGAATTTATAGCATGCACTGCCCCCTTTGCAAAGCTGAGACCTGCCAGTGTCATGGATTGTTCTCAATCATCGTCTGGGAAGACCAGGTGATGTCAATCTCAAAGGTTTTAAATGCCCAGACTCATTTTACCTTGCCCCAACAATCAGCACCATGGGTTCACCTAAGCAGTTGTCTAGAAAACTGAAACTGAAAATAGTTGACGCTCACAAAGCTGGAGAAGGCTATAAGAAGATAGCAAAGCGTTTTCAGATGTCAATATCCTCTGTTCGGAATGTAATTAAGAAATGGCAGTCATCAGGAACAGTGGAAGTTAAAGCAAGATCTGGAAGACCAAGAAAAATATCAGACAGAACAGCTCGCAGGATTGTGAGAAAAACAATTCAAAACCCACGTTTGACTGCACGATCCCTCCAGAAAGATCTGGCAGACACTGGAGTTGTGGTACACTATTCCACTATAAAGAGATACTTGTACAAATATGGTCTGCAGGGTGCCCAAACTTTTGCAGACGCCATTTTTTTGTTTTCTGTTATTTTGAAAGTGTAAACGATGGAAATAAAATCTAACTTTTGTTGACATATATTATAAGAATGTCTAATCTGTAATTTGATGCCTTTTGGAGATTTTTCCATCTTTCCTTGGCTTCTTTATGCACATTAATACAAATTTTTAGCTGGGGTGCCCAAACTTTCGATCCCCACTGTATACCCATGGCTTGTGCAAGAAATAAATCTTTTAAATGACACACTTTGTGCAAAAAAATAAAACAATAAAATGTTTGTCACTTTCTAGAAACTTGTGGAAAATAAATAAATCTTCCATGGACTCAATATGCCTCTCAGCAGATAGCTTAGGGTTTCTCCTTTCCGAAAAGGGGTCATTTTGGGGTGTTTGTACTGTCCTGGTATTTTAGCACCTCAAGAAATGTGATAAGCAGCCAGAAAGTAAAAGCTGTGTAAGTTCCATTATCTATACCATAGTTTTGTAGACGCTATAACTTTCACACAAAGCAATAAATATACACTTATTGGGATTTTTTTTTACCAAAAACATGTAGCAGAATACATTTTGGCCTAAATTTATGACAAAATTTTAGTTTTTTTGGATATTTTTTATGACCGAAATGAGCAAATAGTTTTTTTTTCAAAACATTTTTTCTTCAAAAATTTTTTGTTTATAGCGCCAAAAATAAAAAGCGAACAGGTGATCAAATACCACCAAAAGAAGGCTCTATTTGTGTGAAAAAAAGGACATAAATTTAATTTATGTACCGAATTGTCCGTTAAACTAGTGCAGCGCTGTATATATAAAAAAAAAAATGGCGTAAATTGCAGTATCTATACCATAGTTTGTAGACGCTATAATGTTCACACAAAGCAATCAATATACACTTATTAGGATTTTTTTTACCAAAAGCATGTAGCAGAATAAATTTTGGCCTAAATTTATAACTTTGAGTTTACTATATATTTTTTGTAGCCGAAAGTAAAAAATATAGTTTTTCTTCAAAATTTTCGGTCTTTTTTTGTTTATAGCGCGAAAAATAAAAAGCACACAGGTGATCAAATACCAGCAAAAGAAAGCTCTATTTGTGTGAAAAAAAAGTATGTAAATTTTTTTTGGGTACAGCATTGCATGACCGCGCAATTATCAGTTGAATTAGTTCAGCGCAGAGTAGCAAAAAGAGGCCTGGTCATTAAGGGGGGTAAATCCTCTGGAGAACAAGTGGTTAATTTCTGAACTTATTTGTTTTGGTTTCTTTGTATGTATGGATTGCATGGGTTGTTACCGACATGTGAACATTTTATGTCCATTTGCACCTTTAGAAATATATTTACTGAGAAAAATGGAGATGTGTTCAATACTTATTTTACCTAATTTTGTAGGGTACCCAGAGCCACCTCAGGCCACATTCTAAAATGTCTCCTTTTTTTGGCACAGTCCCTGACTCATGTTTCTTTCTGATCTATCAGGAATCTATGCAAGGGAGTTCAGATGAAACCGCAAACAGTGGTGAAGATGCCAGCAGTGGGCCAGGGAGTAGCAGTGGGCACAGCGATGGCTCAAGCAATGAGGTCAATTCCAGTCATGCCAGTCAGTCTGCAGGCAGCCCGGGCAGCGAGGTTCATTCAGAGGACATAGCAGATATGGAAGCCTTAAAAGAGGAGGAGGAAGAAGAGGAGCATTCTCACAACCCTTCGAAAAGCAGCAGAGTAGTTGACCTACAGAAGAGAAAATTGGGAGTCGCAAGCGGGTATTTGTTTGGGGGAGCCCCAGGGGACAGCGGATATAGGTGCAACAAGCAATGGCACATGCAAGGACCTGGTTTTTAATTCCGAGTCTGTTCAACCAGGTGATAGTCGCATTCGCATCTTGGATCCCTGCTCCCACTCTGAAGAGCCTGAGCATGATATGACGGGGGAGATGAGTGGCGGCCACATGCAAGGCTCTCATGACACCTGCATCGCCCGCAGCGGAGACTTCCTGGGAGAGACTATCGGGAATGAGCTGTTCAACTGCCGACGGTTTATTGGCCCTCAGCATCACCACCACCATCATCACCACCACCACCACCACCATCACCACCACCACCATGAGGGGTAAGTAATTTTATGATTTTGCTAATTTAAACTTCTTTCTGTACAATCCAAATCAGACACCTCTTTGAGACACATAATGTGCAATTTAATTTTTATCTTAGTGGGGGTTATTGATTACGGTTTCCATCGGTATGTTTTAATGCTGTATGTTAATAATAATAATGGATTAACATCCAGATTTATCACTGTAACATGATATATTTTTTCTTTGTTAAATGTAACTGTTGCTTTGATAGTTTCAAATATATCACCAGGAGAGGCAAGCACAAATCTCTCCTGATTTAAAAATTCATTTTTTCAAAACAAAGCGTGCAGAGATTACATTGTGTGATCATTTAGCAGAATATGTCTCAGTTCTTTCACAAGCATTGTGATTAATGGGGCCAGTACATATTGGCATATCGGGTACCTACAAGTACATACATGGGAGGGGGTACCTGAATTTGACAGGTACCTGCTCCCACTTCCGTTGCGATCGCCTAAGGCGATCGGAAGCGGAAATTGTCGTCCTCATAGTCTCCTGGGACACGTGACAGGTCCCAGAAGACTACGGGACCATTCACAAAGCTCAGTGCTACTCGCACATGCGCTGTCGGCACCGGGCTGTGAAGCCACAAGCTGTCACAGCCAGGTGCCCACACTGAAGATGCTGGTGCTGGGGAGAGCAGATGGCTGGTGAAACTAGCCGTGGTGAGGACACTGCTGGACCGAGCGACAGGTGTCTGTATTTTAAAAGTCAGCAGGTTTTTGTAGCTTCTGACTTTTATTTTTTTTTTAGTTAACCTGGAACTCTGCTTTAAGGTGTCATTCACATGGATACACAGACCTGTATACCGATGAAAAGGGCTGTATTTACTTGCCAAAGAGGTACAGGTAGTCCATGTATTCAGGCTATTCAAATCAATGGCAAGTGGAGAGCTTTGCAGATCTCAAAGTTTATCCCTGAGTGCACATTAGAGAGACTGACTGCTTTTTGAGCAGTGCAACGGTCCTGCTTGGATGTATACTCAGGGATTTGAGTGATAATCTTCCCCTCTGTCTTTACTTTGAACAGAGTAGTTGCACTCTGTTTCAGAGACCACCTGTGCTTTTTAGGTGGGTAAATACAGCCCTCTGCATATGTGTAGTAGTCCTTGCACCCGTGCAAATGAGGCCTTATACTTGGTTGTAAAGTTACCATTGTTGGCTTGCTTGATCAGAGCTTTATTACTGTTAGATCTGACTAACTTATCGTAGCAAGTGAGCATTGCACCAATTTTCCTTCCTTCCAGGCACATGGTAGATGACATGTTGAGTGCAGATGATGTGAGTTGTAGTAGCTCACAAGTAAGTGCTAAGTCTGAGAAAAACATGGCGGACTTTGATGGTGAAGAGTCTGGCTGCGAGGAAGAACTTGTACAGATTAATTCCCATGCTGAGCTAACCTCACATCTTCAGCAGCACCTACCCAATTTAGCTTCTATTTATCATGAACATCTGAGTCAAGGTAAGAGTTGTTCTTTAACACATCACCAGTGTAGTGTTTGCAGGTTTAGATAGTATCATTACACTTGCATGCATGCATGTGATCCGTTTTTAATGCAGAAAACATCAGGAAAGCTGCTAAATACACAGAAGAAATAAATTTATGGGAGCTGTTTTACCTTCCAAAGGGTTTGTATTTGTATCCATATTTTCCTGATACTTTCACAGCCCCATCACACAGTACACAACCAGGTGATAGAGAAATAGAAATTGCCAGCTTTCAGATTGGACAGTGAAGAAGCAGCAAGAAACTGATGAGGGTTATACCGTTGCTCATTCTTTTCTTTTCTCATCTCCTATCTGCATGCCCATTGTCAACACACTTGCATTTGGCACCCCTGATTGGTCCCCAGTCCCCCTCACGCTCCTGTGTGAGTGGTGTGTTATGGGGAACTGCTAGTTAAATTCAGATTTTACACTAGTTGCATGTAAGTTTAACCACTTCTGCTCCAGAGTTTTTTTTTTTTTTTTTTTTTCCATTCTTTGCATACATGTAAAAATCTGCCTTTTTTTTTTTAATTACTTAAAACCCCCAGAACATTATATATATCCATATATCTATTTATTCATCTATCTATCTATCTAAAGTAAAATAAAACAATCGTAGTTGCAGTTTTTTATGTTGCATATTTCTTCAGCTATTTATCAAAAGCATATTTTTAGGAAACATATAAAATGAGGCTTAGAGTACATACACAATATTATACCCAGTTTTTGGTAACATAAAAAAGAGGGGGTTGCGTTGCAAGTAAATACTAGATCTTTGCCTGGGCAGGTATCAGTTCTTTGATAGGTTCTGTTTAAATTTTACATTGTTTTGTTATTTGGGTAACTCAGCTAGGTTATTAATCCTGATGTCAGGAGGAAATGGCTGTAAAAACTGCGGCACCATTTAAAAAAAAAAAAAAAAAAAGTTTTCCTTGCAATAACTTTAATTCCTTTTAATAGATTTAAAAATCATCAGATAATTTATCATAATGCCTTTTGCAGTTTTGCAGGGAAAGTAAAGTTACGACCCTTTCACATCTAACGCAATGGGATGCAGTTGGTTACATTTTGGACTGCACTCCAACTGCATAGAGAGTCCAAAATCCAGACTATCCTGTGGCCATAGATTGCACCATTGCAGTGCAGTGCAATGGAGAAAAGTACAGCATGCTGCATTTTTCCACACTGCAAACGCACTGCAACTCATCACAGTGCACATAAAAGCCCAAGGAAAGAAAAGTGACCTCACAATTGAAATGCAGATAGAAAAGTGCGCATCAACTGCATGTAAAACACGCATCAAATGCATGCATAGGTACAAGGAAGAAATGTGCAGTTACGTGCGGTTTCTGGTGTGAGTAATGTAGTAATGTTGTGCTGCTGTATACACCTTTTTGTTCTCTTTACTCTGTTCTGTTTTTACTTATTATTGGTTGTTCAGGTCCCTCTGTACATAAACACCAGTACAACAGTAATGCGGTGATGGACATCAACTTGGATAACGTATGCAAGAAAGGGAATACTCTCCTGTGGGATCTTGTTCAAGATGAGGATGCTGTGAGTCCATGTGATATCACCAGTCTGAGGACTCTATATGCTCAGACATTGCGTGTAACCAACTCTGTTTATATGCTGTAGGTTCACCTATCTGAGGGTTTAATCAATGAAGCAGAGAAGCTTCTTTGTTCCTTGGTTTGCTGGTTTACAGACAGGCAGATTAGAATGCGTTTCATTGAGGGCTGCTTGGAAAACCTTGCTAATAACAGGTAGGTGAAACACAAATATTTCACATTTATAGCGGTTACATTAACCTCAACGATAATGGTATGATTTATCTCTGCAGAATAAATTGTACAATGTACCTATAGCATAAACGTGTACTGCTCTGGTTTTCTTATTGTACATTTTAGTGCATTATTGTTACAGCTTTTTACGGCACAAAGTGTATTTCTTTCTTATCCATTGAGTGACACAGGAAGTGTAAAAGTAGAACTAAAGACAAAACTTTTTTTCATTTTGCATAGAGTAAAGGAGGTTTATAACCTTTGTCAGGTGTTTTTGCTATCTGTGTTCTATTGGTGAGATTTTCCTTCACTTCCCATCTTGCAGCAAAGACAGGTCCCAGACACCATTTATGAAGCTGGTGCTCAGCTAAGTAATAAAAAAATAATCATTTTAAGGGAACTGGCCCTTTATTGACCTTGGAATAGTACAGCTATTTGCGTTATATCTGTCCTGCAAGTCTTAGGACCAAATCATCACTAACTTGCACTAAAATGTATAGAAAATGGATGCACATTTCCATCCATTTTAGTCACGCACTGACATCCGTTGACATACATTTTGACGTCCGTCGACTTACATTTTTTATGTCAGATGACTTGCATTTTAGTGTGCGTTAAAGCATATTGCATTTCACAGGATATTCTGTGCATTGTGTTGACATCTGCTTACATCCGTTGCATGTTGCATTTTAGCGCAACGCAGGTCATCGCAGCATTATGGTGTGAATAGGACACATTGGAAATTATTGTTTTTCAGATGTCCTTCCATTGATCTGAGTTTTACAGCTGCGCTAACACACAGATCAACGCACTGGTGTGAATTGGCCCTTAATACTTTGTGCATTAGAGATATTTGAGCTTTGAATGCCCCAGTAAAGTGATTTTTTTTTCTTTCTTTTTCTGTCCTTTCTAGGTCTGTTGTTGTGTCTCTAAGACTTTTGCCTAAATTATTTGGGACCTTTCAGCAGTTCGGAAGCAGTTATGATACCCACTGGATCACAATGTAGGTTGTTTTTTTATTATAGTAGAAATAGCCTGATAATAACTACATCTTTGATCACTTCATTAAGTCAGTAGGAATCTATATTAATTTCTCTTAATTTTACTTCTATGATAAAGCCCATTTCCAGGCATAAAAAAATAAAATGATCTCTTGCAGCAAATTGCAAGGGTTCATAGCTTGTTTTGTCTAGTAATTTTACTTGGCTGATCCACTGCTCCATTCCACTACACTTTGACGGTGGACTGTCCCTCAGCATCCAAGTCCAGAGCAGGGGTCTAGTCATGATGTTAGGACTGTAGACTGTTAGAATGCAGGGGTGCTGAGGTTGCAGGGAGCAGCGAGAGGATTGGTTTAAGTGGTTGTAAACACTCAAGGTTTTTTAACTTCATGCATTCTATGCATGAAGGTAAAAAAACCTGCTGTGTGCAGCAGCCCCCCCCCCTCCCATGCTTACCCGAGCCCCATCGCATTCCAGTCATGTCCATGAGACTCTCAGCTCGCAGGGAACACTCCCTTCTCATTGGCTGAGACAGCAGTGGGAGCCGTTGGCTCCGCTGCTGTCAATCACAGCCAGTCAGGAGAGGGGGTCAAGGCTGAGCTACTTTCTTTGGGGTCACTCGGGGGGGGGCAGGAGTGCCAGTGGGGGACCCCCCGAAACAACTGCACAGAGCAGGTGAGTGTGACTTGTTTGTTAGTTTATTTAAACAAAAAGTAAATGCCTTTAATATCACTTAAGTATAATTCCTTGTTTCCCTAGACAACTGAGCAATTAACCGTTGCACAAGCCCCACTGCAAGGATTAATTTCTTATTTGCCCAGAGTTGAGCTTTAAATGTTGTTATATGTCTGTATCACTGTATATTTTTGTTGGGGAAACTCCATCTCCTAAATATTCATATGCATGTGATTTACGTTTGAAGAAAGGCTGGAACCACTTTTCGAGTCTGTCATTGCAGATCAGCTCTGGAATGGGTGATTCTTGGATGTTGCATTTTCCATAAAAATAGAAATCACTTTCAGGCAGAAAGCATTGCCAGTAGTGTCCTCTGGTATTAGCTGGTTGGATTTGGTAAATTTGGATAGGATTTATTGACTGAATATCTTAGTGCATTTCCAGTGCTGACCCTTTTCACTTTATTGGCTAAGGGCAGTTGCAAGAGTATTTCATGCATAGCTTTTTTTTTTCAAAAGGTCTTTTTTTTTTTTTTTTTGCTTCTGTTTTTTTTTTTTTTAATATGAGAGTGGCTCTACTGGATACTTAGATGATGTAATTAAACAGAGGGATCCCCAGTCCAGAAATCTGCAGTTGGATAGTGCAGGCTTTGCCATCTGCTGGCAAAGTTGGAGGTTGCATTGTAACGATACAGCATGATGGTTCTCTGTGGGAAGTATTACTTTTCTGGAGTCAGATCAGGGTGTGGTTTTCAAGGGAGTTTGAGATGTGGGATCACTGGGTGCCTCTACAGAGGATTTACCTTTTTTTGGAAACTCTTTTTTACAATTTGTTGTTTGGACCATTCCTCAACCCAAGTGACTGCTGCTGAGGCCAAGTTTTTTTAAAGCACTGTGGTTATACAACAGCTTATACCTGTGTGGTTGTTCTTTTAAATGTTAACAAAATAAAATGTAATAGATAATTATATGTTAGTGTACAAAACACTAAAATCATAGGCTTTGGGCCATTATATTTTTTTGTAAAATAACTAATTATTGGGATACTTGACAGTTCTGCTTTAAAGTTGTCAAACAAGACATAAACATCAGTTGTTAACAAATACACTGCTAAGTGTTTCCGGTTGTTCTTTATATTTCCACGGTAATTTTTCCTTTTTACAGTATAATGTTTCATGTATAAAACATATAATTTTCTTTTTAGGTGGGCAGAGAAGGAACTCAATATGATGAAGCTTTTCTTTGATAATCTGGTGCACTATATCCAATCAATCCGTGATGGGAGGCACAAACATGTTTTGTAAGTGTGTTAGAAATTAAGTTTTCTAAGAACATTTTAGCTAGACTTGGATATGTTATAAGTATGCCATTGTAATTTATTTTTGTATTTTTATTATCCTATTTGTCATTTTTACTATTACAGGTACAGCCACAGTGCTGAGGTTCAAGTACGGCTTCAGTTTTTGACGTGTGTTTTCTCAACACTGGGATCACCAGACCATTTCCGTATGTGTTTTGAATTATAATGCTTGTATATGACCAGTAATTGTCATGATGAATATTATGATCAGGGCAGAAAGTAAGTGTAGATTCAGATTTTACCATTGTTGCTGAAACAGTTATTAGGGCTGTCCTCCAATAGGTACACTAGGTTCAGTGGTAACTGTTTAAGGGGGAATTACCCCTTGCTTTATGGAAATATCTACTGCCTTTGTTACATGCTTGGCATAGGAAGTTGGGAGGAGGGGGAATCTCCACAGTGCGGGCAAGCTTGACAACTCTGAAGTCTGACTGAGGCACTGTAATCCTTCCCCATGCTGATGTTCTAATGTAACTTGACTGTTAGCATATTAGAGATTTTGCTGTCTTGCTTCACATTTTTTTTTTCTTTATAGGGCTAAGTTTGGAGCAGGTAGACATCTTATGGCACTGCCTCGTAGAAGACCTGGAGTGCTATGATGATGCATTACACTGGTTTTTAAATCAGGTGCGCAGCAAGGATCAGCATGCTATGGGAATGGAGACCTATAAACATCTGTTTCTGGAAAAGGTAATTCACCTGTAGATGGATTCTGTTTCCTTTGCTGACAACAGTGCTAGTGCTGTCTTGAAATATATGTATTTTTTATATGTAGATGCCCCAGCTAAAACCTGAAACAATCAGCATGACAGGACTGAACCTTTTTCAGCACCTTTGTAATCTTGCTCGCCTAGCAACCAGTGCTTATGATGGGGGTTCAAATTCTGAGGTGCGTATTGATTACTATTTATAGTAAGGCTGGGCAGGTTCCAGTTGTTGGGTAGCCAGAATACCAACAAAAATGACAGATGATGCCTGGCTCTTTAGAACCTTTACTACTAATGTCAGTTTATGTAAATCTCTTTTTACTCCCATATCAACTAACTCATAGATTGACATGACAGGCTTCTGAATTCTATGCTGTTCCATACATTATTGAAGTACTACTATTCTAATCACCCTAGTTGACACACGTACAATCCATTGAAAACTTTTTTGTTTTTATTCAGCTGTGTGGCATGGACCAGTTTTGGGGCATTGCACTGAGAGCCCACAGTGGAGATGTAAGCCGTGCTGCTATCCAGTATATCAACTCCTATTATATCAATGGTGAGAATGAGATTTTGACTGCCAAAAGAGATCGGTTTTAGATATTGCATTTTATGTTTGTTATTAATTTGCTTTGTAATAATTTTTTTTTTGCAGGAAAAACTGGACTAGAAAAAGAGCATGAATTCATTAGTAAGTGTATGGAAAGCCTTATGATTGCTTCTGGTAACCTTGAGCAGGATGCACAGTCAAGCCTCACCATAATAGAAAGAGGCCTCTTGATGCTGAAAACACATCTTGAAGCTTTCAGGAGACGGTAGGCTATACTTCTTATTTGGCTTTTCAGTTCAAATGCTTATACATGAGTACTGGTTTCTTCTATAGTTTTTAAGTGTATCTGCTTAGAAAAAAAATTCGACCTACTGTGTGTGTGTGTGTGTGTGTGTGTGTGTGTGTGTGTGTGTGTGTGTGTGTGTGTGTGTGTGTGTGTGTGTGTGTGTGTGTGTGTGTGTGTGTGTGTGTGTGTACAGTTTTGGTAATATGTTAAATTCGCATTTATGGTGTTACATGTTACTAAAGAGCATCTGTCTGCACTCACTCGATACCTCCTCCTGACAGCAGATGAGGGAATCCTCTCCCCCTGTACACAATCACTCAAATTGATTGGTAGGCATTTCCTGGGAATTCTGACGTCAAGCCTCTAATGCTCAGTTCTGTGAGACTGACACCCCCCTGGTCTTCTGTTAATACCTTTTCAAAGTTCTACCAGGTAGATGTCCAGTCTTCTACAGATGCAGCTTTAGGGCCACAAGATTCTTTCACCATCACTCTGAATTGGGTCTGTTGACCCTGGTTGTTGTTGGGCTTGTCGACACAGTTCTGTTTGCCTTGTTGCCCACCCTTCTTATTCATTGCTTGGTAGCCTGGGGTCTATGAATATTAGCCTGTGTTCTGTACTGTGTGACTAATACAAAAGGAATTTTAACTTGCCTGTAAACTCCATATCTTGCAATATAGTACAGGACACAGGCCCTTCCCTCCTTTCTCGTAATATTCTGGATTGCTTGCTACAAAACTGAGAACTCATGAAGTAATGTAGGGTTACAAGGGATGTCCAGTGTATGTATCCTTAAAGGATTTACCAGTGTCCAATCACCAGCCTGTAACCCAGTGTCCATGAACATCTAGCCTTTGTCCTGTACTGTGTTAGAGATGTTTGCCCTGTATGGGTTTGCTGTCCATTCAGATGCACAGAGCACTCAAAATAAGGCAAATGCCTCCCAGGAACACCTTGCTTATCTGGTCCTCGAGGAACACTGCCTCTTCAGACTTTTCTGTCATCACCAAAGCAGTTGCTTGCCTTAACAGAAGTCCAAGGAAAGGTCAATCAAATGTTTGTCCTCCATCAACTTCTAGAGTAGGCACATCCTAAAACTCTATGCCTAATCCCTTTTATCTTCCATCCTCATAGTGAGAAACTCAACCACCAGTCAAGAGAGCATTCATTCTGGGCCTGGGTGGACAACTTCTCCAGGGAAGTCTTGCACTGACAGTTTTTGGCATTGGCAGCTGCCCGTAACCTTTAGCTGGCGCTATCCAGCATATAGTAGCTCTGCGGTGTAGGGGTCCACAGCATGGTTACCCTTAGGCCCTCTGTCATCAGATAGGGAGTTACCAGTCTCTTCTTCCTGGAACCCCCACCTCCCTTTCTCTCATCTCTTCTTAGTCCACCTCAGTCCCTTATTGTGTTGTTGTGGTTCTAGTTCCTCAACAAATCTGTGTGTCTACCTGTAAGGATTTTGACCTGATCATTCTACTTCCCCATCAGATGCCTGACAGGAATTTTTACCCTTCCTAGATGGGTCCATTCCTTGGCAGATTATCACCAGGGATGCATTCTGGATTTCTAGAACAGGCGGTTCTTTGTATATCTTGTGATCCCCTCCTTGGTCAGGTCTCCTGATTCTAACACTGCTGAACACCATCTACAGTTGTGTTAAAAAATCCTTATAGTAGCTTTTATTTCCATACACACAAATGCATTGCTAACACTGCATTCTATTCCAAATCAAAACATGAAGAAAAATATTTAAATTTTGGGCTGTTCAAAAAAAATTAGCTGTGTCTACATTTTTCTTTACAAACTCAAACATTTACACTCCATGCACACTAGCATTTTTTCTGCTCCTAGAAGCTAAATAGTGTTGTCATGTGTGTCAATGCACATTATTTTAGGCTAGAAGAGTTTAGGAGCAGAAACAAAAAGTTGTTTTTGTAGCCTTTTTGGGAGCATATTTCTAGCAGAATACAAAAACACACTGCTCCTAAACACTCCTAAAAGCTTTTTTTTTTTAGTTCTTTTTTTTTTTTTTTTTTTTTTTTTTTACTACATGTACTGTAAAAACGCTAATAAAATTCTAATGCTCCTAAATGCTACTAAAAAACGTTATTACCAGTGTTTTTTCCGGGATTTTTTTTAGCTTAAAAGAAACACTAGTGTGAATGAAGTCTTACTCTATAAACTGAAAAATGCTTGAAGATTTAGCTTTCCTGTGAATCACTGAACTAATATTTAGTTGTATAACCACTGTTTGCGAACTGCTGTACATCTGTGTTGCATGGAGTCGATCAACTTCTGGCACCTGTGAACAGGTATTCCAGCCATGGGCAATTGCAGTAAAATTCCTCTACACTTCCTGTTTTTATCTCATAAACAGCATTTTTTTATGTCACCCCCCCCCCCCCCCCACTTCCTGTTTTTATCTCATAAACAGCATTTTTTTATGTCACCCCCCCCCCCCCCCCCCAAGTTTTCTATTGGATTAAGATCCGGGGATTGGGCTGGCCACTCCATAACGTTAATCTTGTTGGTCTGGAACCAAGATGTTGCACGTTTACTGGTGTGTTTTTGGTCGTTGTCTTGTCGAAACATCCATTTCAAGGGCATTTCCTCTTCGGCATAAGGCAACACGACCTCTTTAAGTATTCTGATGTATTCAAATTGTTCCATGATCCCTGGTATGCGATAAATAGGCCTAACAACATAGTATGAGAAATGCCCCTATATCATGATGCTTACACGAAATGTTGCACCATTTCTCTTTAGGCCAGTCAATGTGCTCTTTGGCAAATTGTAACCTCTTCAGCACGTCATTTTTTTCAACCGTGGGATTTTGCGGAGGCTTCTTGCTGATAGCTTGGCTTCACATAGGCGTCTTCTTAATTGTTACAGAACACACAGGCAACTTTAGGACTTCTTTGATCACCCTGGAGCTGATCATTGGCTGAGTCTTTGCCATTTTGGCTATTCTTCGATCCATTCGAATGATAGTTTTCAGTTTCCCTCTATGTCTTTCTGGCTTTGGTTGCCATTTTAGATCATTTTAGCTGAGCAGCCTATCAGTTTCTGTACTTTGTATGTTTTCCCCTCTCTAATCAACTTTTTAATCAAAGTATGCTGTTCTTCTGAACAATGTCTGGAACGACCCATTTTACTCAGATTTTCAGAGAGAAATGCACTATACCCATCATGTACATTTGCTGCCTTTGTCCTTAACTACTTCCCGCCCACCCGACCGCAATGTACTATGGCTGGGCGGCAGCTACAGGCAAAACGACGTACCTGTACGTCGTTCTCGCTGTACCAACACAAGGGGGCGCTATCGGGAGCACAGCACTCCCCAACTACGGCTGCTGTGTCCAGCGGACACAGCACAATGAAGATCCCGGTGATCATGTGATCGCATACATATGATCACAATGTAAGCACCCTGTACCATGTGACCAGCTCCAGCCAATCACAGATCACTATCAAGCTGTCAAAAACTCATTGATGACAGTTCATGAATGAGTTAGATTCATGACATCAAGCTTTGCATTACAGGAGAAATTATCTTTATTTCTCCTGCAAAGCAAAATGTAACCCCCCCCCACACACACACTTGGTACAATGTTACTATGGTAACATTGTACTATTCTGATAAAAGTATTAATAATTAAAAAATGAAATAAAATACCATATTGAGAATTAAAAAAAAAAAAATTTTAAGAGTATTTTTTAACTACTTGCCAGCCACTTACCCGCATTTTGCGGGTGAGTAGCAGCTCTTGGGAAAGTGAGGTAATCTTGTGTTGCTTCCTATCTTGGGGCGTGAACGCCCATGCACCCCCCCTTCCTGCGCTGCCCCCCGGTCGGTCAAGGGAGAGAAGAGAGAACACGGCAGTAAAAGCACTACATTTTACACACACACATTCGCTTAGCACATTTAACCCCTTGATCGCCCCTATTAACCCTTTGATCGCCCCATCACCCAGCCAGTGCCATTAGTACAGTGTCAGTATATAGAATTTTTCACTGATCACTGTATTACTGCCACTAGCGACATCCGATCGTGTCAGGGTCAGTTAGAACCCCTCCCAGCAAGGGTCAGCTAATGTTAGATTGCCCGCACACTATCTCACTCGCGCTATAGGTAACTGATCACCATAGTTACTAGTATAGTGTTTGTAAAGATCAATATATTGATCACAAACAGAACTATACTAGTGCTTCCTTGGTATAGTGTCTCCAAAAATGCAGAGTTAGCAGGATTGGCCCGTTCGCCGCCAGCAATAGAGTTTAGCCCCTTCACTGTTTTTCACGGAAGATTTGTACCAATTGATTGTGGGCCAAGGCAATTTATACACACAACAATACATCGCTGCCCACCCAAATTCAGCTTTTGCCAGACAATTCGCATGGAAACCTATCACGGTTTCTGAATTTTGGGACTTGCATTCAACATGGACATTACAAAAAATAATGAATTGCAGTCATATTGGTCCACAGACCCAATTCATCATATGCTCGTGTTCTCTGCTGTTACATATATGCCCAACAATATGCTGGTACGTTGCTGGACTTTGAGTTGTTCTACCGGAATGATTCCTGCAGCTACAGGCATCATTCTGGTATCATTTTTTTTTCTGCTGGCGGTCAGCTTTCATTTAAAAGCAATTCTAGTGGCCAATTAGCTGCTGAATTGTTTTTACAAGCAGTGGGAAGGGACATCCCACCCCCCAACCCCCAACCCCCCGCGCGCAAGCTTTGATCCCGTGACAGTATGTAAACTGCAGTTTGACCATTCATGTGAGGTATCAGATCCGCTGACTGACCATAGAGCTGAACAGAGACCAGAATGACTCCAATCATCTCTATAGTCTAAGAAATCCGAAGCTACGGGCATTTCATGACTTCAGTTTTGCAGGATATAAACAGCGCTATTTGTAAGTTGGGAAAGCATCTGATCACACCGATCTTGGTGAGCTGTAAAGGCTTCGAAAGCGCCGCCTATCGATAATAAAAATGTATGTACTTTGTTGCCATTGCACCAGCATGCGCAATTTTAAAGCATGTCATGTTTGGTATCTATTTATTTGGCATAACATAATCTTTTATAATTCATCAAACAATTGGGAAATATATTGCGTTTTTGTGCATTAAAATTCCAAAACGTGTATTTTTCTCTGAAGATTTGCATTTAAGAAATAGCTGTGCAAATAATGTGTGACGTAAAAAATGTCAACACCCACCGTTTTATTCCCTAGGTCCCCTGCTTATAATGTTTGGTGGTTCATTCAAATTCCAATATATGTAATATACACCATTGTTTGTAGACACTATAACTTTTACACAAAGCAATCTATATATATTGAGATTTTTTTTTTTCTACCAAAGACATGTAGCAGAATACATTTTGGCCTAAATTTATAACTAACTTTGAGTTTATTGGATAATTTTTATAACCAAAAGTAAAAAATATTTTTTGTGTTTATAGTGCAAAACGTAAAAACCACAGAGGTGATGAAATACCACCAAAAGAAAGCTCCATTTGTGTGAAATAAGGATGTAAATTTCATTTGGGTACAGCATTGCACAACCACACCATTACCAGTTGAAATAGAGCAGCAGTGCTCAACAGCAAAAAATGGCCTGGTCATGAAGGGGGGTTAAATCCTCAGGAGGGCAAGTGGTTAAATAAGGGCCACCTGTTTGACACCTGTTTTGTTCAGACTGAATGACCTCACTAATTGAACGCCACATTGGTATGATTCAATTACACAGAATCAGCAGCATGTATGTCATGACTGTTGGGCCTGTTGGTTTTCTATTACTCTACAATACCTACTAGTAAATTATTTGAAATGTAGAAATACTTATACCAAAAACAGTGATCTGGTTAGTGATGTTGGTCTGCTATTATTTTGAACACAACTGTATATACTGCTGTTTCTTCAAGGAACCTATGTCCTTCATGCATCAGACGAGGTAGTCTTTTTGTGTGTTTTTGTAAATTATTTCCACGCTGATTATCCCCCATCATTAAGGGCTGTCCCCTGAAAGGCAATTTTTCCTAACTGATAGCTTCTGGACATGGAGAAGGGGTTTATAAAGCTAACTGCATCTCAGACCCTGCATTGCAGGTGAAGGACGTTGAAGGATGACCCTGTGTCTCTGAGCTGTCTGCAGGCACAACAGACTAGTATCCTGCTGCAGGTGTCCTCCATTAACAAGGAATGTCTTCACCTGTTCACTTGGGTTTAGGTCTCTCTTGTCTGCACTGCATGTTCAAAACCTTTCTGGCACTGGTCCCTGCTTCTTAGTTGGGCTGATAAGACTCATTTCCATTGTTCCACACATGCCGATATCTTGTTGGATCTAAAGAGTCTGGAGCAATCTTAGCCCTGTGATTCCTGAAGTCAAGGATAGGCAGGATTCCTCCTCTATACCCTACTGCCTGTCCTTGTTCAGGTATTCCCATGCACATTACCTCCTTGCCTCTTCAGTCATGTGCACTTTATAGGATCAGATCCTGGGTTCTCTGCTGAACTGTTGGTATTTAACACCCTTCGCAGATGATTTTACCTTGGTGAGGTGATTGTTCCAAATATATTTTGGAGTATGGAGTTCTTGTGTCTTAGCATAGAGCCAGGTGAATAGAGGCACTGGGCCTTGCCGCTTAGACTGGGTGGTGATGCACTTACAAGGGTTATTTTTCTTGTCTGGAACCTAGTCATGCAGGGAACTTTGATGCACTGTTTGTTAACCTTGTTAGGGTGGGATTTTTTCTTCCTTCCCCATCCCAGACTTGTTGTTCCAACCCTTGGTGGACTCATGTTTCCCAGCTTCTCACTTGGGTATCCCATTTCCTTCTGAATAATTATTTCTTTGTCCTGGGCATTATTTTGTTTTGCCATGCCCTCCCTCTGGTTATGTTGGCAGGGGGTGTAGCTTCAATCACTGTCAGATTTGAGTGTTGGCCCATTTCAAGGGGCTCCTAGGCTGCAGGCAGTCCCTAGTTCTGCTTTGTTGGGCCTGTTAGCAGTTCTTGCTGTTGGCTTACCCCTCAGTTGGACGCCTTTTGGATGTCCTCTATGATTTTAACAATGAGCTTTAAATGTGTCATGTTCATACGTACTGTTGTAGGCATAAGTATACGGTTGTTTATTACACACAAATTATATTTTATTTGTACATTATTATATATGTTATTTTTTATATTGCAGCCATTTTTAGGAATACTAATTGAATATAGGTTTCAGACTTTAGTGTTATGTTTTGTTTTTCATTACTGGTTTATCATATAAAGATTTATAGTTCAGGAATGTAATGTTTTAGTTTATAAGCCTCCCCGATCAAAATAGATTTTATAATAATCTTTCCAATTTAAATGTTTTTCTTTTCCTTTTTATGTATTTGCATATTTAAATTGACTTGGACATGGGTGTATATGTGTTTTGAGCTTGAGTGGGAAACTCTTCTCAAGTACAGATGTCCTCCATTGCATGGCTTTGTTTCTCCCTTTTTTGGGCCAACACTGTAACTCAAAGTTAAGGATGAGTGGGCTGAGAGAAGCGGGTGCAGCTCTGATGACGTTTCCAGCTTCTGGTTAGCACCAGAGACGTCGTGTGTGCGCAGGACTCAAAAAGGACCATGTAGGTGCCAGAAGAGCACCTAAAGCGGGTATTCCCCAAGTGTGGGAGAAACATGGTGATGGAGAGGCTAGTATTTTATTTATCTTATGTTGACAGAGTTTGCCCACTTAACATAGTCCCACCTCTTAATCTGGATTAGTATGCATAGCTGTAGTGCATTATACTTTATGTAAAGACTCTATTGCATATGTAAAAGTCTACTATATTTTGAATGGTTTCCTTGGCTGATAGCAGACATAGTACATAGAAATGTAAATCATGATATGAAATGGCAAACATTATTTACCCTGATGCAGAGTTTGAGAGTTATTGGCTGTACAATACATATACATATGGTACAACTGTGTCTTCTTATACATGGTCTGATTTTTGTGTGTGCAAATGCCTATTTATTTTTATATAGATGTTTGTATTGTATTGTACAATGTCACTTGAAAGGGAGTGGTTTATTAAGGCATGTTGGTAAATTTAAGGACACACTATATAAAGAAAGGTATTTCAGTGTGGGAGAGTTGGCTCTTAAAGTGTTACTAAACCCACAACAGTAAAATCAGTCTGTATATGCAGTAAAGCATGCTTGCTATACTCACTGTGGAACCTAAGGGGTTAATCTTCTGCATTGTGTAAAAACGCTGTTTGATCCTGACTTCTCTGATCCTCACTGTCTTCTGGTGTCCCCCTCCTATCTCCCGATAAGACATATCGTGTGTAGTCGCTGCACATGCTCAGTTTGGTATATATTGCTAGAGAGGTTTTTTTCTTGGGAGGGTGCATGTGATGAGCACAGGGCCAAATCAGCACATCAGACAGAGGTCAGGGGTCCTGCATCTTTCTAGAGCAGAATGAAAACTCCTACAAGCTTTAACATGTGTTCGGCTGGACACTCTTAGAAGTTACAAGACTGCTCTAACTGCTGATGAGAAAAGGTATTTAGTAGCTTATATTTACTAATATTGCATTTCCTTGCTCTGTGTACTGTAGGAGACCAGGTATAGTGAATGCAGGGTCCTGGGTTTAGTAACACTTTAAAGGAGGGTGTTCCTATTAGCACTTAAGCTGGTTTTGTATTCCAGTGGCCAATCCTCCTGTAGGCAGCAGTAAAACAGGACTTCCTGTGTCACTTAATGTACTCCAAACAAAGATTTTACAGTGAGTGCAGAAATCTTATTTTTACACTGCCCTTGGATTCTACTATAAAAAGAAGGAATCTTAGTCATTAGGAGTCTGGACAATAAGAAATTTGCGCTTTCCTTGTTTGCTGTTACCTTGGGTTGGTATTCCCAGTGTGTAAATGTATTTATTCTAATGGCCCCATTCTCTTTCTCATCTAGGTTTGCCTACCATCTAAGACAATGGCAGATCGAAGGAACTGGTATCAGCAGTCACCTGAAAGCACTGAATGACAAGCAATCCTTGCCTCTTAGAATTGTTTGCCAACCTGCTGGGCTTCCTGATAAGGTCTGGATACCACCACCTCTATTGCACAGAATGTTTGTTTGTATTTTTCCCATAGCTAATTTTTTTTGTCCCTTGTTAGATGACTATAGAAATGTATCCAAGTGACCAGGTAGCTGACCTGCGGGCAGAAGTTACTCACTGGTATGAAAATTTACAGAAAGATCAGCTAAATCAACAGCCTCAGCTTCAAGAGTTTGGACAGAGCAGCCGTAAAGGTGATTTTCCTGGTGAGGAATGATAATGCTTTTCTTTCTGTGTTAAAGTGTAGGTTGCTGTTTGAGTTTATGAGCACAGTGTTACAGTGAAAAATAAAACAAAAATTCACATTTCATTCAAGCTACTGACATTTCATTAGGTAGCATGCTGTACAAGTTGCATATTTTAAGTGCTGTTTGACATTGCACAGCTTAGAAAAGAAAACCAAACTTGTGATCCTTGGATGCTTATCACAGCTTTGCCTTGCATGTGAAAAAGCAGTTAACCACAGAGTCTTCCACAACTCTGTCAAATTCTTTGTGGTACAGGTATTGGGAAATGCTTGGCCCACCTCTAGCTCTCAACAATGCAGTGCTCAGTCAGATGGGTGTGTCAAAGACTAAAGACAAAATACTGAGCTTTGGTGGTAGTTACTATCAACTTTTCAGGGGCAGCAGCGGGGAACAGGGCTGTGGACAACAGTGGTAAGCATTAGAGGGCTCTGAAGGGTGCTTGGTCTAAATTGTATTACAGTTTTCATTTAATTTATTTTAATCTCCATGATCAGTTTATATATCATAGTAATTGGGCTTTTGTAAAATATTTATATATGGTGTTGATACTCTAACCCAGTGGTCTCCAAACTGCAGCCCTTTGCTTGCGTTTATCTGGCCCTTGGGGCACTATTTCATTCACCGATTTTGCGACTTTGCTTGGTGATGTGATAATTTTTGATTTCGTGTTTCAAATTTTAACATACCTGGAATGTTTACTAGACTCTTGTTCAGACAGATTTCAGTGAGTTATTCCTAAAAATTACAGGCCTACAATAAAAAAAAAACTACATATTTCCATGCAAAAAAATGTACCACTTTGAGCACAGAAATATGGACATAATCAGATTACTAGGGAGGCTACGAACGGTAAACTGGCCCTTTGTTTAAAAAGTTTGGAGACCCGTGCTTTAACCTATGTGCAGTATCTTTATACGTTGTTACTTTGTTTCTGCTTTATGACAAAAGTAAAGCTACTATATGTTCTACATATTTACACGATGTAAACAGTCTATTGGTAAACTGATTGCCATGAGGGAGTTACGTTTGGCCTTAACTGTGCTCTCTTCTGCCCTTTTCTTGGGATATTTGTAGCTTTTTTTACAAGTTTTAATGATGTTTTTGTAAGTTTGGAGTGCTGAATGTCCTGTAGCATGGTAAATATTAATCATTCCCACTTTGACCATATTTAACTCCTGGAAAATTTCCCAATTTATGTTGTTTCTTGTCTCTAATTATTTTTAAATGCACTGTAATATCTGATGTGTAACATTCTTCAAGGCATCATAAATATAAGTGAGCAGCTGAAACCAATTTTGAATGTTTCATCTTCAATGGAAAGTTTTATTCAATATTCAGATTGTGATGCCTGGAAAAAATTGACTAATTTTAACCAGCATATAACCAGAGTGCCTTTTGGCTTGTATAAAGACCCATGGAATTGTTGTCATATGTTGCTGATCTTTATGTCCAAAAATATTTCCTAAACATACAGCACAGGACTTAAGCAACTTATTCGTACACTATGGGTTATAGGCTTGTACCTTCAGGTGATTGGACACTGGCAAACTTTTGAGGACATGCCTTCCTGGAGCAACTCCCTTATAACTTCTACCCCACTCTGAGTTTTTTGTTGGTGTCTGTAGGTGATGGACCTTTCTTCTTTCCAGAAAAAACTACTTCACCAGTTTTTATTGTATTCTTCAGTAAACCCTCACTGTCTTCTATTGCCTACACAGAAGCAGTGTAGCCTCATTAAAACTTTGGAAGCTGTACCCAGATCCCTTGCTGTGGGGACGGCCTGTGAGGGTACATCACTATGGAACCAAGTCCATGGAGGCCTTTGGGGGGTATGCCCAACATGACAGGCAAGGCCTGGACTGGTAAGGCAGAGTCTCCCTGTATCTCTGACTGTTACTGTGTAAAATGGGGCTATATTTGGTTTGTATTAACGTTACAGTGCAAACTTTTCAAACTTGGTACTAAAATTCAACCACTCAGACCTCAGTCTCAAATGCATGAACAGATTTTCAGCAATTGGTGGCCCTTTTCTCTATGAGCTGTTCCTCCTATTTCACGGTGACAAGGTTGTATTACGCCCAAGATCTGTTCTTCCAAAAGTGTCTTTAGCTTTGCATCTCAATGAGGAAATTGTTTTACCATCTTTGTTTCTTGTTTCCAAGCATCCAAGGAAGTCTCTCTGCATTGTCTGGATGTCATCAGAGCCATTGGAGTGTATCTAAAAGTTACTGCTTGCATTAGATTGTTTGTTCTTTCCACGAGACCTTGCAGGGGACACCTTGCTTCAAAATCCTCCACTGTGCAGACCATAAGGGATTTGATTACAAGGTTATGTGAAAAGAACAAATACCCCTCCCTGTGTTGTTGTTAGCCCGGTCTAAATTTGTTGGAGTATCCTTGGCCTTTAAGCACCAAGCCTCTGAACAATTAACAGTTGGATGACCACACACTGTTATTTAAAATCCAATCAAGTTTATTGAAAAAAAAATCAAAAATCAAAGTCCAAATAGCATAACCCACAACAAGAGCAAGTGTTGACACGTTTCATGCCAATGGACTCTTAATCATTACCAGTCATACCCTTTTAAGCACCCAGCCTCTGTAGCCCAACTCTGTAATGCCGCCATCTGGTCTTATGTTCATACATTTTCAAAAATATTACCAGGTGGATTTGTACTGTTCTGCAGATGCAGATTTCGACCTCAAGATTCTTGCAGCAGCACTCAAGACCCATGGTATATGAATAAGTTGCCTGTGTCCTGTACTGTACTCTAAGATATGGAATTTACAGTCATAATTCCTGTTTTCTAGAGCCTATAGTTACTGTATTTAATTTTTTTTAAAACAAAATATAGATCTAGATGAAAATAATTCTATTGATGCTTATTAATCTTTAACCCTTTGAAAAAAGTAGCTAAGTAAAAATGTTCTTTTTGCAAAAAATAGTTAAACCCAAGCACATAACATTCCTTTTAAACGTGTGCAATAAAAGCAAAAATAGCTCTGTCAACGAAAGGGTTGTTTTGAAACTCCTGCATATGAGCCCATTTACACTGTTTCGCTGCAGTAGCGCACAGTTTTATGCATAGGTACTATGCAGTGCCATTTGTTCAAAAGGCACCCCAAAACAACTTGCCAGTAGTTGTGAGTTGCGTTGCCCTGCTAAAAATGCTACATGCATATGCATTGTATGTTATGCTGCCCAGTCAAATCCATTCAGATTAGTGCGTGTGTGCTAAAGTAGTGCAGTAGTGTTAATGGGTCCTCATGCTTTGCATTCAATAACAAAAACAAGTGCAAGGTTAAAAAAAAAAAAAAAAGCATGTGACATCACCTCAACTAACAGCCCTGGTTCACACCGCTGCTACTTCAGGTGTGACATGTGATTTCCAAATCAACCTTAATAGGTGTGATTTCAAATTGTGCATTACTTTTTCACCACTTCAGTGAGATTTAACTCTCATAGACTATAAGGTAAATGGCTTTGAAATCACACCTGTGTATATATCAGCTCTACTTAAAGTCATGCTTAAATGGGACCAAATCGTACCACTTTCAAATCGCTTTTGGTGTGAACCACGGCTCAATCAATATTACAGGCTTGGTAATTAACACAGTGGTTTTGTGTGAGTACCATTCTGTTTGAAGACTAGACATATTTATATTATGAAACAAGTCATTTATTACATTAGGGCAGCAGAGTGGCTAAATGGCTAGCACTTCTGTCTGGTAGTCCTAGGGTCGTCGGTTTGAATCCCAACCATGGCACCACCTGTCTGGAGTTTGCATGTTCACCCTGTTCCTGTGTGGGTTTCCTCCGGGTACTCTGGTTTCCTCCCACACTCCAAAGACATGCTGGTAGATTAATTGGCTCTTGTATAAAATTGGTTCTAGTATATGTATGTATGAATGTGAGTTAGGGACCTTAGATTGTACACTCCTTGAGGGTTAGGGATTGATATGAATGTACAATATATATTTAAAGCGCTGCATAAATTGACGGTGCTATCACCTGTAATACATAAAATTAAGTTACCTGTAATAAATTACATAAAAATGTAGGACCGCAAATGTGTTTCCCTGTCCCTATAATATCAGACATTATGATTCTATCAGAGGACACCATCATGTTTTGCATCACTAAATATTTTTTTTATGTCTTTATAACGTGCTACGAAATTCGTGCTAAATTGCTTATTAGTGCAAAAAGTTGAATGCATTTGTTTTTTTTTTCCCAAAGGTGGTCTTATGGGTCCTGTTCGAATGATTTCATCTGGTCATGAGTTGACGACGGATTATGATGAAAAAACTCTCCATGAACTGGGATTTAAGGACATGCAGGTATTTATTACCGTATGTTATTGGTTTGACTTGTTTATTTACTGTAATTACATTTTTTTCTAACCATCTCAACTTCTGTTCTTTGCTGCTTATGAATAGGTGTTGACATTATACTTTCTACATAAATATTACTTTTTCCAGAGGTGTAAATGCAAAGTTACAGCCAGGTTTCATATATTTTGTCTTCCAGGTCCTATGATAATAGGACAGATGGTTGCCAATATCTATAGTCTTTCAGCCTCTTACAGATAGAAATGATTTTTCAAAGTAAAACCTCTTCACTGGCATTGTCACCATCACTCAGGGAACAAAATCTACTACAATACATGTATAGCTGTCCTTCTCAACAGTTTTTCTCCTTGCAGTTATTTTTTTTTCTTCAGTTAAAAAGCTTACCAAACTCAGTCGTAACTGAAGGGAAATTAGATGGAGGAAAATGAAAAGGCCTGCTTTACTGTATCTAGAGCAGTGCTTCTCAAACCTGTTTTCCACAACTTTATATGCTTTTATTTATTTATTTATTTTTTTATGGACAGGTAGGGCATATTTTTCTTATAGAGGGATGTACTGATTGTTTTATGCTGCCAGCCATTTAACCACTTGCCCTCCAGAGGATTTACCCCTCCTTCCTGACCAGGCCATTTTTTTGCGATACGGCGCTGTGTTACTTTAACTGACAATCGCACAGTCATGCAACGCTGTACATAAATGAAATTTATGTCCTTTTTTCCCCCAAAAATAGAACTTTCTTTCAGTGGTATATGATCTCCTGTGTATTTTTTATTTTTTGCGCCATATACAAAAAAACCCGACAATTTTGAAAATTTTTTTTTTAAATATCTAATTTCTTCATAAATGTAGGTCAAAATGTATTCTGCTATATGTCTTTGCTAAAGAAAATTCCCAATACATGTAAATTAATTGGTTTACGTGAAAGTTGTAGCGTCTACAAATGGCGGTATATAGACTGGATTTTTTTTTATTTTATACTAGTAATGGGGCCGATCAGCAACTTATAGCAAGACTGTGGCAGGCATTCTGACACTGGGGGGGGGGGGGAACTAACTGCCACTGACATCCCAATGACACTAGTACAGTGATCAGTACTAATAAAAAGCATTGACACTGTACTAATGTCATTTGGCAGGAAGGGGTTAACATCTGGGGGCGATCAAAGGGCTAACTGTGCTATGTTTGTTTTGCTTGGAAAACGTACTGCTGTATATTTTTCTCTGCTGTGCAGAAAAGTGCACAGCAGCATGTTACTGCTGGCAGGAGAGAGACCTGTTTTTACACACAGGTCTCTCCCCTGTCGGTGATACTTGGTGATCGCCGAGTGCTGGTGGGGAATCTCTGGCCGGGACACAGTGATCGACATCTGTAGCCGCCAGTGGCGGCGGGGGTAGGGCGATGCACGTGCCCCCTATCCGGAATGCAAAATCATGTATAAATAAGTGATTTTGCACAGCCCTGCCACCCTGTTGCAGTACTTCTGCTATAGGCCGGTCGGATAGCGGTAATCTCTTATGCAAGTTACCCTACTGTGATATGACTAATGTTGTGTTTCTATTGTCACCAGGGGGTTGTTCCTTTGTTCTGTTTGGTTGTATGTAACCATTATATACTATTTTCTGTACAATTCAATATTTTGTACTGTAACCTCCTGTCTTTATTTTCATAAAACTTTTTGTGCCACCTTGGTAAAAAAAAAAAAAAATCAGACAATCGTTTTGATTTTCCTAAATCTTAAAGTATAATTCAAATGAACTTAAACTTGTGTCTGTTATGCTTAGATGGTGTTTGTATCATTGGGTGCTCCAAGGCGGGAAAGAAAAGGAGAAGGCGTGCAGCTTCCAGCATCATGCCTGCCTCCCCCACAGAAGGAAAACATCCCCATGCTGCTTCTCCTACAGGAACCTCACCTTACCACTCTCTTCGACTTGCTTGAAATGTTAGCTTCATTTAAGCCTCCTTCAGGAGAAATGAACTTGGAGGATGTTGAGGTAGGTTTTATTTATTTATTTTTTTCCATAGTAAAGCATAAAGCTGGGTACACTGCGTGTTTTTTCATTCAGCCAGGAGGCTGACAAAATCAGATCTAAGGATAGTGTGTGGATACAGGAATTCTTCCCTCTGTGCTATTGTATTTTAACAGCAGGGACTCTCCACTGTCAGAATACACTGACCAGAGCTGCAGCCATTTGGCTGCAAGCTGCTGATCAAAGGTTTTCCAGCAGGACAGTTTGATAGAAGCCAATCTAATGTTTGGCTTCTCTCAAACTGGGAGGGCTACAAAAAGATTAGAGTTCATCCAGTCCTTATGGAACTGGCTGACTTTCAATCTGTGTGTAACCAGCTTACCTCCTACTGATTGAGAAAGAGTTAAAAATCTCTATAAGGTTTGAATGTTTCCTGTTTTGTATGACACTTGGGCAAAAAAAAAAAACTGCTGTCTTTGTTGAGGAAATTTCTGCACACCTTCTGTGTCTGATATACATTGAGAGAATATCAGGAAACGTCTCAGTGAGGACACACAGAGTTAGCATCTTAGAGGGCCTAACTCTTCCTCGCTCTTTCAAACTTGAAGTGAATTTGTGTTTTGCATATGCAGGGCAAAGGTATGAGGTTGCATAAAAGTTGGCCTTGGCATCTACGTATATTTTCCGTCCCCTCACTGTTTACCACTGAGAAGTTGTGCTTAGGCTTCATATCCATTCTAGATAAACCTTAAACAGGGCTGAGGCACCGATGATCTCACATGAGAGCAAGGAGTGGGAGTTGCTTTATGCCACTGTGCTTGAAAGTCCTGGGTATTTTTCTTCATGTCTGACTGTAAATAGTTATAAAGTATGGCTAAGTATAAAACCCTCCAAGGACTGGCATTAAAGTAAATCTATGGCTGTACTGGGATTATAGCCTATTTTTCTAAAGCCTAACTGGGTAATCAGCATACTTTAAAGTATAACCTTTATTGCAATATAATTGACAGTGTCTGTCTTCGTAATCATTTTTTACTGTCAGTCCAAACACATTTTGAACAGGCTTATGTTGTCCTAAGACAGAAGTCATATAGAACGATAAGATCCTTAGAAAATTGCAGAGATTGTCCAATGTGTGGCACGTGTGTTTGCTGAAATGAACAGGAATGCAGAGGATGACATGACAGCCATCTCCTTCACAACTGTTGTAAGATCAGCTGTGGCAGGAGGGGAGAGGGGCAGGTTGGACCTAAATACTGGGGCTAGAAACCACTTTTGTACTTTTTACCATACTGGACAGAACTGTAAAAAAAAGATAGTTCTTTACCTATATATTAAGTTGAAATTGAATATTTATAATGTTTACCTGTTAAATGTTTGATAGAATTGAGCGTTTTATGATTACAGAGCGCTAGGTGTGAGGAGCTGCATCTCCATGCAGAGAATCTATCCAGGCGTGTATGGGAGCTCCTGATGTTGCTGCCCACGTGTCCCAATATGCTGCAGGCATTCCAGAATGTGTCTGAGGAGCAGGTGAGTAGAGTATAATCCAACCATTTCATTTCTTCATTCTTCAGCAGCACACTGCTGTAAAAAGAGGAGCTTGCCAACAAGCTGGATTCAGATTTTATAAAAACTCTGATTAATGCACTTATTTATTGAATTCTTTAGATATGGTTTTTAAAAGCACCTTGTGAAAGTACCTACATTTTATCTTGATTTTGGCATCTAGTAATTCTCTGCACAGCACCACAGACTGGGAGAGGGAAAGCTTGAACCCACTTACAGCCGTGCTGACAAATAATCTGTTGGCAGTAGTAGAAAGTCTATTTTTGACCTGATCAGTGTGCCGCCAGTTCATTGTTGCCCAGTCATAAGACTGGGTGTGTTTTTGACCAAGCTGTGCTGCTAAGAAGGTCAGGGACCTGTCTGTGCTTTCTAGCAGGGTAGCCAGGATCATGAAAGTGGCTGAACAGTATTACAAGCTCTTTGGCAGTAAGAACACTCTCTATATGCATTTCAACTATATATATTTAACTGCTTTGTTTGTCTGGAGGTCAGCTTCAAAGTTTTCACTTTTCCAATATTTCAATTTCTTTTTTTTTTATATTTTATTTTATTTCCCTATCTGCCTTTAATCACACTATTTGAAGAGGTAGGGAGCCACACACTAATCAGCGTAGTCACTATATGTAGAAGATCAGCTTCAGCTTGTCTCCTCCTAGCCATGCTCCTCTGATGGATTTCACCCTCCTGCAGGCGTAGTCATGGCCTCCATGACTAATTGTGGAGGGGTGAAATGTGTCAGATTATGGCTTGGAGGTGACAAGCTAAAGCCAATCTTCTATATTTAGTGACTAAGCTGGTTAACGGTGTATGGCACCCTACCTCTTACATCTGTCAGTTTCAGTGGGATGGGGAAACCCTGTTGGATATTGGCATCCAACAGTATTTGAGTCGCTGGGTGTTGGCGGTTGGAGCTGCGTGCTTTACGCTTTTTAGGATCACACTACCTTTTAATAAAGGTTTTTTGTTTTTTTTTTCTTCTCCGTTAAGGGAAATGATGGACCTTGTTGGAAGGACTTACTTCGCATAAAAAGTGCCCACAAACTTCTCTATGCTCTTGAAATTATTGAAGCTTTGGGCAAGCCAAACAGAAGGATAAGAAGAGAGTCTACTGTAAGTTTATATTTTGTTTGTTTTTTTTTTTTATTATTGTGTGTAAACTATTGTATAACTGACTGTACCTCTCACCTTTCTTTGACCTTTAAAATTAAAATTGAAAGGAATTATCTTAACGGTACAGGACATAAGCAGAGTATTCATCCATCATAGGTTATAGGCTTGTACCATCAGGTGATTGGATACTGGCAAAGCCTTAGATTACACACCTCCTGAACTTTCCTATAGTCCTACCAATCTGTTAGTCCTCACTTTTATGCTAGTGTGCTAAAATGCATTAAGGTAAAAACAACCTTAAGGCTTTATCAACTGTGCATCAGAAAAGTGAACCACATTCAGATTGCTTTTCAGAGGTCTTTAATAGCTGGAGAGGAGGCAATGGGACGCTTCCTCACTGCCTGCTTTAACCCCACAATTGCCTCACCAATGCTACATAATTGCCTTACCAATTTCCCTACAGTCACAGGCATTTGTTGCTTTCCCATTCACTTAAATGTGTCAAGTTTGGCAGGCTTACTGCTCCAAAGCAAAGGTTTTTGCTGTGGGCGCAAAACATTGAGACTACCATATGTATGCACCCCTATCCATTGCATTTGTAATGCCCCTAACCACAAATCTTAACGAGCCCTAACTTTCAAAGTGTTATCGTTTTTTTTGTTTAGTGTGGTTTTCTGTTCATATGAATGTGGCTCACAAGTACTCATATTAAGTTGGGAAAGTTGTGCTATCATCTATTCATCTATAAAGGTAAAGATTATAAATACATGTGTTAACTGCAACCTGTTTTTACAGGGTAGTTACAGTGATTTGTATCCAGACTCTGATGATTCCAGTGAAGATCAGATTGAAAACAGCAAAAAAAACACGTGGAGCTGCAAGGTATTATTTTATTTCTGTTATTCTTTGGGATACACACGCAGTGACTGGTGGGGGTGTAAGCCCTGCATCTAATACGCTGGGCACACAAAGATGAAAGCTGTTCCTCTCCATTGCCTTTACCACTGCACCCTGTGGTTGCTCTACAGTTGTGTCAGTTGTTAAACAAATTTATTGTGGCATTCTAGTAACTCTATCCTTTTTCACATCTATGAATTGTTTACAACTTTTGCAAGTTTTTTCAGTCATAGTACGTACTACAATGTAGTACATGCCACTCATCTGTTATGCTTGGCATAAAGCCATCAGTCACAGAAAAGAGCAGGAATCAATGTATTGCTCGGTAGAACAATAGAGAAGTCACCTGCATAACAATGTCTTTACCTATGACATGTTGGTCTGACAAGTTGATATGCAATGTGTTTTCAGTTTGTAGCTTCTGGCGGTCTACAGCAACTGATTGAAATCTTTAACTCTGGCATTTTGGAGCCCAAAGAGCATGAATCGTGGACTGTGGTGAGTTGACGTCCATTACGCTATTTCCATATATATTACATAGTAAAAAAATTTAGCCTCCCCACCCTCACATACGCAGGTGGTTCGGTTTTTGGCCATATGCATTCTGAATTTTCTGTATCGGCTTTGGCACCAGAATTTTCTTTTCGGTGCACCACTATTACATAGTGATGTAATTCACAATTTCTGCAATGCAAACACATACGTTCTCTTTGAATCTTACATTGTATCTAAATCTGAGAACAAATATTTATTACCAGTCATTGGGTGTAGTGCTACATTAGTGTTCTTTTCTTTCTTGCTTAATCTTCCCATCACTATTTTATGGTGCTTGCCCTCAAACTCTAAGCCCCAGATGTCTGGATCTGCTCGAATGTCAGCTCCAAAGTTCTAAGGCCAATATGAATGGGATTGGGGCTAAGGGGCTGCCCTGCCTGGTGCCACAGCCTATCTAAGGTGAATTCCGCATATTTATGCCAGCAAGGCATAAAAGGCCCTGACCTAGGATATGCAGTCCTCTCCTAAAGCCCATTTGCAAAGGACAAAGCGCATATATTGCCTGGAAAAAAAATGTTGAACGCTTTGACCCTGTCAAGAGAAATCAGCATAGACTCTACTGCCTGGGCTCTGGCAAGATGGATGAACTGTATAGTTTGGTGGACATTGTCAACCTTGCCTCTCCATTGCACAAAGCCTACCTGGTCTTTTTCGATGAGATGATCCAGGAAGGTGTTTATTCTGGCAGCCAGAATCTTCACCAGGATCTTTACATCTGTATTCAGAAATCAAATTGGTATATGTTTAAACTAAGAATTAGGGTCAGCAGTCAGTTTGGAATTCATGACAATGTTGGCCTACAAAGATTTCGGGGAAAAGGAGTCCTCTTTCTTGAGATAATTAAAAGCTGTAAAGTGTGGGATAAGAATTTCTTGTAGAATTGAGCTGTGTAGCTATCAGGGTCTGTACTTTTGCTAGATTTGAAACTTATAATTACCAGGTGGATATGATATTTTCATTCAGGGCTAAAAGGTTTTATTTTGAGATAGTGGGGAGTCAGATATTTCACCTGGACTCTTCTACTCCTGCTGCCACCAAAATATGATGGACCACCTGGCACCCCGATTGGGTGATTCCATCAGAGAATTGCTTCCTCGCCGCTGGGACACAGGATTAAGGTATTATAGCTGGGCATTGCACCCTAGGACTAGGGGAAACTAGATTAGATGTAATTGGAACTACTTTATTGAACATAAATACAGTTTTTTATACACTTCAGAAATAGATGCAGTCCCCACATGAACAATAAAATATTACACATTGGGATAAACATCCCACACTGATTAGATAAGAGCTTGATCACATTATCCTAAACAGTGTAAACAGTACAGCCAACAGCTTACAGTGGTCTAATTAACAGTAAGCTAATAAACAGCTAGCCAGGGAGGCCACCCCAGACAGTCCAGCACCTCTAACCCTCAATACACAAAGTACATTACACATGCTGTCTTTTTTTTCAGGTGTTTGCTTTCACTTGTATAATCTGTTCATTTTAAGACAAAACTCATACAATATTCCAACACTCTGACCATTAACCTGTACAAGATTAATATTACAACCTTTCCATCCACTCCCGAGGGGAAGCTGTATTGTCTTTACTCAGAATTAGTCAAAGCCTCGCTCTCAGTGTTCATCGTGTTGTTGTCCATCATTAGAGAATGATCTGCTCTCTCCATTGGCCATAGTCAGTGGGTAGAAGACTAGCACCTAGTCCCCTCCAAAAGCTCCCTGCCCTGGTTGGGTCTGTCACATATATATATATTTTATAATGTTTTTTAATTTTTTAATTATTTTTTTTTTTAATTAAAAATTGACCAGAGTAATTTTTTTTATATAACATTTTGGGAAAGTGATCAGTATTTCTTTTTTTTTTACACATTATGATTAATAGCAGTGAATTTCACTGCTATAGGCAGAAACCAGTAGATACTTTTTTTTAATTTAATAATGACACTAAATATTGGTCAACCACTATCCGACAGTGACTACTAGCTAAAACTTGACCCCCTCTGGAAGTGTTGTATCCCCCCTCCCCCCCCTCACTTTTGATGTATCTTATCTTAGCCCTTTTTTTTTTTTTTTCAATCCATTCTAACATTCTGCTTAAATTATTTTTAATAGTACTGCTTGCCTATAGCTTGCAGTGATGTTTTGCAAATAAAAAAAGTATCACGGCTACTCAATAGGCAAGCATTCAATCACTGAATGCATTCAAAATCGATTCATTCAGCGTTTGTTGTGATCAGCTCTTATTTGGCTACAGCTAATCTCATGACACAGATGAGCTGTGATTGGCCCCGTCTGTACCATATGATCACTGTGACCAATCACAGCTAGCAACGCAATTGTATACATTGGATGGCATGAAAGGAAGTATCCATTATTTACAATTGTCATGTGACCTGCTGTGATTGGTCACAATAGTCACATGGTACTGGCAATGGGCTGGTACACAGATTGGTCATCGGTTGTGACATCCAGAGACAGATCTCACCACAGCGCGGCCCTGATCCCGAAGGATGTCCTATGATACCCATCTGGATCAACGAAAGTCCCACTCTGCCGTCATTTTGTTATTGGCCTAGCGGGAACTGGTTAGTGTGTTGTATCCATATGTGATTGATAGAGGTATAGAGATTTCACCCTCCAAAGATCCACCAGGCCAGCCTGAGTGAGCAGATTGCTTTAGCATATGAAGTTGGGGTTAGCTAGGGTAGTGGGACAGAGAATTTATCCATCTTGGGATGTATAGTCAAGTTAGTCTCCACATATAAATACTACGACTTGGCCATGTGAAGCTAGAAGTTCTACAAGATGTGAAAGAAAAGGGATATTGGTTGTTTTTGGAGCATGGTATCTAAGGATGATGAATTTTGGACTGTGTAGATTGCCTCGCAGAAGATATTGGCCTTGGGGTCAGAAATCTTTTTTGTCGCAAATGAGGTTAATTCCTTTTGTGAAAAGCTACTAAAACACTCCTGTGTTCAGGGGGTCATGAGGCTTGATAGACCAGTGGGTGAGAGGGATAAAAATATTTGATGCTGTATATGGAGAAAAGTGCATCTCTTGGAGACAATTTTTTCTGCAAGTTCAAATAGTTAATAGACCACTTGCCACTCAGAAGGTAGGTTTAGCTCTAGAGTCTTGAGGGTTAACCTTTCAAAAGCCATGGTGGGTGAGACAAAGGCACACCAAGACAAACAATTGCATTGAGCAACGCATTTTGCATGGAGCGATATATAGTGTTATTCCCCAGCCAGGTCCCATGGATGTGGGTGGAGTAGATGAAGATGGAGGAAGAGTAAGCATATAGTTTATGTAGAGTGTTGGTGAGCATGTAAAGACATAGAAACCGTTATATTTGTCAGGGTATCCTGTATGGCAGCACAGGGTCAAGAATGCACAACCGAGAATGCAGATAGGGATGCTTTGTATGAGAGAGCTGGGTGCTATAACAAGCCATAAAATGGGGGTGGGAGATAGAAAAATATTGAAAGAAGAACCTAAAGCGGGCTACCCTGCAAATGGTCATGGAAGTGGTCCTAATTGTGAAGAATACATGGATTATGTTGGTGTTGGATGTGCATCCTAACCACCACCCCCAGAGTATGGTGTATATTGAGAATTAGAATCAATAATTGAAGAATTAAAATTGCAAGTGATGCATTTTGTGAGGGGTGGCCCCAAAAACTGAGAAGCGCTTTCCTCTCAGGCATATATTAGAAGCTGCTTTAGGATTGAGTGGCACATGGCAGAGGTAGTCATGGTTGGAGGTTAGTTGTAAGTGTGTTTTCCCTTTTAGTGAGAGATGATCTAATAATCTAAACACTGAATGTGCCATCATCAGCTAGCAAGGTATGCAATTCAGTAATTTCTATAAAATGAATAGATCATACATTTGGTATAACAGTTTAAAAGACACACCTCTGATATACATCCATAAATGACTCTCTGAGGCAAAACTGGAAAACTCTTCTAGGCAACAGGGTAACCTGCCTCATGGGCCCATGGAGATTAGTAGAGCAGGCCCTAATGGAAACACTTTAGTGGTTGGTCCCCAGGAACAGATGGAAACGGGTGCCATGCAACTATATATATAGTGGAATGAAAAGCGGAAAGAAGTCTGATATGACTGCAAATAACAGTCCCTCTAGAATAGTGGCTTAACAAATGAGTCCTAGCATAAGTCCTTGAGTGGGGCCTGCTCAAAACTGATTGTGTTGTAAGTCTAAGTATGTATGGCAAGAAACATAAAAATTAACCATCAGTAAGCATTAAGCAAGTGAAGGAAGCCACAAAATGGCATCACTTGATCAAAGGGTTGGCTTGCCCACTATGGCCATAGTTAGCCCAAGGAAAAGATGTACAAGGTCAACTATTTGCTCAAGAGTAGAATACTTGAGATCCAGGTTGTAGTTTCGAGCAGTGTGGTGGGATTCTCCAGAAGATGAGGGTGCAGAGGCATCTTGAGAGAGTTGTTTGCCAAGTTCTTGGAAGCAAGGTTGTAACTCATCAGCTGGTTAAAGCTGGAAGTCTTTACTGTTGTGTGCAATTTGTAGCCTAAAAGGTTACCTCCATTTTTGGAGCATTGTTTGAGCCAGGTCAGTGTGGAGAGTATAAGCATGACCCTGCAACTGTAATGCTAGTTCTGGGCTGCCTGCAGAAGTTGGTCTTTGGTGCGTGGTAAGAGTGTAGCTTGGCAATATCTTGCTGCAGGCTATTCACTTGCTTAGGGCCAAGGAATCTATGAACTCTGTCCATCTTGAAGCAGTATATAGGCAGGTTGGAAGCTAATTTCTGAAATAAAGGCCATCACAGAACGTTGCAAATCCTCAGTGGTTTCCGAGAGAGGCCCCTGATGTGGATATTTCCACGATGGTCTCTATTTTCAAAGTCCTCTAATTGATTTTGCAGGCGGGACCATTTATTTCTGTACTATTTCGAAGGCCTGTTCATGACTGTTGAGGGCCGTGGTGGCTTCATCCATTCTACCTCTCAGCAAGGCTGTATGGTGGCCTATTTTGCAGATCTCTCACCAGAGCTCTGTGGTAATGGCTGCGGAGTCTTTGGGAAGTTCCTCTTGTACTATGTTCTTCAGGTTTGAAGAGAGAGAGGCATCAGGTTTTGGCTATATACCCAGCTGGTTGTCTTTAAAGACTTTAAAGCTGAGCCTTTCCTTGTGGTGCTGTGCAGAAGACTTTATATCTAAGCCTTTCCTTGTGCTGTGCTCCATCCTGGCTGAGGTATGCTGGCCAACCAGGGTAAGTGAATTTTGGTTTTCCCCTTCTACTTTTAGGTTGCTGGCTCATCACACCACCATCTCATCACAGGTCAAGTCCATAACTGCTGGAGTGACCAGTGAGTGGATCAGCTGAGTTGGTGTTCCATGTTACGCAATGGTTTTTGCTTTGAGTGTGGAGCTTTTTCAGAAGGCAAGCGTTCGGTTCCACTGTATGCATGCACCCCCTGTTCTTATTTTTTAATTACAAACACCTTCTTCACCTTTATCTCCAGTACATATGGGGAGGTGTTTTGTATTTTGCACAGTTCGAGGCACAGAAAGTTAGTTTTTTAGCACTTGCCTGAATTGTACATAGTGACACTAAAGCTTTGTTTTTTTTGTTTTGTTTTTTGTTTTTTTAAATAACAAACATATTTATACTTACCTGCTCTGTGCAGTGATTTTGCACAGAACAGCCCCGATTCTCTTCTTTTGGGCCCCGCTGGTGCTCCTGGGTCCTCCCCGTCGAGTAGTGCCCCCCATGGAAAGCCACTTGCCCTGGGGGCACCAATGCATGCTTGTCCCTGAGCTGCTGCTCTGTGTCCATAAGACACATAGAGCCGCGGCTACCCCACCCTCACTCTCTCCTCACTGGCTGTGATTGACAGCAGCGGGAGCCAATGGACTCCCGCAGCTGTCTCAGCCAATGGGGAGGAAGAGTCCCCAGACAGCAGAAGCTGTCGAGAACGTCTCTGAATCGGAGGGAGCTCAGGTAAGGATTTGGGGGGGGGGGGGGGGGAAATGTGCTGCAGTCAGGTTTACCTTTTCTGGTATGTATTCTTAACTTTGAAAGAGGCTGAGAGCAACAAAAGGTACTTTTCTAATTCCTTTTGGAGGTTGGCTACATTCTTTCTCCATGGAATGTGCCCACACTGTTAAGTTGGGTCTAGCTCCCTCTCAAGATGGACTACGAACTATGCCTTATGTACTTTGGTATTTGTAGTGTGCACACAGCAATGCACATGACCGTGAACATGTACTGCTTGTATCAAACAAATGGAAATTTGGGTGCTCGTGGAGGATGTTACAAAGAGGCCAAAAAGTAACAAATGATTTCATGAAAAAATCTATTACAGGGCCATTAACCCCTTGACGCCGACGTAACACAAATATGCGGCCTCACGGACCTGGGCTTTTTTCCGTGGGGCCGCATATTTGCGTACCTGTCTTTGTGTTGGGAGCGCGCCCCTCAGTGCGCTCCCAGCACCGAGACCGCGGTGTCACTGAGAGCACCGGGTCCCGTTCTAACGATCGGGACCCGGGACTCCCGGTCCCGGGTCACATGATCGCTGTGATAGCCTCTGATTGGCTATCACAGTGATCAGTCACTGTGCAGCCCGGCCCCCTTGTTTTTTTTTTTTTCTCTCTCTCTCTATGAATGGAGAAGAGAGATACATTGTATCTCTCGAACTCCTGTCAGAGAGAAGAAAAAAAAAAGTTTGTAAAAAAAAAAAAAAAGATAAATAAATATTAAAAAAATAAAAGAAAAAATAAAAAAAAATACCTAGATCAAGGTTTGATCTAGTTCAGTGCCAGGGTTAGTGTTTAGGTCAGGGTCAAGGTCAAAGGTCAGGGTCAAAGGTCAAGGTCAGGATTTAAAAAAAATTGGTATCAGTGTCAGTTAGTGTTAATGTCAGTGTCAGTTAGTGTTAGTGTGTTTTAGGTAAAAAAAAAAAAAAAAAAAAAAGACAAAAACAAAATGCGCACTATGGTTTCTGGGCTGTACTACGGGTACAAACAACAAATAACATACACATATATGGTATCGCTTGCGATCGTCAAGAGCTGGAGAATTTATTTTGGGTTGCTGTTTGGTGGTAGGTTATGGTCATAACAAGAAACACATAGCTAAATAAAAAAAAAGGATTTTTTTTACTATTTTTGGCCAGTTTTCCTTTGATAATGAAAAAAAAAATCAGGAGATATCCATTACCATTTACCACCAAATGAAAGCCCAATTTGTCCTGAAAAAATCAAGGTATAATCCACCTGGATGTGCAAAGTAGTTGTGATGATATGTACGGTTTTTGCTATCACATGTCAACGGTGCAGAATTGTGCTTAGGCATTTAGATTTGTTTTACCCTTAGGCGTGAAAGGGTTAAATAGTGAATTTGTATGGATGATTTTTGGCAGATGTTATCGTTTAGTGTCCCTTTAGGAAACTAATGCAGTCACTACTACCACTACAGACTGGTAATCTGCAAATATATATAGGCCTTGGTTCTTGGGTTTAGTTATACTTTTAAAGCAACTCTGGTTTCAATGTAGGGGCATTATATAATCTCAAAATTTTGTTAAAATGAATTATAAAACGCTTTTCATATTTTGATATAAAATAAAGAAGACATCTTGTTTAATCAGAATAAAGTTTTGTTCTGTGTCTCTACAGTGGCAGCTGGACTGCTTAGCATGTTTGCTAAAATTGATATGTCAGTTTGCCGTGGACCCGGCAGATCTGGATCTGGCATATCATGATGTCTTTGCTTGGTCGGGATTAGCAGAGAGCCACAGGAAAAGAGCTTGGCCTGGAAAATCAAGAAAGTCTGGTGCAGATCATTCAAAAGGCCTCCATATACCTCGCTTAACAGAGGTAAGTAATTTGCATGCTTTTGGTTCTTGATTTTTGAAGGTTTTAGTCAGTGTGATTGCATTATTTCCAAAAAACAGATATATGTAGTTAATGAATTTTACATTATTTTGTCTTTTTTCTATAAACACAAGTTCTAGTGTAGCAAGGCCATGCAGTGTAAGGTTACAGAACTGCAGTTAGCTTACTGATCTTACCAGGTTCTTGACCAACTGTTCAGAACACTTAAAAGGATAGAAAAGTGCCATTAAGATTCAGATTATAAATTTATGGTTGGGATTGAAGGCTAAAACCTAAATTGTTGCTTTGTTTCAATGCGATAAAGATTATATTACCAAAGCATCTCCTGTTTTGCAGTGCCTTGCAATGCTTGTGCTCTACTCCCTCTTGCAATGCAAGTCTGAGTCAGCCGACTCATTGACAACAATGACCTCTGTGTTGTCTCATCACTTGTCCAAAGGGCAACTCTTGTCTGCTGAGAGCTCCTACCTACAGTAATTAATTTAAAAATGAACACAATAACAAAAATATTGCTTTGCAAGTATGTAAAAATGTTGCAATGGTAGCACAAATTGCTTTAAAGAGCCTATTCAGTGCAAAGTGACAGTCTCTTGATAGTCCACCAAAAGTGGGTTCTATCATAAAACCGGGTCTTCCATATATGAGAGATCATGTGACTGTGCTTGGGCATAAGTATAGTCAGTGAGGGAGTGCCTAGTTAGCCATACAACCTGTCCTGACTTAAAACTAATGTGTTGCAGGCTGCTGGCTTACTAACAGGCTCATCTATAGTAGATATATAGCTATTGTGTTGGACTCTAGTTATATGACCGAGTTCTACTTCAAGCCTTTTTTTCTCTCAGATTTTTTTCTGTTGACTTTGCTGCCAGAGTACAGGGCACATTAAAGCACATCATTGTCTCCACTTGTTGAGACAAAAACAATTTCCTCTGGGTGATCAATGTCCTTCATGTTGTCTGCAGAATGAATCTTAATGGGAGTGATTTTCTCATTGTTGATCATCTGATGCACTTGTAGTCTTCTAATGAGGAAAATGCAGGGTCTGGATCCCTTTAGAAGTTATTAACCCTAGGAGAGTATCTCACCAAATATGACATTTTTGTTGCAGAGGTTGCCCAAAATCTAGTTTGTATGTTTGTGCATACTTCTGGGAAACTCTGTGAGCCAATTACACAAGCAGGAAATTGACATCCATGGGGAGTTCCGTACACCAATGGTGCACAGAACACCTCCAGGTTGCCATATTGCATTCAGTTTTACAGAAAATGATAGCACTGCAGATTGAAAAGGAACATTCAATTACAGTATGACATGTGTAGCAATTGTATGTGCTGTTTTTTTTTGTTTTTTTCTTAATTTGCTATTCTTTTCTCATGAGAGCAAAGTTACCCTTTAAAGCTAAAGAACTAGTATACATTATAAGCATTAGCTTCTAAAGGAAGTTGGCAAAAGCAGCACAGATACTTTATTTTGGTTCCCATTCAATTTTGATTTCCCCTTTTAAGGTCGTTGGGGTTTTTAGCAATTAATTTGCACTTTTTTTTTTTTTTTTTTTTTGTATCTGAAGGTTTTTTTAGTACTGGTACAAGGAACGTGTATGATTCAGAGGTTGATGTCTGTTGCCTATACCTATGACAATTTAGCCCAAAGGTGAGTTATCATTTTTCACTTACGTTCACTGTGGGGCTTAGCATACATCTGGGGTATAAGACTTGCTGCATGTGTTATCTTTACTTTTTGGTTTGTATAGAATGGGGAAGATTTAAATACCCTAGTCAGGTTTTATTGCTTGGGGCCAAATTAAAGAGATTTTCTGTTCCTTATGTAGCATTCCCACAATTCACTTTGGTTTCCCCCATGCCATTACTTATTCTGGATTTCCTTGATTTCATACTCATCCTGCATAGCACATACAGGGTTGTCCTACTGCAAACCACCAGTCTGCTGCCATCTTGGTCTTCTCTACTCATAGGGTTCTTGTGATGTATGCCAGGTCCACCCACTGCTCCTGCCCCTGCCTCCTGTAGCCTTATAGAGTATGTGACTTGATAATCCCAGGAGGCTGTGGGAGCAGGGACCTCTTGAGGTTTAACTTAAAGTGTAACTAAATCTAGCCACTTCAGGCCTGTTTTTTGTTTTTTTACGTCCTAAATGTTAAAAATGTTAACATGGTAAAAGTTTAATGTGCTTGATAACATGGTGTGTTCTTATTGCAGGGTACTGAAAGCCCAATCTGATCATAGGTCAAGGCATGAAGGTAACTAGTTTTCTCTTATAATTTTGCAGCCCTTTTTTTTTTTTACTTCTGCTTACATCATTTGTGTTGATTCTTATATTTATGCATCTGTGGCACTATTCTGTCTAAAAGTTTTTATACTGACTTTGCAGGCCCTAATTTCATTCTGATTATTAGTTTGAGTTTTGTTGTTCAGGAAAAATCTGTATTTACAAAAGGCACTGTTCTGACCTTTTATTTTTGTTGATGATTGCCTGATATGTTTGAACTCCTTGGGTCTCTTGCACACAGTACTGATATTTGAGCATCTACTTTTTTAACCGTAATTTCAGGCACTTGTTTTATGTGTATTCGTGCGCATATTTGCGCACATGCATGCGCATTTGCACTCAATATATTCTTTGGGGAAATTGTAAATATTTATGCTCATATGCTTGTATTTGCGCACAGGCAGCGTAAATTACTGACCAAAAATGCCGGTTCCTACAATTTTTTTTTTTTTTAATCTGGAATTTGCTGCACTTATTTATGCACCTGTGTGCAAAGGCACATTGTAAATAATGGGCTACATTTTACCTCCATAAAAAAACACGCTGTACTGAGCTTTTTCAAGCTACAGTGTGCAACAGGCCTTGATAAGCTTTGTTGCTTATGTGTACCTGTATTTCTACTGTATATTTTGGATATCCAATAAAGCTCTTACAGGGAAAAAAGGCACTGTTCTTTTTACTTCTAAACTTCTGTTTGGTATACATTACCTAAATGCTGTTCTATATTTATTACAGTAAAGTATAACTAAAGGCAAAACTTTTTTTTGATTTTTTTTTGTTTTAGTTTTGGATAGCAAGGAGATAGATTGGAACACCTGTCAGATTTTACTGTTGTCTGCTCCCCTGTTAGAGAGATTTACCTCTCTATTTGCCCTATTTACCGTTATAATTGAAAGTAAAAGAAAATTCCAAATTCTGGGCTGCCCCCAGAAAAAAGTATTAGAGGGGACATCTTCCAATGGGAATTCAACTTCTGGTGACCTGGGGAGGGCCCAAGGGGTTACATTAATTTGCAGAGATTTTCTCTCACTTCCTGTTGTGTTTGCTTTGGGACAGGAATTGAAGACAAATCTCCCCACTTATATGGCAAAAAAGACTGATGGGGTTATAACCCTCCATTACTTTATCCAAAATAAAAAAAAAAAATGTTTGCCATTAGTTATACTTTAAATGTAAATACCTGAATTTGATTTGGTGTCAGCCTCTTGCAGTTCACTATAAAACAGAGTTCAAATTGGGAAAAAGGGAGAATCAGCACAAAGATTTAGCCAGTGGGCCTGCATGCTGATGATGAGAAAGTAGAGTGGCTGAAGAACGTATCGGTCAGCTGGCCTCTCCTTTACATTGTGCAATCACAGACTGCACATTTCCCCAACTTTTATCCCTACACAAAACCTGCAAGTACAGAAAAACACCCACTGATCTGCCAGTAATACACTCGCATCTTAGTGTTACCGTGTTTTTGTTTTGTTTTTTTTACTCACTATGGAACCTAAGGTGTTAATCTTGCACATTGTGTAAAAAGGCTGTTTGAGCCTGTCTTCTCTGATCTTCCCCTTCTTCCACAGTCCCCAATCCATCTGCTGATAGTACAGAGCCCTGGGAGACATTCTGAAAATACTCAGTTTGGGGTGTATAGTTAGTGGGGGTTTTTTTGTTTGTTTTTTTTGGGAGGGTGCATGTCACCACTATCCAGACAGAGGGTCAGGGGTCATGAAGCCTTGTAGGATAGTCAGAGGAGAATGAAAACTACTCCTACAGGATTGACCAGTGGTCAGCCAGATACTAATAGATGTCACAAGACTGCTATATACTGCTGATGAGAAAAGGTATTTAGCAGTTTATATTTACTAAAATAATTGCATTTCCATGTTCTGTGTACTGTGGGAGACGAGATATAGTTAATACAGGGTCCTGGGTTTGGTAACGCTTTAAGCCCTGTTGTTTGCTAACACACAGCATTGGTCTGAGTGGTATCAGCTGTGCTCAATGTCTTTTTCTAGACTACTCAACTCACACTTTCCTATCTCTGTAGCATAAGATAAAGGCTAGTAGGCCTAAATAGACTCTTTGAGGTAATGCAGGAAATGTGCAGAGGCTCCATGACGGCCCTGAATTTGACAAGATCAACAGGGTTTTTTTCACTTGCCAGATATAACAAAACGCTTCCAATGCTATGATTCCAACAGATCATACTGATTGGCATAGCTATGGTAATCCCAGAACTAGATAGACATAAAGATCTGTTGGTAGCTAAAGTAACTTCTGTACCATGTACACATTTCATCTGTTTATTTAGCTGTTTACTAGGAGTTCATCTTTACGGACTAAAAGCAAACAGCAGGGGTGTGCAGTATTCAATAGTAGTCAATCCTAACTCGGGATTCAGTACATTTTTGCTTTTTCATACTAATTAAATGATGTATTATTGTCCATATTTCTTTGCTTTATACTGTGGGTACAAATTTTCCTGCAAGTGTGAAGCCATTTTGTGACTCAGTACTTTAGTACCTTAACCTTGTTTGCTGTTGTGGAAGTCATAGCCATTTTAAAGCAGAACTTGTGACTATTTACATATTTCCTGTGTTTTTGCTCTCTAGTTACACATTATTCAATGTGGCTCCTGGTTAGTTGGGCTCATTGTTGTTCTTTGGTGAAATCTAGCCTTGCAGACAGTGATAATTTACAAGATTGGCTCAAAAAATTAACTCTTCTTATTCCTGAGGTAAGATTTCAATATATCTCGTGCCTATCATTGTAGGTAAACCTAGTTTGTGAAATTCAGTAAAGCATTGTAACTGCTTTTTCTTTGATTTTTTTTTTTTTTTTTTTATCTTAAAAAAAATGGTCAAGTTTTAGGTCTTATAGTTAAAATTCATTAAGAGTTAAATTTAAAGCATATTTTGTGCTTTTAGTATATCTCGAGGGGACCCCTCTTTGCATAGCTCCCAGCTGTTAGCTGAATCAAGACTTATTTTCACATTTTTGTTTCAAGTCAGAATCTACTTTTTTAAAAGAGAAGTATAGGAATTCCTTTTTTTTGCCAAATCATACTTACCTAGGTGGATGCAGCATCGGTCCCCCACCTGATCTAAGGGTGAGGAGAACTCGTCTTCCCAGCACAGACACAACTGAATGATGAGGATTGGTATAGCCGGTACTCGTTGTTGACTAGTGCCTGCTATATCAATTCTCATCATTCCCAGACAAAATGCCTAAAAATTGCCCTAAAATTGTGTAAAAGCCAGCAGTAGATCAAGCCTACCTTTTAGTTAAAGAAAGGCTCAGGTTTTCATTGTGCATCATTATAACCTTCTATCTGCCAGCATCCTAACAACCATTAACATAATTGGCTGATGAAGAGGGTGCACAGCATCTTATTTGCCCCTACCCTGCCTCTCCCCGTCAGCACTGGGGCCAAATTGCCTGAGTGAGGGAGAGAAACCGTGTACAAAGGTGTATTTGCATAGAAAAAATAAATATCAACTCTAACGCTGGTGTCTTACATGTGTGGATGTTGCTGCAATATGTAAAATTTGAATAGGGTGCCTTCAGATTATGCCAAATTTTAAAGGGTGCCTGCCTGAAACAAGTTTGAAGAAATGTATCCTAGGGAGATGGGAGAGCCTTCTCCAGAGTCCCTTCTGCCCACATATATTTTATTTATTCTCAATTTCAACACTTTGCAGGATGGGGAAGGGATAAAATGTTGCAATTTCTTTTTGTGGAGCATGGCCCGGTTGTATGCCTTGGAGACGAGGTACTTAAGTTCATCTTCAGGCATTCCTACTATATATTTAGATGGAGGAGTGTGGAATACTGTAAAACATTTGTTGGCGCGTAATAAGTCTTTCTAAATATACTCCATTATAGTCCAGTGAGTGTCTTCTAGAAGTGACCAAGCATTGTCCTTTTTGTAAGAACTGTTTTTTCAACATTTACAAATTCAGCACTCATCCTGAACCCAAAATCTTACTTTGGATGTCGGTACTGTCCCAGCGGTATTGACATACTTTGTTATACAGGTTTTCTACCTTTTAACCAAATATTTGGCAAAATATTCTCTTCAATTGTAAATCTAATTGGGAAAAAGTTGGGGAACTGTTTCAGATGAGCAGTGGGAGGTGGTTCTAAATTCATTATTGAAAGTGGCTTTATATTCCACATGTAGACACAAGAATTTAAATTACCTTCTATATCTATATTGTAGGTGCCCAATATTGGTGTGCAACTAGCAGGAAGTTCTTAATATTTATTACCCAGGCTTTCCATGTAAAGTTAGAATGCAACCATCTTGCTTGCAGTCTAGGGTACGCTGCTAATAGACAATCTAAATTGTTATGTCACTGAGGCTGTTCTGCGATTACTGTTTGTGGCTAGAAACCTCATTTTAAAAAAGTTGGGTAGCCGAAGCTGGTTGATAGAAATTAGGTTATTTCTTGAGAAGTACGCGTGACAACATAGAGGATGTGCACAATATACTAATAATTGGTCCTGCTGGTTGTAGAAATATAATCTTGGGTTTGGAAGGGATAAAATGAGGGCAGGAGTTTAGTATGTTGGGCTTGGTAACCTGTCTCCCTAGTTATACCATTTTTTGCTAGTCTGTAGAGTTTGGTACCTACAGTGTCTAGGTGGGCTTTAATGTGTAAAGTGCTACATACTGTTTTTATGTATCCTTATTTCTTTTTAAATCACATTTTATTTAATATTTCCCAAATTACACAAAAACAAAAAAAAATACAATGAAAGAAAAAAAAATTAGGCAAAAGTAGGAGTTTTCACATACCTTGAAGTTCATTACAGGACACCAGAGTTTATTTTTGGACCATTTGTTACATGCTGCTACCTTCAGATGATTGAACACTGGCAAAAGCTTTGCTGGGAACTGCCCTCCAGTGTACCTATATAAGCAGGCATGTAACCCATGGCCTAAGAATCAGCTTCTGTGTCCTGTACTGTACTCCAAGGTATAGAATTTAGAGGTATGTGAAAATTACTATTTTTGCCCATTTTTTCTTTGTTTTTTTTTCTGATGAATGTTAGTATTTTTTTTTCTGTTTCTGTGTAAATTGTGATGATAGATAATCTGATTTATAATGAAATCAGAATATATAAATAGTATTTAATACTGTTGTTTCCTGTAGTAACCATTGAGGTGGTCTTGGGAGCCCAACCCTAACAAGAGTTTTCATTATTCTTTTTCATAAGGCTGAGACTTGGGAGTGGAGGGTTATAGATGTGGCAGCATTCTGGGCCACAGCTAAATTATACATATTTTCTTGTGCACTCATTGTACTGCATAACAGAACTTGTTAGAAATGTACTTTAGAATTATAGGCATTTTACAATAGAATTAGATTGGGAATAGGCAAAGAACACTAAATCTGATTGAAAGGCCATTTATAAACTAACAGTATAGGAATTTGAGAACTGTCAGGGCTTACCTGTTTTCAAGACTGGGCATATCCTTATCCTTAACTATTTGGTGATTTACTAAAACAGAAATGCATGTCAGGTGGTAGGCTCCATGCACATTAGTGTTTTTTAAGGCTCCTAGAAGCTGTTAGCATTTTCTTTCTGTTCCTAGAAGCGAAATAGTATTATCCTATGTGTCCATGCACATTACTTTAGGCTATTAGCTTTTTATGAGCTTCAGAGCTGATTCACACATGTGCGGTGCGGATTGAAGCTCAGGTTCCTGTCAGGTTTATATCAGGTTCAGGATTTTATCCTGTTCACACACATGCGGTTTAGAAATGGTTCCCATACAAGTCAATAGTCTGTAATGCACACCTGAACCTGAAGGCACTGCTCAGAAATTGTACATGACTCTTTTTAAAACCGCACTGAATCTGCACCACCAGTCTACCGGACATATATTATGTGAACAGGCACCATAGGAAGCAATGTTTTTTGCACATGTCATGCAGATTGGATGCAGTTCAAACCGTATCCAATCTGCATATATGTGAGCCAGCCCTCAGCATCTAGGAGCAGAAAAAAAATTGTTTTTGTAGAGTGTTTTTTTTTTTTTTTTTTTTTTTTTTTTTTTTATCTTCAGCATTTTTCCATTAGAAAAAAAGGCAAATGTTTCTAAACACTACTAAAACGCTTTATTTTTTTTTTTTTTTTTTTCCCCTACATGTACTGAAAAGATGCCAGTTAAGCACTCCTAAATGCTATTTAAACGCTATTGTCAGCGGTTTTTATCCAGAATTTTTTCTACCTTTTTTGAGCGTTAAAAAAAAAAAACGCTAATGCGCATGGAGCCTTAAGCCTTCCTTACTTATTTTGGTTCATTGATATGACTCACTAGATGGTAAAGTAAGAATGAAGGTGAAAGCCCCAGGCGTTTATACTGTTTGACTTGGGCAGTTTCCATATTCCTTTCATTACCTGATCTTTTCAAAGTAGAACGTTTTAGAAAAATTCTGAATATTTAGCTGTTTAATATATGCACAGTTTGGACTGACGTGTAAAATTAAGTTCTGCTTTCCTTGAAAGACTGCAGTTCGGCACGAATCATGCAATGGTCTGTACAAGCTGTCCCTTTCTGGTCTGGATGGCGGTGACTCAATAAATCGATCATTCTTGCTTCTGGCTGCATCAACATTATTAAAGTTTCTTCCTGATGCTCAAGCACTAAAACCCATTCGGGTAAGTGGAATATTTTCAGTACATCAGACATAGTTTCTTTTATCTTGTTTCATTTCTGGCCCCTACATCAGTGGTGCTCTAGAAGTGGGACACAAATCATAAATGTCTTTCACTTCCCATCAATAGTTCCTATAACATTCTTACATTCTTTGTTTTGAGATTCCCTCCTCCTCTCTTAACTACATTACCAATCATACCAATGAAGCTAATTAAGGGTATCTAGGTTTTTCTGATGAGCAGGGAGGGCCACAGACAGAAATTTGGATGGTCCCTGCTGAACCAGCTAAATTTTATCCAAGTGTACTCAGCATTATTACTGTAAATCTGCATTGTAAAAACATTTAACTTTTTGCGCTGTGACTGGTAGTCTTGTCAGATTTGAGTGAAATTTGGTGATATCAGTGCTCTGCTGTTTACTGTCCTTGCTGGAGAGAAAGCAGTTCCTGCAGTGCAAAAAAATCTTCCTGCTTCTGCTTCAGGCAGATCCTGTCTTTGTCCTCGTCTTGCCTCTTTTGTCACTGTGTTTAGGACCTGCGCTTAAGTGAACACTCCACCTCCAAACTGACTCCCGCTAGCTCATTGGTCAGTGACTCAATTGAGTGATTCATTATCATAATAAGCAGACAGGAGTAGGCATGGTGAAAATTGCAAAGTTGAACTACGAAATTGCCATTTGTCACCTGGCTGGCTGCGCTGTGTGGCAGAGGTTTGTAACTCACTGGAGTGGCTATATAGAATTAAAACAAAAAAAAACTTAGATTGTAAAACACTGATTCTAAAGGTTCATTTTTTGGGGGTAAAATAACAAACATGCTATACTTACCTACTGTGTATAGTGGTTTTGCACAGAGCATCCTGGATCCTCCTTTTCTCGGGTCCCCAACAGGCTCTCCTGGCCCCTCACTCCTGTCGGGTGTACCCACAGCAAGCAGCTTGCTATGGTATCACCCGCTACTCCGTGTGTCCATTCACACACGGAGCCACGGCTTGCCCCCCCCCCCCCCTTCCCCATTGGCTAACTGGCTGTGATTGACAGCAGTGGCTCCCGCTTGCTGTCTCAGCCAATGAGGAGGCAGAGACCCAGGACAACATCGCTGGGTCCCAATGAGGCTCCAGTAAGTATTGAGGGGGCTGGGGGCACTGTTGCACACAGAAGGTTTTTTACTGTCATGCGTAGACGATTCACTGTCTCTCCGTTACCTAATTCCACAGAGATACAGTCACAGGGACTTTGTTAGCACCTGGGTTATTGCAGTTCTATTATAGCGGCTAACTTTAATTCCCTCAGTCTGCACCATTCCATGAGTGCCCTGCAGGGGAAGACCCTCACTTAGCAATGGCATATTAGAGAGTTTACAGCTTTAAGGTCACTGGGAGTGTTATTTTCCTTCCCTTTTCGGGGGGACTCTTACGTGTTAGACATGCATAACCTGTCATTTTCCATAAAAGTTTCCATGGTCCGGGTCACACTAGGAATCACACAGGAACATGCTTGTGTTCTGTGCAATTTGAATACACTGTTTTTCGCCTGTTTGTTTGAATGGGCTGAAATCGCACTGCACCACTCCCAAAAGTAGTGCATGCATTACTGTGTGATGCGATTTGATGAAGACAAATGTACTGCATATGCAACCTGTGTTTGGTGTGTTGTTGGCATTGCAGTTACACCTGCTGCAGATCACAAGGGTTCTGTATTTTGAACGCAGTGCCGGAAATGCGCATGGAACACTGGTTTCCAACCCCATGTTCTAATATGAACAGTCCCTAAAAATAACTAAAGTAATTTGACTTTGGCATAGTTACCCAGGGTCCTGTCATTATGTTTTTTACAGTAGCTAGGCCTCTGCCTGACCTATTTTAGACTTATTACTATATCCACCACATGAGAGATTTTATAAAATTTTTGCAAGTCAAGGGCCAACAAATCCAACTTAATTGTGCCGCTTTTTTTCTGTCTTCTATCCAGACTTCAACTTCTAGATCTTCATTCTTTCCTTTTGGCTTAAAACTAGGCTGTCAACTCATACCAAATCTTCCCAATGAAATAGCACCCTCACACCTAGGAGTGGGGATATGTCTGTTGCAATTCCTAGTTCACAGACATTACAGAGCTGTGGATTTAATCAAGTGTACAGAGAATTACAAGTTAAAAGTTTAGAACTCTAGTCCTTCACCATCTTCTTCTCCAGGTTTTGCTAGGTGGATGTGCAGTGCTCTGCATATGAAGCTTTCAGCATTAAAGCCTCTGCAGCGGCACACTGAAGCTGAATCCGTTAGCCATTGTTTTGGTTGGACCTGTTAGCACAGTCCTATTTGCCTGTTGGCTACCCTTATTTACTGACTGTGGGTGCCCCAGGGTCTATGAATACTATGCCTGTGTCTGTTAATACCATATTTTGGAGTATAGTACAGGGCAGAGGTTACCCTCTCTTTTTGTTCTGTGGTTATTCTGCATTGTTTACTTGAAAAACTGAGGATTCATGGAGTAATGCAGGGGTTTTGGGGAGACACCCTTTTGGGGCTTGTCCTTGAAAGCTTTACAAGTGACCAAATCACCTGAAGGTACAAGCCTATAACCCTGGGCTTTAAGAATGCTGTGCCTGTGTTCTGTACAGTGCTCCAAGATGTGGAGTTTACAGGCAAGTTAAAATTCCCCCTCTTTGCACCAGTCAATGCCTTTTACCAGCTTCGTAAGAGTCACACTGTCCCTGATTATTGCTTTGCAGTGTGTAGATGCCCTGATACATGATAAGCTTCTTTACAGTAGTTATATGGTTGCTCAGTAAAATCTTCTCTTAGATCCTGTATCTCTAATTCATTGATGCTCACCAGTCTGTGGTATTTTAAACTCTGTGAATACACTCTCTTCAGCAGACAGCATGCATATCTCTCCCCTCACCCTATACAAACATAACAGGACAGGTGGTTATCACCTGATGAGATAAGACTCCCCTAGAACGGCTTAAATTCTTAATATGTAGCCTCCTTTATTTGTGTTGACCAAATCCTTAGCTTCGTTCTCAATGCCCTGGCTTTACTCTTTCAAGCTCCCTTTTGCAAGGTGGCTCCTTTCTTTTCACATGCGATGATCTTCTGTATCCCTTTTGGTACATTCTTGCCCAAGGGAGTTCTCTTGCCCAAGCAGATCCCCCAACCCCCTTTTTTTGATCCTGGGGTTCACTCTAGAGCAGCAATGGGCAAACTACGGCCCGCGGGCCATATACGGCCCGACGGACCTTTTAATCTGGCCCGCGGAGCTAGGCTCCTCTCACAGTCCGCCCTGAAGACCGGTGTACCATGAAAATCTGTCTCCTATGAGGATCTGTCCCCCTCGACGTATCTGCGCATGTGCCGGAGATCGCCGATCGGCTGCTAATGCCTGAAACTGGCACATGCGCAGATACGTCGAGGGGGACAGATCCTCATAGGAGACAGATTTTCATGCTACACCGGAACGGCGCGGCAACATGGCGAGAGGAACGCGCGGAGCAAAGGTAAGTGAATTGACACAGGGGGGACTTGGGGACTTAATATGGGGAATGAATTACTATAGGGGGGATGAATTACTATATGGGGGATGAATTACTATAGGGGGGATGAATTGCTATAGGGGGGATGAATTACTATGTGGGGAATGAATTACTATATGGGGGATGAATTACTATATGGGGGATGAATTACTATATGGGGGATGAATTACTATATGGGGAATGAATTACTATATGGGGGATGAATTACTATATGGGGGATGAATTACTATGCTTACTATGGGGGAATATTACTATACTTACTATGGATGACACATACACATCATTCATCTACTCTTGGTCCGGCCCCCGGGTCCAATATATGAACCCATTGCGGCCCTCAAGTCAAAAAGTTTGCCCACCCCTGCTCTAGAGTATGTGTTCTTTAGAATCACAGTGCCATCTTCTCCTTTTTACCTTCTGGCAGCCGTACTGCGGCCCAGGCTCCCCTCACTTCTTGGAAACCTCTCCTATTTTTCCTAAGTAGGAAAATGAAATACCCTGTAAGCTTCTCTCATTTCTTAAGCCCACCCTCCTAGAGATGTTGATTTTTTTTTTTTTTTTTCTCCGGTCTGATCAGCATCAACAACCTGGGGTTTTTTTTTTTTGTTTTTTTTTTTCTTAGATTGCGGAACCACCACCAAATCCTATTCAAGTTTTCAAAATCAGGCTTTTTATGCTAGGCAACCAGTTGGCCGTCTGTTTGATTGTGCTTCGATCGCAACATGCTTTTGCTGTCAGCTGTTTATCCAGGTCCATTGATTCTTCTTGTGTTTTGCCAAAACATTCAGCAAGTGGTTGTGTAGTGTCCTTGTTTTCCTTTTTTTCAGTTTGGACATCCCCACATTGCTTAATTATCATCAAGCTGTGTCCCTAAATGGGACGATAGAGAAAATAACATTTTTGTACTCTTTTTGTTATCTTTTTTCTGAATCCACTCAGGGACACAGCTCCCTCCCCGCATGTGCTATTGTTTCCTTTTTAAACTGCTCGCTACAGTTGGCAAAGTGGGAGGTATTATAGCTTCAAAGGGGCTGGTGTTCAGCGTTTATGTAGCCTAGTGTCCATTTCTCCTGAGGCTGCATTATTCTATGTTGCTTGACTCTGAGAATAATTTTATGATGAGTAGAAAATTCCCATTTTTAGTTCATGATAATTTTATTAAAAATTAAATATTTAACAATAACAAGGACATACATGGACAAATCAAAATGGAACAATTGTTTCAACAGTAACCGTTGTAACAGTTTATGTTCAACATATAGGGGGAAATCTAGTAAAACTGAAACATGCAAAATCTGCTGCAACTCTGCATAGAAACCAATCGGCTTCCAGGTTTTATTGTCAAAGCTTAATTGAACAAGCTGAAGTTAGAAGCAGATTGGCTACCTTGCACAGCTGCACCAGATTCTGAGTGCTCCAGTTTTAGTAAATCAGTCCCACAGAATGTGAGCATATAGAAATTGTGAGGAGAGACATGAGTAAAGGGACCCTTAATCTTAGAAGAGTAACATAGCAAACAAAGTAGTGGATATCTGTACATAAGGATCTGACTAGTCAGCTAACAAGTCATTAAGTAGACAGCATGCCTCGTGTAACTCAATAAGATCAAATAAGAGTCATTCTGTTGACTTAACTGCCCCAAGTTCCATTTCAAAACTATGTAAAAATATCTTAATCATTAGTCAATATGATACAAGTTATGACATTTAGTCATGTCTTTTTTATTCAAAATGGTTATTTTTAGTGTTTCTTGATTCATTCTACCCTGCTATATGTTGTTTTTAAAAACATATTATGTTCTACTCACAGGTAGAGGATTATGAGGAAGAAACCATTCTACGACCTGGATGTAAAGAATATTTTTGGTTACTGTGTAAACTGATAGATAACATTCATGTCAAGGATGCGAGCCAGGTATAGTTGGAATACAGTGTACTCTATTGTAACAGCAAAATGGCTTTACAGACTAAGTGAAAAAACAAATGAGAAAAACTGTAGTGTTCTTTTAGAACTTGGTAATACAAAACTTTAGAATTTTTTAAAAGCTTATTTTATTACGACTGTTTTCTAATGCGAAATGCTGTATGTTGTGCAGTTCAATTTGCAGGATATATTCAGAAGATGAAGGCATACTGACTTTCTTTATATTTTGTTTGTGTCTGATAGAAGAACATTGTAGTGTCTCAGTTTGAGATTTATTTGTTCCAAACTATGAGGCATTGTTGTATAAAGAAACTTGTAGGGCATATGTAAAACAAGGGTCCATCAATATGTGAATATTTAATCTCTTCATGCCGGCCGCACACAAATGTGCGGCCTTCCGGCATCTGGGCCTAGACGCCGAGAATCCACACATTTGTGTTCTATTAAAAACGAACATATGTACTGCGAGCATGCACGCTCACGGAAAGGTCCCGATATCCTCTTTCGATCAGGACCTTTCCCAATCATGTGATGGCGTGTCACGGCGGTCACATAACCCTAAACTCCGCCCCGCCTCCCAGCTTCTGAAAAGGCCGGGAGGCGCCGGCACGAAGGGGTTAAAGTAGAAGTAAACCTACAGGTAAACCTTTAATAAGATACTGTAGGTATTGTAAATATCTCCTTAACGTGCACCATTTTGGAGATATTTACTGTAGATGCACCAGTGATGTCAATGGCGCATGTGCACTGCGCTGTCAATGGATGGGTTGCCGTCTATTAAGAGAGCCCTGCCGCGTCCAAAACTCTGTTCGCGCATGCGCAGGAGTGACAACATCGCGGTTTGGCCAATCAGATGGTCACAGCTCACGAACCCGGAAGGAGGACCTTGTAAAGATGGAAGCCTCAGGGAGCCATGACAGCGGTCTGCTGGAGGGCTTCCTTGTCAGGTAAGTCTTTCATAATTTGCTAGTATGCAGTGCATACTAGCACATTATGCTCTTAACTTGCTGGGAGATTTTTTTTTAATTTGATTAAAGCGGTAGTAAACTACGAAAAAAAAGATATTTAATCCTCCTTTTATTAAACAGCCATCATACTCTGCCTGCTAGCTGAATTTAAATTGGACCCAGAATGTCTTATATCAGTTGGTGAGTGTGCCTCTCGGGATTCAAAGTGGTTGTAAACCCTTACATTCACCCAGTGAAATGACTGGCGTCAGATGATACAAAACAAATCATCCTACATAAGTTGTACCTTTTTTATCTACAGCCATTTTCCCCCTACATCCATTCAAAGTGCAGAAATTTACACAGGATCTCTCGGCTCTGAAAAGCAGGGGCAGGTACCTAAAGTTACACTAGTGAGGAGAGCTCTGAGAGCTGATTGGAGGGATGGGACACACCTCCTTCACACAGGAACAGAGCTGAGGTTGTCAATCTGTTGCAGCTCCCTCCTCTGTCACCTTTTTTCTCTGGATGTCAGGAAAACTTGTTGGAAGCGACTCAGGCTGATAGAGGAACAAGGCAGCAGACATAAATTACACTTAGTGCTCTGGATTGACACAAGTACACACTATAGAGGGTATATGGTCATATTTCAGGTATGAGGTTTACAAACACTTTAACTGTCCTGTCTGGCAATACCTAAGGCATATTTATAAAGCAGTGTATGTGACTTTCACTAAACATTCACTGGTGGCGACTCATTCACTGTGAAACACATACTTCAGGAAAATGTACCTGCAGTGAATAGAGTAGATTTGAAAGCTGTCTGTTTCTGGATGTTTAGTTCAAGTACTAAATATTGTTGTGTTTTTTTTCTTAGACAACATTGCTTGATTTGGATGCGTTAGCAAGACATTTAGCCGACTGCATTCGCAGGTATGCCTCTTACTGTAGTTGCAGGTGCAGCCTATTTTGTCTCACTTTCTCTTGAGATCTTTAACACTTTCTGTTTAATCATCTTCATATAATTTAGGGCCAGTTTCCATTAGGGTGATCTCAAAGCCTTTAAAAACTAACCTGTTTTATAGCCCCCAGAAGGAAGCTGCTAAAAGTGTAATATTTAAAGTAGAGTGCTCAACATAAATGAGTACACCCCAACAGATTTGTCAGAAAACCTTTACTTTCCTTTCAGAATCAATATTTTCTATGGGACACTATACTACAAAATACCCCCACAAATGCCAGCCATTGATTGCAAACAAGACTTGTTAATTTGCACACACAAAAAAAAGGATTTTTCCTAACAAATTAATTCAAGACCATGATAAATCAAGGAAACCTGCGCAGCAAACAAGATTAAGACCTGTGGGCTGCTGCAATACAAATAGGGATACTGCGTTGCCACTCCGAAACTGTGAACTCTTAGTAGTGATGTGAGACCTATACTAAATAGCAGAGTGTAGTGGTGTAAAAACACCATCCTTCCAATATGTGTTCAATGATCTAACATGAACAAAATTACATAAATAAGTGGAACACACCTAGTTCCAATGCTGAGTGTGAAATTAGTGTGGGTACGACAATACACCTTCCTCTAAGATGTGTGACCAGAAAACTTACACTAGCAAAATAAGATGAACCAGTTGAGCTGTCTGACTCCATTGTGAGCTGTGTGAGTGCAAACCATATGACATGGCACTATAATGCCCCTCCCTAGTATGTGACACTAAAAAATAAAATATAACATATGAGTGTAAAATACATGCGTGAATGACATACAACAAAATGTGATGAGGACTGCAGTGCACCTTCCCCTATTGGCATATAATGTGAAAGGTGCTAAAAACTATTGAAATGCATTTGAAACCAATAAATATTATGTCCAATAAATAAAATAATTCCTTTGCCAAACCTCAAAAATAAAAAAAAAAACTAAAACAAATAAAATTTGAAATTCCTCTTCATCTTGCCCAAAAGAGCCCCTTGCAAGTCCAGTGCTGCTAGTGGAAACATATACTTCTAAAATGAATCAATACACAATCAAATTGACAAAGTTCATGCGTGATAGTTCTGGTGCTACAAAACACCTTCCACATTGAAAATATCAACGTGACTGTGTTGGTGATCTTGTCAACAAAAATATGCGATGAGTGCTTCACTCGTGCTCCCCCTCCAGAGCCCCACTCACAGCAGGGTGTTGACCACCTGGATAGACTGGTCAACAAGCCCCTGGAATGGACCAGCCTTCTGTGTTACTCTGTCACCTGCCGAATGTAAAGTCTGGTAGATGACAGTTATTGTATACAAGGTGACATCCTTGCTCATATATTGTCAGTAACATCACTGGGACCCCACGCCTTTACTTAAGGACATCAGAGACTTAATGGTTAAGGGACAAATTAACTTCAGTGGTTAAGGATGGTGGCAATGTCTGCATTGCCGAGTCCTTAACCAGTGGCGTCACCATCCCTATTGACTTGTATGGCTGGGAATCTCTGGCCATGAAAGTCAATGGGGCTGGTGACTTCAGTGGTTTTTAAGGACGACAGGCATCACTGGCATCCATGACCATTGAAGTCACTGGGCCACTCTGCGCTCGTTCTGATGCTCAGGTGAGGTGAAGCTGTGGAGCCCAACCACAGAAGAGGGAGAGAATAGGCACAATGCTTGATGGGAATGCTACATCGGGACTCAAAACAGCGCTCTGTCCAAAATTAAATGGGGAATGTTAGTGCGGCTTTTGAATTTCTGAAAGGTGGCACATGGAGAATGGTTGATTCTGTTGTGCCCTTGCAGAGAGGATGACGTCTGCACCATGGTGTGAACGAGCCCTTATTGTTGCTTCCCCACACCCCCCCCCCTCCTCCCCCCATCTTCTTTTTTTTTTTTTCTTTCTCTCTCTTTTTCCCCTGCATTTTTAAGTACCTCCTATTCAACCTGGGAGGTCATCGTCTTATATTTCTTTGAATACACCAGTTGAATGACACCCCTCTGGTCCAGTAGCCGAAAAAATGCTGTAGCTCAGTTCATCTACTCACACTTTTGAGATTCGACCTCCTCCAGTTTCACTTTGTTTTTTTGTTTTTGTTTTTTTAATTAATACTGACAACTATGTTATACTCTTTTTAAGAACATCAGAACACAATTTTCATGCTGTGGTTCAGTTTGACTATTGCATCAATTTACTCATTGTAATTCTCTCTCGTCCTACTATATTTTGGAACTATAGTTTGATTTATGTTGCACACTCCGGCTTATTGTCAGTCAATTGGCTCTGTATGTCTATGCTATCTGTTAATATAAACCTTTGTAAAAGAAATTCTGAAAAGTAGAAGCTGTGGCATTACTGCAGGAGTCAAATGAAGGGAGACATTTTTGTTTTTTTTTTACTGCGCAGTGCTTTGTAGTGTTATTTATTTATTTCAGGTACTTATATAGCGCTGTCAATTTACGCAGCACTTTACATATATATTGTACATTCACATCAGTCCCTAACCCTCAAGGGGCGTACAATCTAAGGTCCCTAACTCACATTCATATACAAGGGCCAATTTAGACAGGATCCAATTAACCTACCAGCATGTCTTTTGGAGTGTGGGAGGAAACCAGAGTAACCGGAGGAAACCCACGCAGGCACAGGGAGAACATGCAAACTCCAGGCAGGAGGTGCTGTGGCTGAGATTCGAACCAACGACCCTAGTACTGCCAGGCTGAAGTGCTAACCGTTTAGCCACTGTGCTGCCCTATGGGTTATAGGTGCCCTTTACATGAAAATAAAGGTTTTTTTTTTTTTAAATGTGAACTAAATCTTTAAACTCAAAACACTGTATTTTATATATTGAGCCCTTATAAAGCTATATAAAATTATGTACCTTTGTTTTTACATTTTAGCCGAGAAATCATGGACTACCAAGATGGTAATATAGAAGATGATGGTATGACAGGACTCCTCAGGCTTGCTACCAGTGTCATCAAACATAAGCCCCCTTTCAAATTTTCAAGGGAAGGGCAGGTAAGATTACAAATTTTTTTTTGTAGAAAAACACAAGGGGCCACCACTAAGTGCAGTAGTATGAAACAACTTTAATAAGCAGCCAAATGTACACTCATAGTTCCACAACAGGAGCACTTATCAGTAATGTAGAATCTATAAAAGGATAATTCACACACAATCCAATGCCCAGGATGGAGATGAGGAAGCTGAGTAGCCATGCGTCAGCTGGTTTAGGAAGTCATCGGGAACCACGGTCGAACATGGAACCAGAAATTGTTAGGCCTATCAACTCCTTTGTCAGAGCTGATAGGCTATGGATAGCGATGCTCATACTTCTAGTGAAGGGACTTATGGAGCCACTCCAGCACTAGAGGAAAGGCAGAAGTGCTGCAAGGCTTTGCAACCACAATGGACTCCAACCATTATCCTCCAAAGGGAACAAGAGTACAGAACAGAATTGCAAGAACATTAAAACATAAATACAATATAATAAATCGTGCTATAACATGAAGGGATATGGATACTTCAGCAATTTACTGGCTCCCCCCTTGTTTTTCTTCTATACTGTATTTCAGAGATCCATTCCAGTCTCTCAGTGGAGCTGCCTTCTTTGTGCTGTAATTTAGTCTCATTATGAACTACAGTATCTCCCAGAAGTGAGTACACCCTTCACATTTTTGTAAATATTTTATTATAACTTTTCATGTGACAACACTGAAGAAATGACACTTTGCTACAATGTAAAGTAGTGAGTGTACAGCTTGTATAACATTGTAAATTTGCTGCCCCCTCAAAATAACTCAACACACAGCCATTAATGTCTAAACCACTGGCAACAAAACTGAGTACACCCCTAAATGAAAATGTCCAAATTGGGCCAAATTAGCCATTTTCCCTCCCCCGTGTCATGTGACTCATTAGTGTTACAAGGTCTCAGGTGTGAATGGGGAGCAGGTGTATTAAATTTGGTGTTATCGCTCTCACTCATACTGGTCACTAGAAGTTCAACATGGCACCTCATGGCAAAGAACTCTGAGGATCTGAAAAAAAGAATTGTTGCTCTACATAAAGATGGCCTAGGCTATAAGAAGATTGCCAAGTCCCTGCAAATAAGCTGCTGCACGGTGGCCAAGACCATACGGTGGTTTAACAGGACAGGTTCCACTCAGAACAGGCCTCGCCGTGGTCGACCAAAGGAGTTGAGTGCATGTGCTCAGCGGCATATCCAGAGGTTGTCTTTGGGAAATTGGCGTGATGAGTGCTGCCAGCATTGCTGCAGAGGTTGAATGGGTTGGGGAGTCAGCCTGTCAGTGCTCAGACCATACGCCGCACACTGCATCAAATTGGTCTGCATGGCTGTCGTCCCAGAAGGAAGCCTCTTCTAATGATGATGCACAAGAGAGCCTACAGTTTGCTGAAGACAAACACGCTAAGGACATGGATTACTGGAATCATGTCCTGTGTTCTGATGAGGCCAAGATAAACTTATTTGGTTCAGATGCTGTCAAACGTGTGCGGCGGCAACCAGGTGAGGAGTACAAAGACAAGTGTGTCTTGCCTACAGTCAAGCATGATGATGGGAGTGTCATGGTCTGGGGCTGCATGAGTGCTGTCGGGACTGGGGAGCTACAGTTCATTGAGGGAACCATGAATGCTAACATGTACTGTGACATACTGAAGAAGAGTATGAAAGAGCGCACAATCCTTGCGCATTACCTCAATAGTGACTAATTTTATTTTATTTAGGAAATATACTCACAAAAGTGACGGTAGAACAGGCATAGGTGAACCATAATCCACACGGTTACAGGTAAATCCAAAGGGGGGGGGGATAAACGCGTTAGGGTGTACTCACTTTTGTTGCCAGAGGCTTGGACATTAATGTCTGTGTGTTTTTTTGAGGGGACAGCAAATTTACACTGTTACACAAGCTGTACACTCACTACTTTACATTGTAGCAAAGTGTCATTTCTTCAGTGTTGTCACATGAAAAGATATAATAAAATATTTACAAAAATGTGAGGGGTGCACTCACTTCTGTGAGATACATAATATGTATCACTATGGACTATTGTGGACTGTTTAAAACTCATTTTATGATACATAGACTAATTTGGGAGTGATTTGCTTATCTATAACTGAGATTGCGCGGTATATTTAATTTTATTTTGTGTCTAAATCTGTTCCCTTGCTCACTTGTCAAAATGTAACTGGATTTTTGTTTTTCAGGAATTCCTCAGAGATGTTTTCAACCTCCTGTTCATGCTACCCAGTCTTAAGGATAGACGGCAGCCCAAATGTAAATCTCATTCTTCACGAGCTGCAGCATATGACCTATTGGTGGAGATGGTGAAAGGCTCAGTGGAGAACTACAGACTATTACACAATTGGGTTATGGCACAGCACATGCAGTGTAAGAGCTAGTGTATTTTATCATATTTTTAATTCTGTGCTACTTGCTGGGCAAACCAAGTTAAAAACCTCCTGTGCAGTTTTGAGGAAGATGCTAAGAAGCTGTCTAGGAGAGGTAGAGCGTTTTATTTTGATGCTTAACAAGTTCAAACCCAGGCCAATTCTGATATTTTTCAAATACATGTAAAAATCTGCATTTTTTTTTCTATAGAAAATAACTTGGAGCTCCCAAACATTATATATTTTCTGAAAGCAAAGGCCTGGAGAATAAAATAATTGCTGTTGTGTTTTTTTTATTTAACATGGTATTTGTATAGTGGTTTAACCTATTTTTGGGTAAATTATAAGATTGTTACGTCGAGTAAATAGATACTCGACATGTCAGGCTTTAGAATTATGCATGCTTGTGGCATAGTGACAAATATAAGGGATGATTTAAAAGTCTTTACAGGTTACCAGTTTAGAGTTACACAGGAGGTCTGGTGCTAGAATGATTGGAGTCACTCTTACGCAATGATACCTTGTCAGTGTTGTCCAGTCATTATTTACATATGCTTGCAGGACTGACCCAAAAAAGCACAGGGGAGCAGGGGTGCTTTAAAATGTTCTTTTATTAAAAATGTATTTTCATTTTTTTTTATCAACTTTATTACTATCACAAGGGATGAGCAACATCCCTGTAGAAGTGATTGGGCGGCTGTAGAGGTATTCCTATAGAAGAATTTGAATTTGGCACCTCAGACATCACTATGAGAACATAAATTTGGAAAAACCTAGCCAAGAAAAGGTTGGTGTGGTTTAGTTGCAAGGGGATTCTCTTTGTTATCAGAATATTGTAGATTTAAATCACCCAAAATATTCTAAACATCAGTTATCTGCTTCAGCGAAGTACTCATACATCGCTTGACTTTCACAGTTATACCTTCAGCTGCAGGCATGATTCTAGTATAGTTTTTTAGAGCCGACGGTTCGCGTTCTTGTAAAAGCAATCTGAACAGCTAAATAGCCACTGGATCGCTTTTACTAGCAGCGGCAGGGGACGTCTAAACACCCCCTCCCCCCCTCCTCTCCAGGTCTCATTAGAAGTACCTGTTCCTGCTCATTGCTATCACGAGATATTTATATTTCCTGTGGTTACAATAAAAGTGATCCAAAAAAACGTTAAAGCAGCAGTGTAAAAATAAAAAATAAAATAAATTATTTTTAAAGTGTCCCTGTCCCCCTGTGTTCGCATGCAAAGACGAACGCTTGCAACAGTCCCCCACATGCGCAAGCGATGATCACTAGTTTATGCAGTTTGCCAATTTTTAAGGTCTCACTCCATTGCTTTCTATAAACAGAGTAGTTTGAGGACTGATAGTAGAATTGGTCTATTGAGTTTATGCTTGAGATGATAAAAAAAAAAAAGTGGGTTTGCCTAAGCATTCCAGTGTAATATCAGTCAAGAAGGCCTTTGTACTTGGTAAATTTAAAGCAGATTGTATATTTAGAACCTCTGTTAAAGGCTACAGTCACCTTTTTAGCATAATAATAATTCACATGTTTTTGCAGGTAAAAAGTGTGCTTTTTTTTTTTTTTTTTTTTTTTTTTTCCAGGAGCTTGCAGAGCATTACACCCACAGTCATTGGATTGTGGGTGCAATTTCAGACTCCTACAGCTTTCTGCCTTTACCTCTGTACGGGCTTTCTATTTGAAAGTGTCACTGAACTCCGAGAGCACTCACCAGTGCCCTAACAGTTCACTGAGAACTATAAGCTTTTTTCTGCCATGGCAGACAATACTTGTACTTCATTCATTCATAGATTTCTGTAAATGAATGACGTGACTGTGCAGGTGGAGCCCTGCACAGTCGTTCTGTTTTTTAAATCTGACAGGAGAAGATCTCCTGCCCACTGTCGCAGGGCATCAGGGGTACGGGGAGGTTTCTCAATCCTAAATACGGGTATCACATGTAACACATTCAGAAAAGTAAACTTCTCCTTTAAGGATTTATTGCTGTCTGTGCTTCTCTTGTGGGAATTCCCTTCTTTTTCAAAGCCAGTGAAACTGTTGTCACAAGGACTAGAAATGCTTAGAAATCTTAATTGTGCTCATAGGCAGAAAATAAATAACAGGCTTCAACCCTTACCCACTCAGGATAAAAGCAAAAGTTTTGCCTGGTGGTCTACTTCTAAAGGGAATACATCCTAAAACAAAGTAACTCTGTGAGGAGCCTCAGATGGAAACTACTGTTCTTTTCTTGGCTGCATACCAGTTCTGCTTTCTCATATCTTAAACAGCACAAGTATCACATGTAGGGTTTTATACCTAAGCTTGCAAACAGGTCATCAGGGAAGATATGTGCAATGTGTGTTGAATGGATGACAAGTACTTCATGTAAAATACAGTATAATGTACATTTTATATGCTTTCTAGACCTGTATTCTTCATTGGTCAAACATTGTCTCACATTTATGCTGCACACAATACTCTGTTGAATGATTTGTTTGATAAATGAATGTTGATAAAGATATCTCTAGCATAGCCCTTTTTGTGCCCTAGGTAAACAGCTGTTTGTTCTTCATATTACACAGCTTCCCATGCTCCCTACAAGTGGGACTACTGGCCACATGATGATGTGCGAGCTGAGTGCAGGTTTGTTGGACTCACAAATCTTGGAGCTACCTGTTATCTGGCATCCACCATTCAGCAGTTGTACATGATACCTGCGGCCAGGCAAGCCATCTTTACTGCTAAGGTATATTGATATAATAATAATAATAATCCTAGGTAGAATACAGAATTGTTAGTCATTATTTAGTGAGGCTAACTAAGTGCAATAATAAACAGTGGATGGACTAAATTTTCCTTATACAGCAAAAGACAGGAGTTTCCATATCCATAATGATAGGGTTTATGCTGCCACCTTCAGGTGATTTGGACACTGGCAAAAAAAAAAACAAAAAACGGAAGTCCCCTCCTAAGCATGACCCCTCTCTGACAGGAAGGGGGCTTCAGTTTTTTTTTTTTGCTAGTGTTGTAGGTGATGGTCATGCTGTGCAGCTCTCTCCACAAATATAGCTATCTTCTCAATATTTTCATCTGGTATTAGGAGACTGGTATTATCCAGATCCATATTTCTATGGCTTTTCAGTGCTTGGAGGAGTGGTACCTGGACCCGCTCAGACACACAGGTTCAGCCTGTAATGTTGACACTGTACCCTGCAAAATGACACATTGCCTTGCAGCTCCAGGGCAGTGATCCCAGATGGGGAACAGAGTCCCTGAAGGCCTTTTGCAGTATTACCTGCTATGATAGGAGAAGATTGGACCCCTCGGGGTCCAGCAACAAGATTGGTGAATGCCACTTTTAAAATTAGTTTTCTGCCAAACAAGGGACAAGAAAATGGCTTATATTTTATTTCACTTGTATTTCTTTTTTTACTTTTTACAATTTTGGAACACTCTGAGCATTAAAGAGCAGAGCGCAGAGTGCTCTGGAAGTCTCCTAGCACCAATTACAGAAGGTGGAGAAATGTCTCCATCTCCTGCATTCCCTCAAGCCTGCTGAGCCATGTGCGTGCATTTGTAGCTTCACCGGCAATGTCATGAAGGGGCAGTGAGCTCAGTATCGGCAGCCATGCTATCCTCATTATTTGAAGTTTCCGCTTCCCCTTTTCTTCAAAGGTTCAAGGGTTGGGATCATAGCATCAGCCGCAGCCTCCTCAATCCTTACCTATACACCCTCATACATAGTGCTTTGTACACAGACTGGGCTCACCCTGACAAGGTGTTCAATCTGCCAAAAAGGTTTGTCCAGCAACACATATTGAATAGTGAGTTCTCTAAAAGATGGAGTTTGCCTTTGGAAGATCCGCTACTTTCTTATCTTAATAAGCAACTAACATGCCCAATAGAGGATGTACCAGTGCTTAAGGATGCATTAGGCAAACGCTTGAAGGCACTATCTAGTCTCCTTTACTCTGGCGGGAGCAGCTCTACAACCAGCTATTGCATCAGTAGGCATGTGCCAGAACTTCAAGGTTTGTGCAGATGATGGGACAGTGGAATACTGCTAGTGGATCCTGCTAGCTACCAAATCAAGCATAAACCTGGAAGATTTTCCACAATTTGTCAGCTTTTTACTGGATGCCTTAAAGGACTCCATACAGCAGCTTTCTTGCCTGGATCTCCTATTAGTGCACATGCGCAGGATTATATGGTTACTGTGTGGGTCTGCAGCTTTACTTTGCCAGAAGCACGTAAAAAACATTTGCCTTTTTAAAAGGAATGATAGTTTGTTTTGGCTATGGAGGATTATATCCAGGAGGTGACTGTGGTTTGAGTACTCTGTTACCACTTACAAAGAAGGCCAAGCCTGTGGTTCAGAAAGATTGTAAACCAGGGGACAAGTCCTCTTCACAATGAAGGGGTGACCCCACTCACTCTGGGGAGAGGAGGTTTACCGTCCTTTATAGAGGTATGGTAGGGGAGAGAATGCTGGCAAATGGATCTGCAACATTGTGGCTTATGACTACAAGCTGTAATTTCAAAGCCTTCCTTCTCCTCACTTCATGTTTTCAAATGTTTCTTTGAATCCGCAAAAGAAATATGTGCTGTTGCAAGCTCTCGATTATCTTCTGTCTCAGAGTGATTGTTCCACTTCCAGAGGACACTTCATATTTTCTATTCGAACCTCTGCATGGTTCTGAAACCAAACTGAGATGTTTTTCCTATATTGGATCTCAAGAGGCTCAACAAGTTTCTAAGGGTACAGAAATTCTGGATGGAATCTGTACAGTCTGTAGTGGCTTCTCTCTATCAATTCGACTTTCTGGCATCGGTGGATATCAATAATGCTTATCTACATGTATCTACAGCCGATTTATCCACCTCACCAAAGGTTTCTCTGGTTTGTGGTTGAGGGCCTGCCATTTCCATTTTACTCCAGCTGTTCGACCTCTTTCAAATTTTCCTCAAGGTCCTCGCTCTGATTTTGGAACCCTTATGTTCAAAGAGGATCCCCTACCATAGGGTACATGAGCGATCTACAGTGCTGTGAAAAAGTATTTGCTGCTCATCTGATTTTTTTATTTTTGCATTCTGTTTACACTTAAATTATTAAGATCAACAAACAAATTTTAACCACTTGCCCTCCAGAGGATTTACCCCCCTTCCTGACCATTTTTTGTGCGATTCGGCTCTGTTACATTAACTGACAATTGTGTGGTAATGCAACGCTGTACATAAATAAAATGTCTTTGTTTCCCCCATAAATAGAGCTTTCTTTCGGTGGTATTTGATCACCTCTGTGGTTATTTTATTTTTTTTGTGCTATAAACAAAAAAAGACCGACAATTTTGAAAAAAAAGAATATTTTTGACTTTTGGCTATGAAACATGCTGCTTTGTATTTTTCCTCTGTGTAGAGAAATACAAAGCAGCATGTCCTTGCTGGCAGGGGAGAGACTTGTGTTTACACACAGGTCTCTCCCCTGTAAGCTTTCCCCGATGACCTGGTGACTGACATCCATAGCCACCAATGGTGGCGCTGGTAGGGCGGTGCATGCCCCCTACCCGGAAATGCAAATCGCATATATATATATATACGTGATTTTGCGCAGCCCTGCTGCCCTCTAGCAGTAGTTCTACTATAGGGCAGTGGGCAAGACAACCTGAGTAAAAAACAGAATGCAGTTTTTAAATGAGGATTTCATTTATTAAGGGGAAAAAGCTGTCCAAACCTGCCTGGCCCTATGTGAAAAAGTAATTTTACAGGCTGCTGCATGAGGTTCTAGCCTATTCAGTTTTCGGTATTTGGGACCCATCGACTTGTTGCTGTGTTGCCTTCCCCTCTTAAGTGCTTTGGAACATCCTTATCACTATGGATATGAAACTTATCTGTGTCCTCTGATGTAAGATAAACAAAATAGGATTTTTGTTTAACCTGTAAATTTATTTTCTTGGAGTACATCATGGGACACAGAGATCCACCCTTAATCCTTTGTGGTTCATGACTTGCTACAAGAACTAAAACCTTGACTTTCGGGGAGGGGTATACCTAGGAGGGGACCTGTCGTCGTCATTTTTTTTTTCTTGTGGCAATATAAACCTGATCATTATGGATATCGGACTCCTCTGTGTCCTGTGATGTGCGCCAAGAAAAGGGTAAACCATAAATCCAATTTTGTATTGTTAAAATGCACTTCCTAAAGCACAACTTGATAAAAAATGTTTAACAAGGAACATACATTCCATATTTCTCTACCAAAATTAGTGTGTGCTGTAAATTGCCTCCAGCATTGTTCCTGTTTCTTCTTGCTGAAGGCTGTCATTTGCTGAAGTCCAGGACTCCTGAGCAGCAGTAAATCTTTAGGCTGGCAGTGAATTTGCTTCTAGTGGCTTGTATTTTCGGCACAGTGCCAAAAAATAGTAAGCAATTGATTATGTGCAGAGCAGGGTGGGACAGTGTATTACTGGATTTTAAACTGTATAGGCACTTATTTGTAATGTTTTACATAGCTGTACCTGCAAAAGGGGCCAGCCTGATGTGATCTAGCAGGACTTGATTTTCTGACTGAAGTTCCACTTTAATTTGTAGTAATGTAGTAATGCACTCATAAGCTAAAATGGTAATACTAAAAGAGAAGAGTGTTTGTATGCTATTTACTGTCAGTAGTACTGTTGTTTTTGTTTTTTTTTTTGTTTTTTTTTAGTTTTTTTTTTGTTCTGCCAGTAGCCTTAATGAAAAAAAATAATAGATTCATCCTTTCACACATGCAAGGTATAGAGAGGAATCCCCTCTGCTGCAACATTATATTCTGACACTAGGACTCTCCACCATCAGAGTTCACCAAGCAGTAGCTGAAGCTGCTGCTCAACAAAAGTTTTACAGCTTGTCCAGTCGACCGAAGTAGATTGAAATTTGGCTGTGCTGAACCTCTAACCAGCTAACAATCAATGTGTGGCTGTCTTTTTTCGATAGATGTCAACTATTAGATGTTGTCCTTGTTCGACAGAAGTCAATCTGAATATTTGGCTGGTCCCTTCTGAATCTATGGCCAGCTTCAGTCAGAACTACAGGTCTACATCAGCGCCACAGTCTTGGGCAGAAGAGTGAACCTTTAGTTCTGACTAAGGCAGGGGGCTTGTTGGACCGTTGTAGATAGACGTCTGATTTTACACAAGGTGTAGTGTGTTTTTCTGCAGCCTGCACTAGAAGCATTTCTATTGACACTGCAGCTACATAAAAAAGATATCCTGCTGAAAAAGTTAGTGTTTTGCAGCACCATGAATTTATAAACTTTTCATGCAAACTTCAATTGGGCTTTAAGCTCAATAACAGGAATAATCATTAAAAAGTCAAATTTTCCTTTTAAATTGTAATTGTTTTAACTTACTGTTTACATTCACTTACATGTGTCTTAAAATAGGCTTAATGTATCTGGGTTGTTCAATGCTTAAACAGATATTTTAAACCTCTGTTGCAGTATTCAGATGATATTAAACATAAAACAACCCTGCTGGAACTCCAGAAAATGTTTACTTATTTAATGGTAAGTCTCCTTGTATTTTGTTTTTTTGTTTTTCGTTTTTTTAACTTGTATTCTAGCTGAACTCCAGGTGTGATCTTTATTGCATACTTGCATAGTACTGTAGTATTTGGAGTTACCACAATGATAGCGGTGATCTTCTGGGTCCTATGCCAAATGGCACTGCCACCATTTATAGAATGCCTGTATTTTGTTCTACAAATACAAGGCATTCCCTGATGGGATAAGGTGAAGGGGTTAATGTCATGATCTCCACTTTGTCCAATCAGAGAATGCCTTGTATCCATACAGTTTGGTCATTGTGCAGAGTGGAAGCTGCTAGCGCAGAACCTGGACAGTAGCTTCTATAACTGTAGTAGTGTTGTCTACTACAGTGATTGTCACTTTCCCAGCCGTCCCTCAGGTATAAAACATGCATAATCTTGTAGTGGTGCACTGAAATGAAAATTCTGGTAACGAAAATCCAAAATGTACGCAGTTTTTAAAAATGAATATATATTTTTTGGAAAAAAATACACTTTGATTAAAATAAAAAAAACACAATTATATACCCCAATTTTTTACACTTTAAAATTGCACACACTCGTGGAATGGCGTCAAACTGCAGTACTTAAAAATCTCCATGGGTGATGCTTTAAAAACTTCTACTGGTTAGCAGTGTAACATTACAGAGGAGGTCTAGTACGAGAATTATTGCTCTCGCTCCGACGATCATGGCGATACCTCACGTGTGTGGTCTGAACACAGTTTAAATATGTGGGAGTGGCCTACGTATGTTTTCTCCACTACGTGGGGGGTTGTTCACGTTAAACTTTTATTATTTATTTAATAGGGTTTTTTTTTTTTTTTTGCACTGTCCCTTTAAAAAAAAAAAAAAATTTAAACACTTTTATTCCTATCACAAAGAATTCATGCATCCCTTGTGATAGAAATAATAAGTGACAGGTCCTCTTTATGGAGAGATATGGGGTCAATAAAAAAAAATTGTAGGCCAGGCCAGGATTCCCCCTTCTTTTACCAGCATGCCCCAGCTTTTTGTTTGTTTCCTAGGAAGATGGATGTCTTTTCTTAACCGTTTCAATACCGTGCAATTTTACACCTTCCTGCCCAGGCCATTTTTCAGGTTTCAGCGCTCTCACACTGTGAATGACAATTGCGCGGTCATACAACATTGTACACAAACTAAAATTGTATCATTTTCTTCACACAACTAGAGCTTTCTTTTGGTGGTATTTAATCACCGCTGGGGTTTTTATTTTTTGCTAAATTAACAAAAAAAAGACCAAAAATTTTGAAAAAAAAAACACATTTTTCTTTGTTTCTGTTATAAACGTTTACAAATAAATAATTGTTCTTCATAAATTTAGGCCGAGATGTATTCTGCTACATGTCTTTGGTGAAAATAACCCAAATTAGGATGTATTTTTTAGTTTGTAGGAAAGTTATAGAGTTCACAAACTATGGTATAGATCTGAATATTGATCAATCCTGTTGTGCTGACGGCCAATCTAATTTCTTGAGGTCCAAGAATGTCAGAACAGTACAGATATCCCCCAAATGACCCCTTTTTGCAGAGTAGACAGTCCGACGTACTTCATAAGAGGCATGGCGAGTTTTTTGAAGTTGTATTTTTTTGTCATAATTTTTCCGAAATTGAAAAAATGAAAAAATTATTTTCACTATTTTTTTTTTACATACTGTCACCAGTGCAGTACAGCGTCATATAACTGGCATGGCGGTGAACAGGGACACTGACTGGTGACAGTATGAAAAAAAATATATATATATATATTTTTTTTTTTTTTTTTTTTTTTTTTTTTATATTTAATTTTTTATTACATTTTTTTTTATTTTTTTAAAGATTTTTTTTTCATATTTTACTATGACCAAAATAGTACAATGTTACCATAGTAACATTGTACTACTTTGGGGAAGTGATCAGTATTTTTTTTTTTTTTTTTACACAATTTGCTTATAGCAAAGAATTACTTTGCTATAAGCAAGCATTTACCTGAATGAAATCGATTCATTCAGCTTTTTTTTTTTTTGTGCTTAGCTGTGATTTGGTCACAGCTAATCACATGACATGTGCATGTGATTAGCTGTGACCATTCACAGCTAGGCACTAGTATACAATGGATGGCATCATGAATGAAGCCATCCATGTATACAACTGTCATGTGACCTGCTGTGATTGGTCGACAGATCGCACTGCTGCGCCGCTCTGCACTAGCGCAAACGGCGCATGTGCGGGAGCACGCCAAATGGCGTGCACCCGGAATGGAGGAACACATCTGAAGCCGCCAAACGGCCATTGGCCGGGCGGCTAATGGTTAAGCTCTGCTGGGGAAAATCAAACCTAATTTTGCTAGCATCATTTTTTCTTAAACATTTTTTTTTTTTTTTTTTAACTCAAGGCTCTTCTCTACATGACAGCTAGAAATGGTCTTTTTGATTGGAGCTCTGTGTCACGCCCAACCTCACCCTGGTATTTTTAGTGCCATGTCTGGACCCCTCTGGACTGAACGTTGGAGGGTCAGACTGGCAGTGAGCAGGATTATCAATTTCAAAAATCTGCTCTCCAGCCATCTCTTCACCTTGGAATACTTGGGTCCAGCTCTGGACACATCCCAAACAAAGGTTTTACTTCCAGAAAAGAAGTTTTTCTCTAAGAGCCCACACTTGAAATTTGAAATCAAGGAGACATCCCAAAATTAGATTCTCAATGAAAGTTCTAGGCCTCATGGTAGCCTCTTTTGAGAGTGCCATTTGCCCAATTTCACGTGAGACTTCACCAACAAAGCATTGTGTCTACTTGGAACAAGCATGCTCCTTCTCTAAACCTACCAATGCTTCTGTCCAGGCAGAAAATCCCTTAACTTGATGGATCTCCTTTCCAGCCCCAACGGTAGGGAAGTCTTTCCCTAATTATCACTGAAAAGTGATAACAGATGCCAGTCTCTCAGGGTGAGAAGGAATGTTCCAGTCCCTCTTGGTCCATCTAACATGGTCACTCTTAGAAGAGAAGGTACATTTTAACATCTTAAAGCTCAGAGCAATATGACTTTGCTGCACTGTACCCCTCTTCTTTGTTCATGCCCACGTTCCCCAGTGAGAATTCTACCTCGTTTTCTCAAAAAAAAAAAAATAGAGCTAGAGAGGAAGACTGTCATGCTTACTGAAACAAACTGGCCCAGTAAACCTGGTACACAGATGTACTCAGACTTCTAGCAGGTGACCCCTGGCCTCTCCTCAACTGGCTAGATCTGATGTCTCAGGGCCCTCCATTCCATCCAGCTTCTCAGTGTCTTGCTTTAATGGCATGGCTTTTTGAAGCCCAGGTCTCAGTAGAGTCTCTGAGTCTGTTTCCACTTTTCCAAGATAAACAGCTTCCAGAAAGATCTGCTATCATACCTGGAAACTCTTCCTTGAGTGGTGTGAGCACAGGCAATTCAGTCCCTGAGCTTGCTCAGTGACTTGCATTCTGGCCTTACTCTTACTCAGTGCTTTGCATTCAGGTATTGACCATAATTGAGCTTAAGCACTCTGAAGAGTCAGGTTTTAGCCTTGTCCATTTTTTTTCAAAGGCTATGTACTCCCTTGTGTAAAAAAAAAAAAAAAAAAAACTAGCAAATTAAACAATAAACCTTTTTTGCGTGTATCTTGCCTCAAGTACCCCTTGCAGCACCCTGTACTTCCTTTGGATCTTAGTTCTTTCTCTTTGCAAAACAACCATTTGAACCCTTTGGAGATAATCCTTTAGGGAAAAGCATACTGCACTGCACCAAAAGAAGCGGCTGCACCTTTTAAAAAAACATAGCGCGCTGTATTGATTTGAACAGGCATCATGGGGAATAATGTGATTTCCATTTTTGTACATGCCAGCAAATCCATGTGAGAACTATGCTGGATTTCACACCACACACCTGACTGTGCAACATTTTAAAGCCTAAATTAATGAGTCAAACATATAAAGTCCTGTCTCTACATCAGTTGTCCATGAATCTGAAGGTGCCTGCTACCCTCATAAAGTAAGACCTTCATGCAGTGTTGCAGAAATTCCGAAGGTAAGTGCGCCCCTGCTGTGACCACACTCCAAACTGACTAGAGATATGGACCCTTCAGTATGTGCTCAATAAGGACTAACAATCCTCCTGGCTTCTGGTTGTAAGCATCCACTGGTCAGATACCTGTAGCTCCTTGCTGTGATACTCAGAGCCATAGAGCAATGAAAAAAACAACCTTCATTGTGCACCACATCTTAATTTTATTAGATCCCAACAAACCTAAAACAGCAGGATTTACACTCCTATTAAAAAGTGTCAACATTGGCACTAAACATGTTCAGTGTGTATCATTTAGTCTCCCACCGCTGCCCCTGTCTATAGGAGCCAGCTAGCGATGTACAGGGAGAAAAGATGGAGAACGAAAATGACGGTTTACCGGAGTCAGATGTGACATATGCCCAAACTCCACCTCAACACTTTTCATCCATTAGCAGGGTGTCTTCTGGAAACCCTGATATTGGGTGAAATGCGTTGAAGTGGTGTTTGGGCATACATCACATCCGGTTCCAGTAAAACGTAATTTCAGGTCTCCGTCTTTTCTCCCTGTATACCACTGACTGGCGGAAAAGAAAAAGAAAAAACCTTAAAGCTAGTAGATCCATTTAGCTACAGAGCGTTACGCTCTGTAGTAGCTTGTGGTCAACATCCCCACCTTGAGCGTCTTCTTTTATGCAGTCATGCTATGAATGATATGGAAGATGTCTTCCTATAAGGGATGACTAATCCCTTTTTGTTTCTATCTGCCTAGTATTTGTCTTTAGGGTTAACAAGACCATTATCTCAATTTTATCTATGGTTCATGTAAAAGACAGACACTTGATCCCATATTTGTGTGTTGAAGTTCTGTAATAACTGTGTTTACTCCAGGAAAGCGAATGTAAAGCTTATAACCCAAGGCCGTTCTGTAAGACATACACCATGGACAAGCAGCCACTCAACACAGGAGAACAGAAAGACATGACAGAGTTCTTCACAGACCTTATTACTAAGATTGAAGAAATGTCTCCTGAGCTTGTAAGTTCTCTTTGCCTGTTATCACTTGAGTTTATTCCAAAATTATTTGATTTTTAACAGATTCCTTTTTCACATTTTTCAACAGAAAAACACAGTAAAGAGTTTATTTGGTGGGGTCATTACAAATAATGTTGTGTCTTTGGTAAGATTTTTATAAACTTTTCCTAAATCTATGATAACAAGGGTTGGAAAATGTATTTGATCATAAAAATAAATGTGTTACATCTAAACTAAAATTACAACTTTACATAGTTTAACTTTTTTTTAATTAATGAAAAGAAAAGGGTATGTTTAGTTGGCCCATTTGCAATTCTAATATGTACAGCGTTTAGTTATTTTTCTCTAGGCATTTTACATGCTGGTTAGTCCATATTTTTGTTATTGTATTAAAGTATAACTAAAGGCAAAACTATTTATTAGTTTTGGACAGCGTGGAGTTGGATTAGAACACCTATTAAGTGTTTATTACTTTCTTTATCCCTGTTAGGGAGATTCATCCTCTCTGTCTTGTTTCCCATTATCATCAAAAGTGGAAGTAAATGAAACCCCAAATTTTGGGTTGTCCCCAGAAGAGTAATGTAATATAGGGGAATTTTTCCAATGGGAATACTAGTTCTGGTGATCTGGAGGTCCCCAAGGAATTCCCTTCATTTGCAGAGATTTTCTAACTTCTTGTTTTTGGCTGTGGGACAGGAAGTGAAGGGAAATCTCCCCAATGGGACACGGATGACAAAAAATAAACGGACAGGGGTTATAACCCACCCTTACTCTGGCCAAAATAAAATGTTTGCCTTTAGTTCTACTTTAAAGATTAGACATTTTTTGGATTAGTCGTAGAGGGTGCTCCAAGTAGCTGATTGCAAATATTGCCTCTAACTTGCGTTTATGTTACGTTACGTTTATCTATAGAAAACCTTAAAGAAGCTATGTTCCCTTTTTAAGGAAGAATAGTTTTTTATTTATTTAAATATTTATGGAAGCAGAAATATTTCTTATTTACCAAGTAATACTGTAGATTGCAATTTTGGTGAATCTGTTTATCTTTATACAAAATCGCCTTTGTTACAAAGATTGGTGTTACCGTTTGTGCTGGTGTATTTGCTAATTTTGCTGTTTTGCTCTAGGATTGTGAACATGTAAGTCAGACAGCTGAAGAATTCTATACAGTGAGATGTCAGGTGGCTGATATGAAAAACATATATGTGAGTATCACATCAGTATATGCTGCCACCTCCTTTTGCCACTTGTGAGTTATAATATTTTTTGTAGGACTGTAACCCTAACACCTATACTGCATATCTATCTATACAATTTTTATCTAAAAGAGTTTTAATTTTAAATCCATGCACAGAGGAAGGGGAGTTTGACTGTAGCAGCAGTTATAACCAGATGCTCCAGTCCATATTCATTTTAACATCGCTCAAAGCTTAATACATTTTTTTTTTCTTCTCCATGTGCCAGAGAGCGCTAAAAGACCATGAAGGTCATGCATGAGTGTATTTTGACATTTGTGTATACCGAACCTTAAATCTGTAAATCTCCTTTGTGTTTCTAAACAAATCACACGTCAGATTTGCTTTGTGGTTCCAGTGCTAGCAAAATCCAGTGTTGTATGAAGATTGACAACAGTGGTTCTCATTGAGGACCATTTTATCTCTCAGGCAATAGGCTCACCAAACCCTTTAAAGGTGCTACAGTTTGCATGAGGGGGTTACAAATGGGATTTTCATGTACACTAGAGATTTTATTATGGTGAAACAGGATTACATTGAGCTGGGGTACACAGCATGAGTGAAACAGAATTGTAGGCATGAAGAAGTATCAGATGCAAATACAGATTATAATTGCATTTATCCTGGTTATTAAATGGATCCATTGAGGCTGCTGTACCTACTTGTTTATACACTTGAAAATCTTGTATTTGTAAAGGATAAACTTTTAGAAGTATGTACACTGCTCAAAAAAGTTAAAGGAACACTTTTTAATCAGAGTATAGCATCAAGTCAGTTAAACTCCTGGGGTATTGTTCTGGTCAGTTAAGTAGCAGAGGGGGTTGTTAATCAGTTTCAGCTGCTTTGATATTAATGAAATTAATAACAGGTGCACTAGCTGGGCAACAATGAGAGGACCCCGAAAACAAGAATGGCTTTACAGGTGGAGGCCACTGACATTTTTTTTCCCTATTCATCTTTTCTGACTCACTAGTTTTGCATTTGGCTAGGGTCAGTGCCACTACTGGTAGCATGAGGCGATACCTGGACCCTACAGAGGTTGCACAGGCAGTCCAACTCCAGGATGGCACATCAATACATGCCATTGCCAGAAAGTTTGCTGTGTCTCCCAGCACAGGCTCAAGAGCATGGCAGTTACTCTAGGAGAGCTAGACAGGGCCATAGAAGGTTTTAACCCATCAGCAGGACCGGAATGAGCACTGCCAGAACCCTACAGAATGACCTCCAGCAGGCCACTGGTGTGAATTTCTCTGATCAATCAGACATAGACTTCATGAGGGTGGCCTGAGGGCCCAACATCCTCTGGTGGGCCCTGTGCTCACTGTCCGGCACCATAGAGCTCGATTGGCATTTGCCATTGAACACCAGAATTGGCAGGTCTGCCACTGGGTCCCTGTTCTTTTCACAGATGACAGCAGGTTCACCCTGAGCACATGTGACAGACATGAAAGGGTCTGGAGAATCCATGGAGAACGTCATGCTGCCTGTAACATTGTACAGGATGACTGTTTTGGTGGTGGGTCAATGATGGTCTGGGGAGGCATATCCATGGAGGGACGCACAGACCTCTACGGGCTAGACAATGGCACCACCCTGACTGTCATTAGGTATCGGGATGAAATCCTTGGTCCCATTGTCAGACCCTACGCAGTGGGTCCTGGGTTCCTCCTGGTGCACGACAATGCCTGGTCTCATGTGGCGAGAGTATGCAGGCACTTCCTGGAGGATGAAGGAATTGATACCATTCAATGGCCCCCACGCTCGCCTGACCTAAATCCAATAGAACACCTCAGGGATATCCTGTTTGAGTCCATCCAACGCCACCAGGTTGCACCTCAGACTGTCCAGGAGCTCAGTGTTGTCCTGGTCCAGATCTGGGAGGAAATACCCCAGGATACCATCATTCGTCTCATTAGGAGCATGCCCCGACGTTGTCAGGCATGCATACAAGCATATGGGGGCCATACAAACTACTGAGTACCATTTTGAGTTGCTGCAATGAAATTTCAGCAAAATAGACTAGCCTGTCGCATCATTTTTTCACTTTGATTTTCGGGCTGTCTTTGAATTAAGTCCTCTGTAGGTTGATAATTTTCATTTCCATCAAACAATGGGGCATCCTTGTGTTCCTAACACATTACCCAGTCCATATCAGTATAGATATCCAGCATTATATTTTTCCTCATTGAGATCTGTTGTGTTTTCAAAGTGTTCCTTTAATTTTTTTGAGCAGTGTATTAATAATTTATGAGTTTGTACATTAGTTTTTGGGTAAAGTATATCTGAACACAAATTGTTTTCTATTTTGGATAGTTATGAGGGTTTAAAACCACTGTTCATTTTTTTTTATTGCTGACTGTGTTCCCCACTAGGAGACATTCAGGCTCTTGATTTGTCCTTGTGACTATTGTCAGAGGGACTTGAAATTTGAGAAAAAAACTTTGCATTGGAAAAATACAGGCAAAATCTGATGGTGCATTTATTATGGGTGACTGTATGTTTCCCTCCCTTTGGTGAGATTTCCTCTCACTTGCTTTTGTATCTATGAAACAGGGAGTTAAGGGAAATCCCCAGTAGGGCTTTAAACAAAACATTGTTTGTGCTTTATTTTGGAATAAGGTGCATTATCTATACGGTTTGTCTTTACTTTAGGAGTCACTAGATGAAGTCACTATCAAGGACACATTGGAAGGTGACAATATGTACACATGCTCCCAATGTGGAAAGAAGGTGCGAGCGGAGAAAAGGTCTGTGTGAAACGAGCTATACTTTCAGGATGTTTTAACAAAAAGCACTTGAAATATTAGATGTGCAAAGCACAGGCTCTTTAAAGTGGTTCTAAAGGCTAGACATTTTTTTTACCTTACTGCATTTCCTACATTAGGTAAAAAATGCCCCAGTAATCGTATCACCCCCTCACTACCCTAAATACTTACCGGAATGCTTCCTCAATCCAGGGCTATGCTTTTGTTTACTCCTGCTGCTGTCAATCAAATCCTGTGAGGAGGGAGCAGAGGGTGGGGCCAAGCCACACGCTTTGTGTCAGTGGATGCACACAGCCCGACTAGGGAGTGATCCTGCAGGTGCGCCACCTTAAGCCTAGAACTCCAGCAGGGGACCCCAGAAGAGGAGATTTGCTTTGTGCAATACCTTTACAACAGCTTTAACATATGCCTTATGCATGCCCAGGGCTCAAAATGTCAAGTCCTGAGTTACTAGCCAGACCTTAAGAATTACTCGCCACCAGTTGCCGTGCCCAGCCCCTACCCTGCCCCACCTCTAATTCCGCCCCTAAACGCCCCCGTAAATTATCCCATGAAATGACACTACATCAGGTGTCCCCATTAGAGCCCCAATTTTACATCAGGTGTCCCCATTAGAGCCCCAATTTTACATCAGGTGTCCCCATTAGAGCCCCAATTTTACATCAGGTGTCCCCATTAGAGCCCCAATTTTACATCAGGTGTCCCCATCAGAGCCCCAATTTTACATCAGGTGTCCCCATCAGAGCCCCAATTTTACATCAGGTGTCCCCATCAGAGCCCCAATTTTACATCAGGTGTCCCCATCAGAGCCCCAATTTTACATCAGGTGTCCCCATCAGAGCCCCAATTTTACATCAGGTGTCCCCATTAGAGCCCAAATTTTACATCAGGTGTCCCCATTAGAGCCCCAATTTTACATCAGGTGTCCCCATCAGAGTCCCCTTTTTACATCAGGTGTCCCCATCAGAGTCCCCTTTTTACATCAGGTGTCCCGATCAGAGTCCCCTCAGATCTTCTTGTGAAAGCAGCTTCTCTTTCCTTTCTTCCTCTGGTCTTGTGATGTCACATTACAAGGGGAGAGAGGAAGGACACTCTTCCTTCACTCCTTAGTACCTGCTGTCTATTTCCCCCTGCAGGCTGGAGGGAGGAGAAAGTCTAACTCTCCTTCCAGCAAGTGTTGGCAGCTGAGCCCCCCCTCCCCCCCTCAACACAGCGCTCAGGGCTAAGCCACACAACATGCTGCTGAGATACGGTGTGTATTTATAAAGAATACACAAACATTTTTTTTTTTAAAGCCCCCCAACTCACTAGAACACAAACATATGAACATTAAGTCGTGATGCAAGGTGTTTCTATGTACAAAAATGGCAATTGCGTTATACATATTTGGTACTGCCGCACAAGCCGCAGTGAGAGCAATAGCTCTTCAATTGAGAACTTTAAACTGATGAGATGTAAGGCATTTAAAGTGGACAAAGTTGGGGACTGAAGTTTGTTGCCACTTTAGCGGCATGCACAATTTTAAGGCTTGACATATTAGTGATATCTAATTACTTGACACAAGCTCATCTTTTATATTTTACCAAAAAATGGAGCAATGTGTGCAGTATAATTATCACTTACTGAAAATATGCATGGGGTAAGCAGTTGCGCTAATACTATGTGCCATACAAATTGCAGCTTCTACTGTTTTATTCAGTCCGTGCATTCAGAAATATACAGTGCATCCAGAAAGTATTCACAGCGCTTAACTTTTGCCACATTGTGTTATGTTACAGCCTTATTCCAAAATGGATTAAATTTATTTTTTTCCCTCAACATTCTACAAACAATACCCCATAATGACAACGTGAAGGAAGTTCGCTTTGAAATATTTTCAAGTTATTAAAAATGGAAAAAAAAAAACACGTACATACTGTACGTATTCACAGCCTTTGCTCAATACTTTGTTGAAGCACCTTTAGCACCAATTACAGCCTCAAGTCGTTTGGAGTATGATGCTACAAGCTTGGCACACCTATTTTTGGGCAATTTCTCCCATTTTTGTTTGCAGTACCTTTCAAGCTTCATCAGGTTGGATAGGGAGCGTCGGTGCACAGCCATTTTCAGATATCTCCAGAGATTTTCAATTGGGTTCAAACCTGGGCTCTGGCTGGTCCACGCTAGGACATTCACAGAGTTGGCCCGTAGCCACTCCTTTGTTATGTGGGCTGTGTGCTTAGGGTTGTTGTCCTGTTGAAAGCTGAACCGTCGCCCCAGTCTAAGTTCCAGAGTGCCTTGGAACAGGTTCTTTGATTTCAATAATATTTTATTTTGGGTTTCAATATGTTTACAAAAACCACAGCAGCATACGCAAAAGCGGTACACTGATCAAACAAAAATAAAACAATCAAGCACAATGGTCATATAAGTTTCAAGGTGAGAAAACATAGGGGGTGAGACTAAATGGTTGGATCCACTAAATCACCTCTGCTAATACCAGGAACCTATAGAGGCATTTAGAGCGGTCATGACCACTATAAGATGCTTGCCATTCACAGTAGTAGCGAGATGTGGCTGGGAATGAGATGGAGATATGTGAAACGTACCCGTACTCTTTTACCTGATCTGGAAAACGACATCCAGACCTCTAATAACCTTTACTGCAATAGAGCAAAGGACACGACTCACAAGACACTTGAGTGAAGTAGATCTACCATATCAAACCATACCACAAACTAGCATAACCAAAAAGGAAAGGGGGTAAAGGGTCAGACCCAAATCAGAGATTTCTCTTCCACCAGGAGACACCCCAACCAAAGAAAGCTCCCCGTGGGAGAGAGAACCCCTGCGACACAGCAGAAAAAAAAAAACATGTAGTTACGTTTTTGTAGTCCTTTTAGTATTCCAGTGAGTGAGAGGTGGTAGTTTGGAGTCCAAGTCGTCTGGATATAGAGCAAATGAAGATGTCCTGATGACAATCCATGCAGTGGGAGATGAAAGAGGATACCCATTTGACCTATTGGAGGTACGTGCGCTGCTCTGGAGAGGGAAGAGACCTGGATATGAACAGGCCCCATTTTTTTGTTGGAACCGCATCATCTAAGCTTTTGATGACATGTCTGAGTCAATTTTCTCCCGACGAAGGTGGTGTAGTAAATCTTGCTTGACCTCCAAGACTGTGGGTGGAGAAGAAGATAGCCACTTTCTGAGAATGACCCGGCGCAATCATAAAGCAGGTGGCTAACCATGCTTTGTTGCACTGCATATTTAGTGACTGGGGTCTGCTTTGATCAGGGCAGGTAGTAGAGAAGTAACCAAAAATGAGTATAAGCAGATCATGTGTAGTAGGGTGGTGTCCTGTGACAGAAGCAGCGAATATCTCCAATTGTTTCCAAAATGTAGAGATAAATGGGCAGTACCACAGCCTGTGGAGCAGCGTGGGTCTTTGAGTTTTACACAGAGGTCAGCTATTTTGAAACTGAGGAAGCGGAAACATGAGATGGGGAACATAGGCTGTATGCATTATTTTAAATTGTTCTATCCAAAAATCTTTGGAAATAAACGCACATGTAGTGTTGTATCCTGACAGAAATTGATTTAGTGCATCAGAGAAGATAAGATCCTTGTTCCAGGAGGCCGCAGATGAGGAGTAGAGGGGCTTGGACAGACAAAGGTTCAGTGGTTTATAGATACCCAAAATCGTAAATGTTCTGCGCTCCAGCAAAATTTCAGTCATGGACGTCCAAAACCTTTTAGGTCTGCTCTGGCATGTGCTGGAGATATAATCAACGGCTTGTTGAACCAGTAAAAAATTATGAGCTGGGAGGTGGTAGCTCTTTCTAATATGAGAGCAAGAAAGAAACATCTTCAGCTCCTTTTGAGCCCAAGTAGCATAGGCTGCATGAAGTTGAGGCAAAGGAAAGGACGGGTTGCCATGAATTGGGAGATAGTGGGAAGTCCAAGGGGATAGGCCCAGCTTAACTCTTATTTCTTTCCAGGCCACCAGGGTGTCTCTAAGTAGTGAGTTGTGCTTTATGGCTGGTGGGAGAGAGTGCAATTTACAATGTAATATGGCAGAAAGCTTGTGGGGCCCACCATTTGAGATTCCAGGAGAAAATTTGAGTATCTGGAGGTCTGGGATATCCAATCGATGCATATTCTAAGTAAACATGACAGATTATAAACTCTAATATTAGGTAAGTTGGCCCCCCCTTCACTACTCGGAAGACATCATTTTTGTAATGAAATAGGGGGGGGGGGGGGGCGATGATTGCGCCATAGAAATTTAGTTAAAGCTGTATGTAACCGCTGTATTTCAACATGGCGGATCAGTAGCGGAATGGTTTGAAGAGGATAAAGGAGTTTAGCAAAGCTCACCATTTTAAACAAGTGGCAGGCCCATCCATTTCTCCAACTCTCCTATAATTTTTAAAATCACCGGAGGGAAATTTAAGTGGTAGAGGGAGGAGGGTGTTTTCCCAATTTTGATACCTAGGTAAGTAATAGATGATGTACTGCAACTTGAATTATAGACGACTCGGCCCATAGTGGTGACCTATCGTAAAAAAAAGGGAGAATGTCACTCTTCCCGAAGTTAATCCGAAGACCCGAGCATGTACGAAAGCGTGTGAAAACATTGTGTATATGTGACATGTCCCTTCCAGGGTTTGACGAAAAGATCAAAATGTCGTCCGCAAAGAGGGCTAGTCTAAGTGCTCACTCTACATGTGGCACCGGAAGTTGGAACAAGTTTTCATTATATATAAAGTGCTTGTGAGCCACTATATCACTGATATTATTAATAAAAAAATGAATAAAATTATAAATTAATACTCTGTGTAAATATGGTTTGCTGACACTCCTATACACACACACTCCTGCCAATAATAAATCTTAATGCAGCAGTGTCGCGCTCCTAGTTAATAAATGTAAATCCCCTTCATGTGCTAATTAATTGATGTGTTAAACATGAGGAATGATCAGCTGCTAATAAATAATTGATAATCCAACTAAATTGTGATCACTAAATACTCCAAAATTAAAAAATACAAGTCATCAAGTGAAAAAAAATCAGAAAAAAACAAAAAATGTGAAATAAATAAAAATTAAATATATACAAATAAAATAGTGAACGTCCCAAAGTTAATTAATGTAATTCAGGTCAGGTAGTCCCTTTCTGTAATTAAATCCAGCAATCCTTGATATCAATATGCGCTCACCTCAATATAAGCCTAACTTTGAATTAGGCAAAAACAGCTTTGTGTCCCAATAATAGCAGGATATTTCAACTTCTCTTGTAACTAACAGGATTATAGATGTAATGTGATACTCCATCCACCAGGCTTCTCTAGATGTATTGATCCTTTAATATGGACAGATATGCATAGATCTCTCCCTCTGGTAGGCTTAGGACTATAAATCTACTCCTCCTTCACTCCTTGTTTCTCCATGTACCGTACTTGTGAAAGAGAAATATAGTGCCTTATCTTTAAAACACCTTTTATTTGTAGCCAGTAGATTATGCACTCACAATGTTCAATACATCTATAATCCTGTTTGTTACAAGAGAAGTTGAAATATCCTGCTATTATTGGGACACAAAGCTGTTTTTACCTAATTCAAAGTTAGGCTTATATTGAGGGGAGCGCATATTGATATCAAGGCTTGCTGGATTTAATTACAGAAAGGGACTACCTGACCTGGATTACATTATTAACTTTGGGACGTTCACTATTTTTATTTGTATATATTTAATTTTTTATTTCACATTTTTTGTTTTTTTCTGATTTTTTTTTCACTTGATGAATTGTATTTTTTAATTTTGGTGTATTTAGTAATCACAATTTAGTTGGATTATCAATTATTAATTAGCAGCTGATCATTCATCATGTTTAACACATCAATTAATTAGCACATGAAGGTGATTTACATTTATTAATTAGGAGCGCAGCACTGCTGCATTGTTAAGTCTCCCAGTTCCTGCCACTGAAAAACATCCCCACAGCATGATGCTGCCACCACCATGCTTCACTGTAGGAATGGTATTGGCCAGGTGGTGAGCGGTGCCTGGTTTCATCCAAACATGAGGCTTGGCATTCAGGCCAAAGAGTTCAATCCTTTGTTTCATCAGACCAGAGAGTTTTTTGTTTCTCATGGTCTGAGAGTCCCTCAGGTGCGTTTTGGCAAACTCCCTGCGAGCTGCCATTTGCCTTTTACTGAGGAGTGGCTTCCGTCTGACTACTCTACCATACAGGCCTGATTGGTGGAGTGCTGCAGAGATGGTTGATCTTCTGGAAGGTTCTCCTCTCTCCACAGAGGAACTCTGGAGCTCTTTCAGAGTGACCATCGGGTGCTTGGTTACCTCCCTGGCTAAGGCCCTTCTCCCTCGATCACTCATTTTGGCCAGGTGGCCCGCTCTAGAAGATTCCTGGTGGTTCCAAAAGTCTTCCATTTATGGATGATGGAGACCACTGTGCTCATTGGGACCTTCAGTGCTGCAGAAAATTTTGTGTACCCTCCCCAGATCTGTACCTTGATACAATTCTGTCTCGGAGGTCTACAGACAATTCCTTGGACTTCATGGTTTGGTTTGTGTTCTGACATGCACTGTTAACTGTGGGACCTTGTATAGACAGGTTTATGCCTTTTCTAATCATGTCCAATCAACTGAATTGCCCACAGGTGGACTCCAATCTAGTTGTGGAAACATCTCTAGGATGATCAGTGGGAAACATCTCAAGGATGATCAGTGGGAACAGGATGCACCAAAGCTCAATTTTGAGTGTCATGGCAAAAGTGAATACTTATGTACATGTGGTTTTTTTTTCCGTTTTTAATAAATTGCAAAGATTTCAAAACGTACTTGTTTCACGTTGTCATTATGGGGTATTGTTTGTAGAATGTTGAGGAAAAAAATTAATTTAATCCATTTTGGAATAAGGCTGTAACATAACACAATGTGGCAAAAGTTAAGGGCTGTGAATTCTTTCTGGGTGTACTGTATGCGTGAGGGGTTTAACTGAATTTCAGGCCTAAAATGTGTTTTAACGCGTACAAAAAAAGGCTGTGAAAAGTTAGTGAAAGGGTTCAGAATCTTTCTTTTTTTTTTCCTACACCACATTTGCAATTATTTGTATATATTGTAATATATTCTCTTTACATTACCTCTCTTGTCCGTTTTAGGGCTTGCTTTTTAAGAAATTGCCAAGGATATTAAGCTTTAATACAATGCGGTACACTTTTAACATGGTCACCATGATGAAGGAAAAGGTCAACACACACTTTTCTTTTCCTCTGCGGCTGGATATGACTCCCTATACAGAAGATTTTTTAATGGGAAAAAATGACAGAATAGAAGGTATTGTGTGTGATTATCTGATTGCTAAATGCCAGGTGCTGACACCTTTGAGTTAGCCTTAAAGTATGTCTGAAGAGAAACATTTTTGTTTTGGGGGGGGGGGGTTCTATTAATTTTACACTCTGTTGGGCTTTTACTTGCTGCCTGTTTATTTGAGTGGATATCCCTTTACCTCCTTTCCCACACAACAGTAGATGAAATCTCCAAAGAGAAGAAATCTCCCTTTTAACTGATTTACACCAGGATAGCTCTCCCTATGGGAAGATTTAGGACTCATTCACACCATGGTGCAGAGATGTCAGTTTTTCTGCACACGATCTGCAAGGGCACATTGCAATCAAGTGTTTTCTATGTGCCCTGCTCTCACCATAACACTAGTATCACATGCAAATTTTTTCTGCGCAGGAATCTGTAAAGTGTATATAACTCATTGCAGAGCACATGAAAACTGATGTAAATTGATGCCTCTGCAAGCAAAATCTGCAGGTCAGTTTCCATCTGTTTTTCTGCACGTATGGTGTGGATGAGGCCCTAGCTTTACCCCATGTTCCAGCGACAACTGTAGTAATTGGATTTTTATATAATTTTATGTTTCAGTGATAATGGACACCAGGGCAGATATAAAGAGTAATCTCACTAAAGGCTACACAGATGCCAGTAACAACCTGACAGTGATTCTATCCCAACTTTTGTTCTGGATGTACTTTGTTTCTAGGGTTAATTAATGAACATGGAACAAAAGAGTGTAATGGTCTGACCTGTCATATTTCTTTAGCTTAAATCAGATGGTTCCATGCTACAGATGAAATCCCCAATTTTCATAAATCGCCCAGAAAGCTCATATTTGTGTACTACAGTGTAGCACCACGATAGGTTTATGCTTCACCTCTGTCGTAAAAGTCCCAAGTCACTATTTCTGCACTTCTAACACATAAGATGGCTTTTTTTTTGTAAGTAATAATGGTCACATACATGTATGCTTGGGCTCCTTGCACACTGGTGTTTTTTTTTTTAACTAAAAAATCGCTGGATGAAAAAATAGCAGTTTTTTAGTAGCGTTCAGAAGCGTTTAGGAGCGTTATCATTTTATTAGCATTTTTATAGTACACATAGAGGGGAAAAAGAAAAAAGCGGTTCGGAGCATTTTATTAGCGTTTAGGAGCATTTTAGCATGTTTTTCCGCTGGAAAGGTGCTAAAAAAAAAAACCTACAAAAACATTTTTTTCCTGCTAATAGCCTAAAGTAGTGTGCATGGACACATAGGATAAAACTGTTTAGCTTCCAGGAGTAGAAAAAATATGCTAATAGCTTCTAGAAGTTTTAAAAAAACTGCTAGTGTGCATGGAGCCTTAAAAATGTTTTTGTATGTGAATGCTGTGTGGTAGAATGACTGAGCTTTTGGTAATGGTCTTGTTTTGATACATTAAACATAGATAATAGTGGTATAGTATAGATATTTTCCCTTATAATACACCAGTGCATAAATGCAAATAATGCCTTCTTTTAGTGGCCCACTTTGGTGATCTTTGGCACATAAAGTACTAGTTATACCTACTGTATACCCGTTTAAGGTTGGAAAGCCACCCTCTTAACTGTAACCTTTCACACTGACATATTTGTTACTTTACTTTTTTAGGTTTTAAAGAAGAGGGGGAGGAAGTGAAAGAGACTGAGAGCTACGAGTACGACTTAATAGGGGTCACTGTTCATACCGGTACTGCTGACGGTGGACACTACTACAGCTTCATCAGGGACATTGTGAATCCCCATGCTTATAAAAATAATAAGTGGTACGTTCTAGCTTTTTTTCCATGCAAACTTGCCCTCGTGGCATTCACCTACAGTATGTGTTAGTAAATAAAGTGTGGGACAATTTATTATATAGATCATGTATTGGAGAGGTACTGTGTTGGGACAGATAAGAGATGTCATGAAAACAGATACCTAAAGTGTGCACATCTGAATTAGCTTCTCCTAGGTTTCACCACATTTCCTTTTGTAGTAGTAGTTGATTGAATGGGACCAGGAACCATCTTGCTAGTCTAATTGGGTGAAAGATTTCCATTATTATACTCCCTCAGCGTCTTGTCATTTTTGAAGATGAGGTCAGAATTACAATTTTCTTTTTCTTGGTTCTTCCTGATTTATTTTTTGAGCGTGGACCTCTTTTGGGGTACTGTCAAGTTTTGGATACCTCATGTACAAAAAAACTATTGATAAGAGTTTCCAGGAAGAGTAACCAAAATTGGATGAAAAAGAAGGGAAATGGAAATACAGGATTGAAATCTTAAATAGGTTCAGGAGGACAGTATTATCAATATGATACTAAGATCATGATTCAGAACTGAACTTAGAGTATGTTATTTACCCAAAAGAGTAGTTTGTGCTTTAAAAAGATAGCAGATGGTTAGTGAGTCGGTGGGCACTGAGTTTATATATCCTTGACATGTACATAGATCTGTCCACAGACTGGTTATTAAATAATCGTAGGGGGCAAATGGACCACCTGGTCTTCCAGGCATCACTCTTTTATGTTTTGAAAAACTGATGTGAAAGGTCAGCTATACAAAAGCCCCATAATGTACATTAAACAATTCAATTAGCAATAGAGTGCCATGTTTATCATTTGTTTTCTGGAGGAGGAGGAGGAGAGACACAAATCAGAGCTACTAATGTTCTTGACGTGCCATAAATAAACTTGAGGGTGGTGCAATTTATCCAGTGCACACTTAAAACTATAGTTTTGGCTTTAGGAAGTGACTTTGATTATATAGTGTAGACAATGGCAAACCATTCATGTTTAATACCTATTAAAAAGGCACTGTCATTACAAAAGTGCATTAGCCTTGGGTGACTGTTTAGGCCCCCATAATTTTTGTTTTGCTCCTAGAAAAGGCATCCTATTTGCAGCAATCCTTACCATGCAGTCTGATGACTCTTGCCAAGAGATAAACACTGGATCTTACAGGGCTGGGGGAAGTACTTTGTCCTCATTCAGTATTGATGGGAGCCTACATCTTTCTCCAAGTCTGATGTTACAGACCAGGAGGCAGGTTCAAGTGTGGCAGGGAGTGTTTGATGGGCGTACTAGTGTAGATATTTTACAAAAATGAACTGTTATGCTTTACATGACCTTGTGGTGGTAACGTATTCCATTTCTCAGGTATCTTTTCAATGATGCCGAAGTGAAGCCATTTGATTCAGCTCAGCTTGCTTCTGAATGTTTTGGGGGTGAAATGACAGTAAGTTAATTTCATATCCGTAAAGTAGAAATGTAACTAATCCAAGTGCTGTAACTCTCACAGCTAGCAAGCTTATTTATTCAGACTTTACAAAGATGGTGTAGTAACACAGCAAGCATCATTTTAGAGCTGAGAAGATTAAAAGATGATTGTTATGGTTTACTGCATATTGTTGTTTGTCTTTGGTTGCTGTGCATTACTGCATATTGTCCTTTTTGAAAAAAAAAAAAAAAAAAAATGTTTACTCCAAGAAATATGTAGGCTGACTTTGATGACCTCATTCTTAAAATGCTGTTTGGCTGGCTGTTGTGTGAATCTAATAAGTTAAGTACGTAGATGTGGATAAATTATACAGGTTAAGACGGGTGTCGGCAACCCGCGCAGCTCCAGAGCCGCATGCGGCTCTTTTTCACCTTGGCTGCGGCTCCGGAGCACACTGCCCACTAGGTGACAGGCAATAGGCTCTTCTGTGTGCCGGGCGCCCGCTCCCCTCCCTCCTCTCGGGCGGCCGCCACAAAAGTCAGGACTCTGCAGCTAGCCCAGCAATGGGCAAACTACGGCCCGGCGGACCTTTTAATCCGGCCCGCGGAGCGTGGCAAACATTGGCTGTCAGGATGTAGGCGGGGGGGCAGCGTGATGAACTCCTCTCCTCTCACAGTCCGCCCTGAAGACCGGAACGGCGCGGGAACACGGCGAGAGGAACGCGCGGAGCAAAGGTAAGTGAATTGACACAATATGGGGAATGAATTACTATAGGGGGGATGAATTACTATATGGGGGATGAATTACTGTGGGGGATGAATTACTATATGGGGGATGAATTACTATATGGGGGATGAATTACTATATGGGGGATGTATTTTCAGTTTTAAAAATGTGGCTCTCAAAATAAATTTCAATCGTGGTTTTGGCGAGATTTGGCTCAGTTGAAAAAAAAGGTTGCCCACCACTGACCTAAGGCTATGATTGTGATTATGATGATACACTGTGGCCCTGATTAACCCTTTGCTTACTGGGCCCTTAAACCCCCTTCATGACCAGAGCGCTTTTTGCAATATATGCAGTGTCGGATTTGTTTTAAATGTTGCAATGGTTTTGCGGCTCCCAGTCTTTTTTTCCCTCTCGGAAACGGGTCCAAGTGGCTCTTTATGTCTTAAAGGTTGCAGACCCCTGGGTTAAGAGAACTGATTTTATTTGCTTCATATTTGTTCTAGACAAGATATTCAGAAAGTATTAACACCTGCGAAAGCCAGACAGCTGGTATTTTCAAAAGGTCATAATGGCAACTTTTGGTTCTTTTGCAGTGCCGTTTACATAAAAGTATCCCATCGTTAAATCTTGCAAATTTCTGAAGAAATTGGCATGACCATGGGAAAAGCTAAGTGGTCACTAGAAGGGAAAAACCATATAATACGATCATACATTTCTTATTGTATTTTATACTGCCTTATTAAAGGAAATTTTTGGTAGATTTTACCTATCCCGGACTCAGAACAACCAAGCACTTAATGATGGAGGAAGTACATTTATTAAGCAAATTAGCAACACAGATGCAAATCAGTCTACCTCTCACTTAGCAGAGTGTCTGCGACAGATTTTTTTTTTTTTTTTTTTTTTTTTGTATTTGCAATCTCGTATCTCTATTCCTGGGCAGCCAACTTCAAGAGATTTGCAGTGTTTTGAGACAGATTTGTCATTGAATATGAGGTAACAGACTCATTAACACACATTTAAAATCTGCTCCGGGCCAGATTTTTTATCATATTGTAACTTTAGAGCTGTTAAGGGAGGGTTTTATGACTTTAAGTGGTTGCGAGGAGGGAGTAGGGGAGTGGGGCCGAGCCACACTACCTGTCTTTTATGGACCCACAGACACGGCTCAGGAGCGTGCACCCATGAGTACATGTATGTCTGGGAAAAGACACACAAAGTATTTAAAATCGCTGGTGCTTCCCCTATCACCATCCCCATGCAGCAATAGGCACTTGGGCTGGGTACATTGGCTCAAATGCTTGCTGCTGACCAGCCATCTACATGGCCCCTGACTCACCTGCCTTTTCAGAGACATTGTCTCCTCGGTACTGCATGGTTGCCGTCGAGCACCTCACTGTTGGCAAGAGTACCTTTCTCTCACTGGCCTTTCAAGATACCCACGGATGGTGCTAAGTGCTCCTGGACCCACAACTCCATGGAAAAGTCCACCTGAGAATTAAGTTTTGCCCCACCCTTTTCCAGGGTAGGGAATCGCCTTGGCTGGTTCTTGAGCTGGTAGACCCCTCCCTTCTTTCCAAGTCCACAAACTGATTGTATCCATACATGATATAGAGTTTGTTTTTTGTCCACCAGAGACATTTGTTCCAAGTTGTCATCTTCTGTCATTATGCCTTTGGGCCTAGTACAGCGCAGTGCAGGACCTGCTTCCCCAGGGACTAAATGTCTTTGTATGTAAGCTGGCACAGCTCTGGAGGTCTTGCTCCAATCTGTTTATGGTCCCAGAAATGAACAGGATTTCCACAGTCCTGATCCGGGAGGCCCTAATATGCCTTATGCAGGGTCAGGGTTCAAGCTGAAGTTCATCCGTTTGGTGATGGTCTCTCTTCTTCAGGGAAGTTTGCTAGCATCCATTGACATGTAAGACACATACCTGCATGTTCACATGGGCGAAGGCCTTCAGTGGTTTCTTCGATTTGCATTGGAGATGCATGCTATAATTTTGTGGCTTTTCCCACCAGGCTGGCCTCAACATCCCAGGTGTCCTCCATGATGCTGGCCCCAGTCCTGGCATTGCTGAAACAACAGATGATTGGCGTGACTGGTTATTTGACAGCCTGCTTCTGGGACGGGCTCCCAGGCTGCGCTGACGGACTCCCAGGCTGCGCAGACGGACTCCCGAGGATCATGATGCACTTCCTGCAGGACTTTGGATGGGTCCTGAACCTCTTGGGATCTGCTCCGTCCAGGAGGTGGGAGCGTCTGGGTCTGATTCTCCATTCAGAGCAGGCAAACATTTTTCTCCTAGCAGAGAAAGTCCACAAGCTTCAGACTGAGGTCCTCCTGTTTTTGTCCTGCAAGCGATCTTCTCTGCAGTCTCTCTTGCAGGGTCTGGGTCTATAGCGGCCACCTTTGCGGTGGTCCTACATGCGCGCTGTTCCATATGAGAGTTCCGCTGAAGGAAATCTTTTCTGTATGGGACTAATCTACAACCACCTCAGAGGACCAGATTCATCTGGAATGGTCAATGAGGGCCCCCCTTTCTTTGGTGATCCGGTCCACTGCCCTGTAAGCTGGGAAGTTCATTTTTCCCTCCATTGGACAGTGGTCGTGATGGATGCCTGCCCCCTTACAGGTCTAGTTTCTGCCTCACTGTCTTTTTACAGCGTCACTTGGCCACGTTCTTCCTGCTTGCACCTTTGGTCAAGGCTTTGGTCAAGGAGTTTGTCTTTTGGCATCCCACGTTCGCTCCCTGTTAACACCAGGGGACTTGCATTGGTTCTTTTTGTTCTCTACAACTCTCGCTTTGGAGAGTATTTGGGACATTCCCCTGCTTACTCTTTTTCAGTGTATTGTCACCATAGCTTCTGGGCAGCTGCCTGAGCTGGCAGTGTTATTTTCTAGTGTTTCTATTTGTACACATGACTTAGGTGTCCCTCATTTCTGTCTAAGGTGGTGTCGGATTTTCACCTAAGTGTGGACTTTGTCCTATACTTCTTGTGTTTGTGCCTGTTGCATCTTAGGAGGTTGCGTTACACTTCCTGGATTTGGATTAGGCGGTTCGTGGTGCTGTCCACTACAGTTTTCTGCCGAGGTTGCTTTGTTCTTTTGGAGCTCATGGCTGGCCTCTGGGATGGCCAGGCGGCTTTCTATACCACGATTTTCTGCTGGCTCTGGCTGATGCTGTTCAGGCGTACACTGTTATGGGTCCAGGCTCCTTCCTTCCTTGCTTGTTACAGCACGCTCAATTGATGCTTGTTGGCTGTAAGGTTGCCGGCTGCTTTTTCAGCTTCTTGTTTACCCCTTTAAGGGTTGTTTGGGTGGTTGGCTTGTTGCCTGGTTTCTCCAGTTTATTTCATTTTTGCCCACCCCTCCTTTGAGGTACTGTTTTGGGATGTCCCTATTGTCAAGAATAAGAAGAGCTGTGTCCGTCAATAAACGGAAGAGAAAACAGGATATTTTTTTTTTGTTACCATAAATTCCCTTTCTCTGAGTTAATTGATGGTCAAAGCACCCACCCCACTATTGGAGTTTTGCTTCTATCACTGTTTGTAACTAACTGGATTGCCTATAGCAGAAAGGGAGTTTGTACCAGCTAGGACTTCCCATAGGCAGTGCTAAGTAGTTTTTCTGCCTAGTGTCCTGCTCCTGTAGGTGGCTATATAACCCCATGTTTGAGAATAAAAGGAGCTGTGTCCGTCAACTCAGAGAAAGGGATTTTATGTTGAGTAACGAAGAAAATCCTGTTTTTCGATACACTTTTTAGTTGCAAAGCAAGTATGGCAAAGGTTAGGCAGTCATTGTCTAAGTGCTGTATGTTAAATTTAAATGTCATGTGGTCTTATATATTTCATATTGTGATGTTGTTCATTGCATTTTCTTTTTCTTCTCCCTTCAGACAAAAACATATGACTCTGTAACTGATAAGTTTATGGACTTCTCTTTTGAAAAGGTACATGTTCATGAAAAACATTAACATTAAATACAGTGAAATGATGCCTAAAATAATTGGAACTGGTAATACAGAATAATCTTGCTTTCATAGACTCACAGCGCTTACATGTTGTTTTTAGGTATAAAAATAAACTAGAGGTATATATGTGTGTGGAGCCAGAGGAGGAGTCCAGCAAGGAGGTGAAGTTTGATGTTTCTTCAGAACTCCTAGAGTATATATATCTCATAACTGTGGAATTACTATACCATTGTGTTCAAGCAACATAAGATTGGATGGCTGAGTGCTTGTGTATATATATATATATATATATATATATATATATATATATATATATATATATATGTATGTATGTACATTTTTATTTTGTTTCCCTTTCTCCGGGTTTGGGACTTTTTTATGTACTTTTTTTTTTATTTCTCCCAGGTTTGGGAGAGTCGGAATACAGTAGAGCAGCAGGGGAGATCACTGCATTGCTTGTATTGATGTAGGGATCTGTGAGTTTTTTGGTTTTTTTTTTAAAACGCTGGTAATGTGTATGCCCTGCTTAAGACTTACACTACCAGTAAACTGCCAGTGTATGCTGTCACTTTTAAGGATTGAATTAAACTGGAATAGCTCCAATGTATGCCCTAGAGTTTTTATTTGATTTAGTTGGTTTCTGCCTAAAAATGAAAAAAAATCTAACTGTTTCTTCTAAATAAACCTGCCATTATTCTCTTGTCAGTTTCAATTATGTTTCATGTACTTCATCTACAATCTCCTTTTTCTTGCTCATAGAATATGCTTGCCACTGCTTTCTTTGATTTGATTGGTGGCATACAGGGGCAGGAGATTTAGCAGCAGATGAATATGGTACTGAACTTAGAAAATGGATGCTCATAGCTATGTTAAAAAAAATACATGATTTGTTCACTCTTTCTATTTCATTCCAGCTACATTGGCTTGAGTTCCCCTGTAAGAACATCAAGCTATACATCTGTTTTCTTTTGGTATACTTTTCGGTTGCCTGTAAACATTCTTGGTAGTTGCACATTTCCCTCTTGTTTCACTGAATGACAACAGTAGCTTTGTGTAACAATATGTTAGTGGTAGGGTCTTGTACTACATTAGCCACCGACTAATGCAGAAAGATTGAAGTTTAAGTTGTTAATGCTTTATTGGTTACGTTAAGCTATCAAGGTTGCCTCTAATTTAGACAATACAGGTTATTAAACTCCAATCTTTCTGCATAACCTTTTGTTTCAAACCAATAGCAGCTTCATTTACATAAACAGATTTGTAACATCAGTAATAAAATGTGTGTTTTGTTTTAACAGTGGATCTGGCATGACAACATGCAATTTCTACAGGACAAAAACATTTTTGAACACACATATTTTGGGTAAGGGTGTGTGTGTGTGTTTTTTTTTTTTTTAAAAGACAGATTTTTCCTGCTGCAAAGGAGTGAAATAACATCACCTTGTGTTTCATAGGTTTATGTGGCAGCTGTGCAGCAGTATTCCCAGCACCTTACCAGATCCTAAAGCGGTGTCTTTAATGACAGCCAAGGTAAAAGGCAATATCTGCAGGTTTAATTGTACCAGATTCTTCAACCTTAAAATAGAGATAAGCCAATTCTCTCTAGGAGTTTTCTTAACATTGCAAATATTTTGGCACTCTGACTCTGACCTGTTCATGCTTGTTCAATAGTGACAAAAGCATTCCAAAGTCCTACCCACCCTACTGAGTACAAAGTGAGAAGGGCGTACATGCAATAATTAATTACCTGATCCATGCAGTATATCAGTGCTTTTAAGAAGTTTTTTTGAGGGAAGCATAGAGTCTGTTGCTGTCTCGTCATTGTGCAGTTTGCAGTTGCCATGCTGAACCCCTTGCAGAAGCATTGAACCAGTCACACGAAGCAAGGCTTTCTATGTACAGTTTTCAGAAATCCTCCTATTGCCATTTTTACAATGAAGAAACAGTTTATTTTTTGTCATGTTATAAAATTAGAGGGGACAACAGACTGAAGGCATTAACACCAAATTACAAAATTGTTATTGTAACAGCTTTTTGAACACTTTTCTACGAGAGCCATATTTTAAGTTTTTACACAATTTAAATGCTCACTTTAGGCCTAAAGATTAGTTAGCCCCTCTAAACAGCATGTGTTTTCTGAAAGCAAAGACCATGGAGAATAAAATATTGGTAGTTGCACATTTTATGTCAATGATATTTTCGCATATTTATCAATGCAAATTTTTTTGTAACACAAATACTTAAGTTAATTTTAGTGCACATAAACACAAAACATTTCCCATTTTTTGTATAGGTAAATGAATAAATAAACGGCGATGTTTCGATAAGTGAATAGATACCCAACAGGTTACGCCTTAAAATTGCACATGCCTGTTAACCAGCGACAAACTTTGGTACTTGAAATTGTCCATAGGCGCTGCTTTAATAGCACTTACAGGTCATCAGTTAAACTGTGAATAATAATTTTAGAATTATTGCTCTGACCTTTGCGGTGATGTGTATCGCAATTGTTGTTTTCATACATAAGGGAACCTGCTTCATGCATTTTATGTTCTTGTGGACAGGAGACATTAAAAATGTTTTATTTGTTTTTTTTTTTCTAGCTACATTATTTCCATCACATTGGGGGACCAATAGTCCTCTATGTGATAGCATGCTGAGACATCAGGGGTCCGTATCTTTCGTGGGCTGAGGAAGTGATCAGATGGCTTTTCAGCTGCCTGAATCACTTCCACATGAAAGCCCATCACCTGCTCTACAAATAAAATCCCCGTCTACAAGCTGCTGTTTCTTAAAGGTGCTGGTGACCACGTGGTTAAAAAAAAGTGTAATCCTTTACCCAGTGCAAGATAAAACTACATTTTGCCTGTGTGACCATTGTTTTATTTATTTTCTGTTGTTCTTTTGTTATTTCTTTCAGCTTAGCACATCATTTGTTTTGGAGACATTTATCCATTCAAAAGAAAAGGTATGTGATAAATAACTTGTTTATTCTTTTGACATTTGACAGATTACTAGAAACATTCAGGAACTGTTAAACCTTCGGGTTTTACTGCCGCCTACAGGACCACTGGACATAGGAGGATGGTGTTCTAAAGACTAACCTATTAATTTACTAGTACTTTATTCTTCTTCAATTTTAACTTCAGTTAAGACTCTTCTCCACACCTGCTGCTGGAGGTATGCCCTCTGATTTTTAGCTCCCAGGCATCGTTCTCAGCCTAGCAGTGGATCAAACCATGTCCAGACCCTGTGGGCTAGCCTGGCATTGGCCTGCAGTCATTGGGTTCCAAGTGGGTTGCTTTTTAGACTCTGTTCAGGTTACTTTGACTGTGGAGTGCTTCACAGGTACAGAGCCAGTGTCAACACCTCTTTGCTTGTCCTGTCTGTGAACATACACTTAGAGGGTATGCCAGATGGGCTGAGCATTGGGAGCTGTCTCATTTTTATTGGTTGCTGGGTGCCATTATTCCCATTCCCAACCAGTTTTATCATGGAAGGAAGTAAAATTGTGGGACTGTGGAGGTCTTCCACTTGGTAAAGCATTTTGCATTCTGTACTCTTTCCTGCCATACAGACTCAAGAAAGCATATTTTGCTGCTGCTCTTGCAAGCAAAGAGCCCTGTTGAACTTTGACCTTTTTCTGAGGCCTGGCTTTGGCCTTTCCCTTCCCCCCCTTCTGGCTGTGACTATTTTGTCAAACCATGTCAGACATGTCCTTCTAACAGGATCTAAACCACTGCTGTGGTTTATCCATTGTTTTGCATATACTTGAAATAGTAGATTGTTGTAGCATTACATTTCAACTGTGACCATTTTCTGGAAGCCTCTTGTGATAAATATTGACCAAAAAGAAGTAATAGGGGTAGACCTTAGAAATGGGGTGGAGAGAGGTGTTGAAATCCGAAAAAAGATGTAAGAAGTTGGTAAAAAATTAAAATTGCTGGTATCTATCCAAAATATTATCATCATTTTTTTGGAAGCAGACCCTTAAAGTGATTGTAAAGGCTGAATCATCTTTCTATGTGTGAAGGTAAAAAAGCCTGTGTGCTGCTCCCCCCCACAGCCCCCCTAGTACTTACCCAAGCTCTTTCTCTATCCGGTGCTGTGCATGGGAGTCTTGGCTCTCCCAGGTCTCTCTCTCATTGGCTGAGACACGGTAGCGGGCGCCATAGTCTCCCACTGCTGATAAGCACAGGCAACGAGGAGTGAGCCGCACTCTGTGTGTGTCTTATAGAGACACATAGCGAAGCTCAGGAGTGAGCATGCACGAGTGCCCTCAGAGAAAGCCGCTTGCTCTAGGGGCACTCGGCAGGGGGCAGAGGCCAGGAGCTCCAGCAGGGGACCTGAGAAGAGGAGGATCGGGGCTGCTTTGCACAAAACCATTGCACAGAGCAAGCAGGTAAGTATGACATGTTTGTTATTTAAAAAAAAACAAAAAACTTTAATTTCACTTTAATTACTGGTAATCCTGCTGCTGCAAAACCATTGCACAAAGCAAGCAGGTAAGTATGACGTTTGTTATTTAAAAAAAAAAAAAAAAACAAACAAAAAAAAAACCCTTTAATTTCACTTTAATTACTGGTAGTCCTGCTGCTAAGCGCTGATGGCATCCACTTCAGGCTCTGCGCTGTTCACATCTTAGTTTCCAACCTCAACTGCTTGTATTCAATTTCTCCTGATCTGATAGTTGTTTGATATACACAATGTTATGTTTTATATTTGTCTATTTAAATAAAAAAAAAAACATGGGGAAAAAAGGGAATTTATCAGGGATGAACACTGTCCCAAGAAGAACTTCAGTTCTAGAGGTTATAGTAATGTGGAAAGTACATGTTACCTTATTGTAAAACGAGCATAAATAGGAGGTGATAGTTAAAAATAAGAATTCTGACATTTGTAAATGGGTTTTTTTTTTTTTTGCTTTGGCCTTAGACATTGTCTCCTTTCCCATCCAGGGCAAAGTGATACTGCCACCTGATAGCTATAAACTCCCTAGCAAGAAATGTTCACGGTCTCTGCACTCATTTGTTGCTAGGGTTTCTCTAGAGGGTTTCTAAAATTTTAATTTGTTTATTTTCAGTCTGCTAGGGGTTCCTTGAGCTGTGACTGATTGCCCTCCTGTTTGATGGTGCCTGCATAGTTTTGGGGGCCAGTGCCACATTGCAGAGCCAGCTGCATGGCACAAATAAACATTTAAGATAGCTGTAAGTGTCATTGTACTTGTTACAATCTGACCACGCAATCTTTCACAAGTCAAATTTTTCATTTACCAAAAAGCTGTAATATGGGGACCTACCTAATCTATTGTAGTATCCCTCTTGTCTCCTTATGTCTTCCCTTCCTGCCCCTGCCAAGACATTTAATGTTTTTTTCTTCCCTATACCTGCAGGACCATTCTGTGCATTTTTTTTTTTTTTTTTTTTTTTTTACACATTGCTTGCTTGTTCCTGTCCCGAGCCCTACAGGGCAGCAATGGAGTTTATGGGTGGACCCGAACAATCTGGCGGTTAGAAGAGTGCTCCGCCCCACCTATATCTGTTTCTCTCTCTCTCTGGCAGTTGGGATGTGCACATTTTTTATCTCCTCTTCTCCATGTGCTCATTGGACAGGTGCTCCTGGACACATATTGGACTTTGGAAGTATTGGGAAAGTTTTTGAACAGTTTTACAGTTCTAAACAACACAGTTCTGTTTGCCTGTTAGGGAGGTGGGTCTTTGGTACTGGAAGCGGAAATTTTATTCCAGTGTACAGCCTCTCCCTATCTGTTTTGAGTACACAGTTACACAGGCGTTTTGCACTTGCTCCTCTCAGCTGACTTTGGACTGATTATCATAACTGGAGTCTAAACCTATTGTCAGTAGACCATGTCTGATGGCAGAGGAAGGGGCAAAATGGAGGAGAAGGTTCCCAAACTCCCTTATCAGGCAGTGTGGAAACCTGGCTATAGCTCACCTTGTAATATCTCTCTCCGGGGGCAGTGTGTTCCAGGTTACTCTAAATCCTTTCATTTGTCTGGCCTTTCTGTCTAGGAAGGAATTTTCTTCCTTTATTTCCACTTTCAGAAGATGCACCACAGGTGCACTGCGGTAGGGTTAAACCACAGTGCATCCGTGTGAAAGCAGCCTTATAGAGGGCTCAGGACAATAAACTCTTGGTTACATTTGCCGTTTGGGCGGCGGTAAAACCCCATAGTTGAGATGTTTTTACTACACTCTCCTAACCACTGGTGTAGCTTTTGGGGTCACAATGGCGAACCTAACCCATGCTGCAGGGGGCCTGTGCAGCCTCCCTATCATATTCTGCTCTACACTTGGACAGGAGGGGCGGTGAGGGCAGCATTTATAGGAACTGATGCGCTCTATTTTCCTCCTGCAACCGCTGAAAGTCGGCTTCTCCTCCTCTCCCTCCCGCCAGCATTCTGCGGCTGTAGAAGGGAAATGTTCATTATGCTATTGAAAATAAATAAATAAAATCGAAATTCGAAACCATTTAATTTCTATGTGGCCCACGACTGGTCACCAGATCACTTAAGTGGCCTTCGGTCTTCAAAAGGTTGAGCACCCCTGTTGTGAAGAATAGGTTTTGTGAGACCTGCGTAATGGTCTAGAGTTGAGGACTACACTTCCCATAACTATGAAAAATCTGTCCAGAAAGATTAACTGATGGAAGGTAAAGAAGGAAATGGGAAAAAAAAACTAAAAATAGGAAATTATAAGGGAATACAAAACCTTGTGAAGGTCGCAACTTGAGCAAGCTGTTAAATATTACAATCAGACTGTCGAGGATAAAGGCACTTAAAGGATAAGGTATGAACACGTTCTGTATACAACAGATATGACAATCGAATTCAATAAACAATAATAGATAATTTACCATTAAGCTAATAGACCCAGTCTTTTTGAAACTTATGAACTAAGCCTATTATGTTGGTAAACAATTTCTCAAAGGCAGCATGTGTATTTAGAATTTCTTGACAGAAGACAATAAAGGAGCTGCAGTTTGCTTTCAAGATCTTGTTATAGCAAGTATGGCTGCAATCAGAGCATGTGTAAGAAAAGTTCTTGGAGGTGGTGTGTAGTGATCAAGGCCTTTTCCAAAAAGGGCCAAGGCAGGATCTGGGGTAGGAAAAACATGGATACTGATGATATAAATGGGAAAATGTAATTCCAGAAAAGTAATATTTTTGGACATCGCCACCAAATATAGACTAAAAAAAACTATATGTCCCCAATTTCTCCAGCACAATGGAGAATGCTGCCAAGGGAAGCCAGCTGCTAAGTGATGAAGAGTAAAATACCATATATGTAATCATTTTTTTATTGTTTCCCAATGGGATAAGCATGTAGGGGCTTTCTTAGACCACTGAATGACATTGTGCCCATTGCTGGGTATCTAAGGAGATCCCCAAGTCATGTTCCCATTTGAGCATTGCTGGGAGTTTTGTCTAGTATTAGTCTGCAAATGGAAGCATAGATGAGGGAGATCCCTCTCTGATTGGGTTTGGCGGACATATATAAAGAGTAAGAGAGTTTGAGTGGATTGCTTTCAAGCGGTATAGATAATGGCACATGTCAAATCCTGAGATATTTCTAAAAAAAAAAATCTTTATTGGTAATGGATTAAGTGGAGGTTATGTCTTCCAAAGATTGACGTGACGTCACTGGCTGCTGCTCACTGGAATATCTCCTGAACAATGCACATTTAGGAGATATTCATTTTACCTACACATAAGCTTTATTATAAGCTTACCTGTAGGTAAAAGTAGAAGAAACACATTTACTAACACTAAGAAAAGATACCCACGTACGTAGTGCAGTAATAACACTGTCCAGATGATATCCATTTGCTTTGTGGGTCATTAATATGTTGACTAGTAAGGCCTGTAGATTTATGGAGACAGCTTGCTTTTCTATTTGAACTCAGCATTTATCTGAGGAAGGAGACCATTAATGTTGCATTTGGTCCAGAAGTGAAGCTTTATAATATCTGATCAAATCTGAAGCACCCATTCTTGCTTGAGATTTAGGGATTTAGGATCATATGGGGACAGTTTGTGCACTTATGCTTTTTTGTTCTCCCAAATAAAGTCATCAGAAAGGTTTTGAAGGGCTTTGATATAAGACGAGAGGACAGGGATTGGTGGTGTGTGGAACAAGTAGACTATGTAAGCCAAGCTGAACATTTTGATGAGAATTATTCTTTCAGCTCAAGAAATTGTAGAATTTGATAAGTCTTTACATAGTTCAGAAATTTTGGTAAATAGGTCAGAATAATTAGCCTTGAAGATGTTTGTGCCTGGAGATGTAAATTTTATGCCAAGATATTGTCCTGTCAGATTTTTATTGTGGTCTTGCTCCCTGTTAGGAAGATTTCACCTTTGTATTTTTCCAGTTTACCATTACCACCAAAAAAAAAATCCAAATTTTGGGATGTCACCAGAGTAGGAATATCTTCAAATGGGGACACTAGCTTCGGCGATCCTGGTGACCATTCCATAATTTTAGGATTTCCTTCCACTTCCTGTTTTGGCTGTGACAGGAATTGAAGGGAAATCTCCCTAATAGGACACAGATGGCAAAAAACTGACAGGAGTTATAACCCTCCCATTTTTCCAACAAAAAAAAAAGTTTTTCCTTTTAGTTCTACTTTAAAAGTTAAAGTGCACCTGTGCCCAGAATGTCCACATTAAAGCATTTATTTTTTTTAACAAGCATCAAAAGAGCTTTAAAAAAAAATATTGCTGATCTCTATGCTGTGTATAGCATGAAGTAATTCACTAGCAAACACTCTGAAGTCAGTTTGTAACTGTTTAGACAAAACTGCTGTTTGTCAATATTCTGCCTTCTATGCCTCTGTTGTGAACTTAAAGATTAATTTTCCACAATGCATATACAGTGGGGATCAAAAGTTTGGGCACCCCAGCTAAAAATTTGTATTAATGTGCATAAAGAAGCCAAGGAAAGATGGAAAAAATCTCCAAAAGGCATCAAATTACAGATTAGACATTCTTATAATATGTCAACAAAAGTTAGATTTTATTTCCATCATTTACACTTTCAAAATAACAGAAAACAAAAAAATGGCGTCTACAAAAGTTTGGGCAACCTGCAGAATTTATAGCATGCACTGCCCCCTTTGCAAAGCTGAGACCTGCCAGTGTCATGGATTGTTCTCAATCATCGTCTGGGAAGACCAGGTGATGTCAATCTCAAAGGTTTTAAATGCCCAGACTCATCTGACCTTGCCCCAACAATCAGCACCATGGGTTCTTCTAAGCAGTTGTCTAGAAAACTGAAACTGAAAATAGTTGACGCTCACAAAACTGGAGAAGGCTATAAGAAGATAGCAAAGCGTTTTCAGATGTCAATATCCTCTGTTCGGAATGTAATTAAGAAATGGCAGTCATCAGGAACAGTGGAAGTTAAAGCAAGATCTGGAGGACCAAGAAAAATATCAGACAGAACAGCTCGCAGGATTGTGCGAAAAACAATTCAGAACCCACGTTTGACTGCACGATCCCTCCAGAAAGATCTGGCAGACACTGGAGTTGTGGTACACTATTCCACTATAAAGAGATACTTGTACAAATATGGTCTTCATGAAAGAGTCATCATAAAAAAAAACCCTCTTCTACGTCCTCACCACAAAAATCATCGTTTGAACTTTGCAAATGAACATATAGATAAGCATGATGCATTTTGGAAACAAGTTCTGTGGACCGATGAGGTTAAAATTGAACTTTTTGGCCAGAATGAGCAAAGGTACGTTTGGAGAAGAAGGGGCACATAATTTAATGAAAAGAACCTCTGCCCAACTGTTAAGCATGGGGTTGGATCAATCTTGCTTTGGGGTTGTGTGTTGCAGCCAGTGGCACAGGGAACATCTCACGAGTAGAAGGAAAAATGGATTCAATAAAATTTTAGCAAATTTTGGATGGTAACTTGATGCCATCTGTGAAAAAGCTGAAGTTAAAGAGAGGATGGCTTCTACAAATGGATAATGATCCTAAACACACCTCGAAATCCACGGGGGATTACATCAAGAGGCGTAAACTGAAGGTTTTGCCATGGCCTTCACAATCTCCTGACCTCAACATAATTGAAAATCTATGGATAGACCTTAAAAGAGCAGTGCGTGACAGACAGCGCAGAAATCTCAAAGAACTGGAAGACTTTTGTAAGGAAGAATGGGCAAAGATACCTCAAACAAGAATTGAAAGACTATTGGCTGGCTACAAAAAGCGTTTACAAGCTGTGATACTTGCCAAAGGGGGCAGTACAAGATATTAACTCTGCAGGGTGCCCAAACTTTTGCAGATGCCATTTTTTTTGTTTTCTGTTATTTTGAAAGTATAAATGATGGAAATAAAATCTAACTTTTGTTGACATATTATAAGAATGTCTAATCTGTAATTGGATGCCTTTTGGAGATTTTTCCATCTTTCCTTGGCTTCTTTCTGCACATTAATACAAATTTTTAGCTGGGGTGCCCAAACTTTCGATCCCCACTGTAGCTTCATAGTGGGGGTTTATTGGCTTATTTTAAAGTGCTTTTAACGCTTGTTTAAAATATGTGAATACATAAATGTGCATAGCCTTCTAAACAAGGTAAATAGTTATCAAGTTTTAACCTGAGCCCTGTTAATGAAATTATTACTGTAAAGAGTTTGAGATCAAATGCTGACAAAAATTTCTCATGTGTAATAAGTAGTGTTGGCAATTATTTATGGTAGACACTGAGAATTGGAGGTCCTAAAAGCAGTAATAAATTGTATACACTGTTCTCACATTAAACCATGGTAGGTGCTTATCGCCAACAGTAATGCTTTAAAGTGTTTTACTGCTGACACTTAGCGTTTTCTTTAAATCTAACTTATTTTCTGTCTCTCTGTTTAGCCCACCATGCTACAGTGGATTGAACTGCTGACAAAGCAGTTTAACAACAGCCAAGCAGCCTGCGAGGTAAGATCTGTATAACACGTCTTGTGAATTACATGTGCTGTGGCAGCTCTAGGCACTCTATGGCTTTAGTACAATTTGCCAGTAATCTAGTAACTGTATATGTGTTTGTATGTGTGGTGTATGTGTGTGTGTGTGTATATACAGTCAGGTCCATAAATATTGGGACATCAACACAATTCTAACATGTTTGGCTCTATACACCACCACAATGGATTTGAAATGAAACAAACAAGATGTGATTTAATTGCAGACTGTCAGCTTTAATTTGAGGGTATTTACATCCAAATCAGGTGAACAGTGTAGGAGTTACAACAGTTTGCATATGTGCCTCCCACTTGTTAAGGGACCAAAAGTAATGGGACAATTGGCTTCTCAGCTGTTCCATGGCCAGGTTGTGTGTGTTATTCCCTCATTATCCCAATTACAATGAGCAGATAAAAGGTCCAGAGTTCATTTCAAGTGTGCTATTTGCATTTTGAATCTGTTGCTGTCAACTCTCAAGATGAGATCCAAAGAGCTGTCACTATCAGTGAAGCAAGCCATCATTAGGCTGAAAAAAACAAAACAAACCCATCAGAGAGATAGCAAAAACATTAGGCATGGCCAAAACAACTGTTTGGAACATTCTTAAAAAGAAGGAACGCACCGGTGAGCTCAGCAACACCAAAAGACCCAGAAGACCACGGAAAACAACTGTGGTGGATGACCGAAGAATTCTTTCCCTGGTGAAGAAAACACCCTTCACAACAGTTGGCCAGATCAAGAACATTCTCCAGGTGGTAGGTTTATGTGTGTCAAAGTCAACAATCAAGAGAAGACTTCACCAGATTGAATACAGAGGGTTCACCACAAGATGTAAACCATTGGTGAGCCTCAAAAACGGGAAGGCCAGATTAGAGTTTGCCAAACGACATCTAAAAAAGCCTTCACAGTTCTGGAACAACATCCTATGGACAGATGAGACCAAGATCTTGTACCAGAGTGATGGGAAGAGAAGAGTATGGAGAAGGAAAGGAACTGCTCATGATCCAAAGCATACCACCTCATCAGTGAAGCATGGTGGTGGTAGTGTCATGGCGTGGGCATGTATGGCTGCCAATGGAACTGGTTCTCTTGTATTTATTGATGATGTGACTGCTGACAAAAGCAGCCGGATGAATTCTGAAGTGTTTTGGGCAATATTATCTGCTCATATTCAGCCAAATGCTTCAGAACTCATTGGAGGCCTGGCAGAGCATCACCAGGGATGAAACCCAGCGTCTGGTGATGTCTATGCGTTCCAGACTTCAGGCTGTAATTGACTGCAAAGGATTTGCAACCAAGTATTAAACCGTGAAAGTTTGATTTATGATTATTATTCTGTCCCATTACTTTTGGTCCCTTAACAAGTGGGAGGCACATATGCAAACTGTTGTAATTCCTACACCGTTCACCTGATTTGGATGTAAATACCCTCAAATTAAAGCTGACAGTCTGCAATTAAATCACATCTTGTTTGTTTCATTTCAAATCCATTGTGGTGGTGTATAGAGCCAAACATGTTAGAATTGTGTTGATGTCCCAATATTTATGGACCTGACTGTATATGTGTATATATGTGTGTGTGTGTGTGTGTATGTGTATATATATATATATATTGCTTTTTAGCTAAAAAAAAACCTATGCAGATATAGAAAAAAGTAAATCATTAATTCCAGTTATAGTTTCTGCAATCGCCAAGCACAGCATACATTAATTAACACAATCCAGATTATGCATGATGGAAGGAAACAAAATCTCTCAATTCCTCCATCCCCACCAACACAGTGATGATGGGGGATTCCCTTCTGCAGTGCTATTGTTTTCTGTTGGTAGGGAGCCCTCCTGGCCGACAGGTCACAATAATCACTGCTAGCAGCTATAGCTGCCAGCAGTAACCACATGCAACTAAAAAAATTCTGGGAGGCTGGTTGTACCTAAGACGATTGTGGATCAACTTGGGTACAACCTGCCTGCCTATAGATGGATTGAATCTCTGTCGGTCCCTGCTGAACCAACTGAGGTTCAATCCATCTATGGCCAGTTTAAGAGAATGAAAAGCAGCGTTGTGTTAGCTAATCAGGGCTCTTCTGCATTGCACTGTATTGTCCATCTGATAATGAAAGCTGACAGCAGGGAGAGAGAGGAGAGTGATGACTCCATCATTTTACTGAAACACACTCAATGTCCTGTCACAGGCTAGTCTTAAACTTAGCTATATTGCTCAAGTGTAGTCTGCAGAGAGGTTTCAGGGAGTGCAGAAGCTAATTGTGTTGTCTGGCAGTGGTACCTACATCACAAGACTGGCTGCATAGAATTTTAAATTAATTTGCATGTAATATGCTTAACATATTTATGTAGTTCATCTGTGTATTTGCTTGAAGTTCAACGTTAACCAGCTTTATTTTACCTCTTCTAAAATTTTGCTTCATTTTTAAGTGGTTTTTGGACAGGATGGCTGATGATGACTGGTGGCCTATGCAGATCCTTATCAAGTGTCCCAATCAGATTGTGAGACAGGTTTGTGCATGTGCTATAACAGTATGTTATTAAAACTGTTCACAGTTAGAAATTTTCACTTTCGTTTGCGTTAAAGTGGAGTTCCAGTCATTTTTGTGTTCATTAAAAGCCAGCAGCTACAAAAACTGTAGCTGTTGACTTTTAATAAACACACACTCACCTGTCCCAGGGTCCAGCGATGTGCTCACCCGTGCCGTCCCTTCTTTGCCTCTTTTTTCCCCGGCGCCAGTATCAAAACTGTGGACACCAGGCTGTGACAGCTTGCGGCTTCACAGCCAGGGTGCCCACTGCGCATGTGCGAGTCGCGCTGCACATCTTATTGGTCCAGCAGTCTTCTGGCATTTGTGAAGGCTCCCAGGAGACAGTGGGAGGAAGGAGGGGGCCGAAACCAGGTACCCCGCTCCCCCCTTCCCCCCAAAAGGTGCCAAATAGAGCAGTGGAGGGAAGGAGGAGGCAAATGAGCGGAGCTTCCACTTTTGAGTGGAACTCAGCTTTAAGCTAATTTACTGTCAGCTGTCACTACTCCATAAATATTATGTATGAATCTTCCTTATTTCAACTTATCCATTTTTTAAAAGATCTTTGAATTAATTAAAGCGTAACCCCCAGCCTTACCTTCGATTTTGTGCGATTGTAAAGGCTCATCTCTTGTGCTGAAATGTCTTGCTTTGCTTTCACTGTATACTGTGAGCTTCTCACAATGTGCATTAGAGGCTGCAGTAAAATAGGTAAAGGCTTGATTTTTATGCCTGAAGAAAGTCAAATATCATCTAGCTCTTTTCTTCCCAGCCTGACTGTCCCTGATCCACCCTTGTCATCCATTGTATTTAAATTCCAATTTTCATAACTCTGCCCAAGCCTACTGCTTGTATGAGGGATGAGGGCTCTTGAGAGAAGTATTGAAGCAGGGTGCTGTGAAGTTTTCAGGAATGTATGTACAGCACCCTGTTGGCCCCTTTCAGCTCCAGGAAAAACTTCAGCCATAGAGGGACACAGGAATTCAGCAACTTTAGGGTTATACTGCAGCCTAAAGGAGGTTGGGACACTGGTAAACAGAAAAGTTGCAAGTAAGCCCTCATATAGCCCCTCCTTTACACAGCCTCACATTTTTGCTAGTGTTCTAGGAGGTTGAACATATTTTCTTCAGTGTTGCTGAAAAATGTCTTATTTTCAGTTGCCTTCTCACTTCCTGGTATTTTATTCCTCTGTGACTTCAGTTGAGATTCTGGTGGTCTCTACAAATAGTAGCAACTATCCCTGTTGATGTTTCTTCAGTAGTAGCTCTACCCAGACCTCCTAGACTAGACGTGTGGGTCTAGCTTGGAGTGTGACATTCTGATACTGACCTCTGCAATGTGGCCCTTTCAAGACCTTGCTGTATAGTGTTTGCCAGTGAGCACTTTCCATGTCAAGAGTCGTGGCACAGCCCTAGGTTTGATCCTGTCTCAAAAGGCCGGTCAGGATGAAGCACCGGCAGTTAACTCATGGTTTCCACCGTTAAGTATCTTTACAAATTTCTGCCACCTTCAGCTTTGCCACAATCAGATTTAAGGCTGAGGGATCAACCATGATATTGTTTTGGTGGAGTGCTGCTAGCTCTCTTTTCCTCCATTCATCCTGGAGGAAGTATCATCCTGAAGCTGCCCCTTCTCTGAAACAACACATGAGTCTCTGGACTGTTTCCACTGGCCACCCACAGTGACTTGGTCACCTCCAGCTACCTGAAACCCTCACCAGCTGCCCAAGTTTGTGAGTATTTGAGGCCTTGCCTCACTTTGGGACTAGTTTTATTACCACTGTATGTACACAACGGGTCTTCCATTAGGTACACGGGACAGTCTTGCTGCCTCAGCCTGTAAAGACAGCTTATACTCCCCTAGTGATTCTGAGGGCACTTACCCCCTATTTATACCCAAAAGGAACCAATGCTCATAAACCCAAATCCTATAACTCCTGTTATCAGATCATTGTCGTCTGATTCTATCTTAGCTCTGTTCACTCTGGACTTATATATTATATTACAAATATTGGGGCACTCTGCCCATAGAGACTCCATGGCCTGCAGTGTCTGTACCCTAACCCTCCCGAGCCCCTAAATCTAACCAAGCCTGTGGCTGTTGTGTTACCATCTTTGGATTTCAACTCCCAACAGTCTTTTCTGGAGACCCTGTTTTTCAGACACCGCAGTCTCCTGCAACAGACTTGGATTATTAAAGGGTTGTTTCAAACTTCATTTATGCAGTACTTTACTACCTTGCACCTAGAAGAAGAAGGCCTGTTCCAGGCCTTTGGTCTTTTAGGGTTCCTACAGCTGCAAAGAACTCTACAAAGAAGAATTTTACACTTGTTATTTGAGTTATTCCTTTATAAGGACTGGAATTTCCCTTGAAGGATCTTGTGCCCCAAGAAATTTTCCCTTTAAGAGGGAGTTTTTAAATCGGTGGTCCGTTCTTCTCTGGATGCCACAGTGAATCCAGCCTAATAGGCATACCACCAAATAGGTTAAAGGTGTCCTCACCTTTTGGGATTTTACTGACAAACTGTTAATTCAAACTGAGATCCAAGTAGGGAATTTAACTGCTGTGGCTCTCCACCCTGTGTTTGGGGGGTCATTTTAATTTACTGTTATGGAGCCGTCAAAGAAATATTCTGGAACCTTGTGATCTAGTTGTGAAGACTTGTTGCAAGCATCTAAACCCCGGATGAGATTGATGTCCATGCAAATGGGTAGGCACTCTGGCTTGCTTGGATATATGGCTAGCATGATGATGCAGCCAGGAGTATCGGACTCCGTTATCCTTCGAGGGGTGTTGTCTCTTTGAACTTGCTCTGGACACAGCAATGCCATGGGTGGCCAGGGTGTGCTTCTGCCTCAATGCCGGAGGTCTGCGCCAGAATGTGAGGACCCTCCCCCCTCTTTCTCCTTTATCTTGTTCAGCAGTAGTAGAGGTCTACTAACCTATCTGGCAAACCTTCTGCATGAAGGTTCACTACCACTTCTGCAAGTGGTGGGCCATTTGTACATCTGGATGGGTCCTTGAGTAGGTTGTCTCCCTAGCATTTGGGTGGTCAGGCCAGTCTCCAGACACACATGCTAAATCCTTGTGTCTGGCATCTCCTTCATCTGCCCCTTACCATGTTTCTGGTGTTACTGCATCCAGCAGTGTAGACTTTCCTGGTTTGTCTGGGTTCCATACACCCTGGTACTCCTTGTTCCTTTCTTTGGTTCAGCGCTCCACTACAAAGTATAGAGGTGCTGTAAGATAATGCCAGGAGCAGTTTTTAATTATTAGAATGTAATTTATTGTAACAGTTATTCTTACTATTACAATAAATGGCATTCTGAAAAAAAAACTAGAAGCACCTGGCATTATCTTATATCACCTCTATACTTTGCATTGGAGAATTGAGCTAACATTGGAATACTTAGGTCCTTAGCGCTATTTATGGTGGTTACCTCCTCAAAATGCAGAGCACCCAACCACTCTACCCTGGGTTCAATTTTAAGCTCAACCCGTTTCGTCACAAGTCTTGGGCCTCAGAGCCCACCAAGTTTTCATGAAAGCCCTCTTTCCAAGGATGGGCGGACATCTGTTATGGTTTACCTCTTTCTAGGTCACAAACTTCCCAGATCTGTGCTTTCAAAATGTTACAAAATAGAGTTTAAAAGTCTACCTCCTCTGCTTTTTTTCTCAAATCAACCAGAAATAGTCCAGGGCCATGGAAGTGGTTGTGCCAGTACCTCCACATTTTTATTCAAACCTGTTCATTGTAGGTCAGCAGGGATATTAGTCTTATTCTGGACTTAAAATCCGTCAATAAATACTTTCAAATTCCAAAATTTCGCATGGAATCCGCAAGGTTGGTAATTCACTTTCTGAGACCAGGGGAATATAAGCCATCCATACACATTCAAGATGCCTTTCTGCACGTTCTTATTTACACACTTCATCAGTGCTTTCTGTGCTTCGTAGTAGCAACAATCACTGCCCTTTGGCCTATCCTCTACAACCAGAGTGTTCATAAATGTCTTGGCACCTCTTCTTGCTCTTTTTAGTACTCAGGGCATCCAGGTCACAGGCTATCTAGACAACCTCCTTCTGAAGGTAAATAAAACATACCAATGCGCTACTATTCTTTTGTACAGGTAGCTACCAAGCACTGATATGTGTTCCCACACCAACAGCAAAGAACAAACTAAAAAAGTGCAGTGCTACCTTGTATTGACAAAATAAAGAACACCAACTGTAGTGCTTGTGTAATTATGTTTGGTGTATGTTGGTGGTGACCTACTGTATTACCCATTCCTCTCTCCCCTCTCCCCTCTCTCCCCCTCTCTCCCCCCCCCCCCTCTCCCCCCCTCCCCCCCTCTCCCCCCCTCTCCCCCCCTCTCCCCTCTCCCCCCCCCCTCTCCCCTCTCCCCCTCTCTCCCCCCCTCTCTCCCCCTCTCCCCCTCTCCCCCCCCTCTCCCCTCTCCCCCTCTCCCCCCTCTCCCCCCTCTCCCCCCCTCTCCCCTCACCCCCTCTCCCCTCCCCCCCCCCCCCCCCCCTCTCCCCCTCCCCCCCCTCTCCCCTCCCCCCTCCCCCCTCTCCCCCCTCTCCCCCTCTCCCCCCCTCTCTCTCCCCCTTCCTCCCCGCCCCCCTCTCTCTCCCCCCCCCCCTTCCCTCTCCTCTCTCCCTCTCCCCCCCCCCCCCCTTCTCTCTCTCCTCTCCTCCCCCCCCCCTTCCCTCCTCCTCTCCTCCCCCCCCCCTTCCCTCTCTCCTCCTCTCCCCCCCCCCCCCCCCTCTCTCTCTCTCCCCCCCCTTCCCTCTCTCTCCTCTCTCCCCCCCCTTCCCTCTCTCCTCTCTCCCCCCCCCCCCCCTTCTCTCTCTCCTCTCTCCCCCCCCCCTTCCCTCTCCCTAGAATCGAATAATAAATAAACTACTGGGACGCTTTACTCTGGAGTGATGAGGCCAAGATAAATGTTTTTGGAACTGATGGCTTCAAAACTGTATGGCGTCACAAAGGTGGAGGAGTACAAAGAAAAATGTATGGTGCCTACAGTGAAACTTGGTGGCAGTTTCCTTCTGTGGGGCTGCATGAGTGCTGCCGGGGTTGGAGAGCTGCATTTCATTGATGGTATCATGAATTCACAGTTGTACTGCTCTATATTGAAATAGAAGATGCTACCATCACTCCGTGCCCTTATTCGTCGTCGTGCACTTTTCCAACATGACAATAATCCAAAACACACATCTAAGGCCACTGTTGCATTTCTGAAGAACAGGGTGAAAGTGATTCAGTAGCCAAGGATGTCTCCTGATCTGAACCCAATCTAACACCTATGGGGAGTTCTGAAGAGACAAGTTGAGCATCACTCTCCATCCAGCATACAGGCTCTAAAGAGGCCGTTCTTGAAGAATGGAAAAAGATGTTGCAATATGTTGCCAACTTATTCATTCCATACTTAGAAGACTTGTTGCTGTCCTTACAAACCACGTAGGTCATACAAAATACTAGCTGTAGTAGTTTTTGCTGTGGGGTGTATTCATTTTTGCATCAACTAGTTTAGGAAAAAAATGAAGATTTTGTAATCCAAGTTATATTATTAACCTTACTTTCATGTAATGAGCTACACAAATGTTCTATATAACTCAGTTTTGTCAAAATTCGGGAAATTGTTCTTGTTTTTATTGAGATATTGATTCAAACCTTACTTTTCAATAGGGGTGTACTCTTAGATTGCTTTTTTGATTTATTGTTGCACATCTATGTCTATTGATGTATGAGGGTTGGAAGGACCGGTAGTAGGTCACCACCAACATACACCAAACATTATTACAAAGGCACTACAGCTGGTGTTATTTATTTTGGCAATATAAGGTAATGCTGCACTTTTTTGGGTGAATCTTCTCCTGAAGGACTTGTCTCCCTTTTGCCTATCAGCACACATCCACAGGACAGTTTAGGTGCTTCAGGCTTTTATCTGGGTGATCAGTTTTAAAAATATCTACTCTTCAGCCTTCTCTTCACTTGGAGTACTTGGGTCTCGTCCTGGACACATGCCAAGCAAAGGTTTTCCTTCCAGAAAACAAATTTCTTTTCCTGAGAGCCCACGTCAGTAACTGTTCAAAGAGACATTCCACAATGAGATTCTCCATGAGAGTTTTATGCCTCATGTTAGCCATCTTTTGAGCCCATTTTCATTCAAGAACTCTCCAACACAGCATCTTGTCAACCTGGAACAAGCAGATCCTATCCAGCCAAGCAAAGAATTCCCCTATCTTGGTGAATCTCAAGCACAGCCTGAACAATACAAAAGTCTTTCCTTCCCTATCACTGGAATATGATGGCAATAGATGCCAGTTTTTCAAGCTTGGGGAGTGTTCCAGTCCACCACAGTCCAGGAAACATGGTCACCTGTGGACACCAAGCTCCCCATCAACATCCTGAAGCTCAAAGCAGTTCATATGACTCTGCAACACTGAACCCCTCCCCCTTCTGCAGGGAAATCCAGTCAAGGTGCAGACATTAAGGGAGTACCAGGAGTCTTGCAGCCTTGAAGGATCAAACCAGATGCTTTTGTTGATGGAAACTTAACTGTCCAGCAATCAGCCGCTATTGCCTGGATCAAGGGAAAAAATGGACCCTTCATCCAGGCATCTTCAATCTGATATGTTAGAAATGGGGAACTCTGGATGTAGAAATCTACCTCTGTTTTTAGCCAGGACCAAGGATCCTCTAACTTTAGCCTCCAATGTCATGACAATTTCCTGGTCTTGGTTCAGGTTAATCTTCTATTTCCCTCCAGTGCAAATTCTGCCGTATCTGCTCAATACGATAAAGCAATAGAGATGAACAGAGATTTCTCATTGCACTTAAACTGGTCCAGAAGAACCTGGTAGAAAGACATTCTAGCAACACTTCTAGCAGACAACCCCTGGCTTCTTCCCAACAGGCCAGTCCTGATATCGCAATGCCTTCTGTTCCATCATACTCCTCAGCCTCTGGCTTTAGGGTCTGTTCACACCACAATTTCTGCATTCCTGATGCGTTTCTGCATGCACAGTTTCATGTGTTTTTGATGCATTCCGGTCTGTTTTTTGATGTGTTTATGGTGCATTTTTTCCCTTTTTTTTTTTTTTTTTTTTTCCCCCTCCTTTTTCATATCAATTCAGGAAAAATGGATTCCGGTGCATTTTCCATGCAATTTTTCTGCATTTCCTGAAGCTTTCCATACAAAAAGAATGCAGCATGTTTGCCTTTTGTTGACTGCGCTGCACTGGTGTAAACTAGGGCCATTGGAATACATGGAAAACACTGCATGCATTTTTCATTCAGATTAAAAATGCACTGGACTGCATCTGGTGTGAACCAGCCATTAACGGCATGGCTGTTGAAGCCCAGGTCTTAAAAGATAGAAGGATCTTTGTGTTTGTGATCTCTACCTTGCTAAAAGCAATAAAAGCCACTTTGCCTGGTTTGAACACAGACATTTAAATCCCAGAGATTATTCTATACTTCACATTCTGGCTTTCCCACAGCACATACCTCCTTTGACTATTTCTGTTGCCCATGCCAGCCGGTGTAGTGATCTGGGCATCTGAAAAATCTACTACACAGTACAGATGCTGTGTAGCATCATAATGCTCACAATGATGAGCGGTCATGGGTCAGCACGGGTACGTTACTTAATTGACCAATGGGAATCTCTCTGAGCCGCTTCAGTGTGCCAAAAGAAAGGGTGTAGAAGAGCGTGGCTTTCAAATAGTCAGACTGTAAGGAGGTAATTGCAGTGGGGATGTGGGGAGGGTATAGCGAGTTATCGCACCTCATAATTTTGTAAATTTGTGTAAAGGTGCACTAACCCTTTATTATTGATACAATACTACTTGATCATTGACATCTTTTAAGATACAAACTTTGCTAGGATGTATAATAAACATTACAACCTTTAACCGTACACTTTTTATAAATACTGTACCGTATTTATGCTATTGTAGTACAACAAAAAGTCCTTTTATAACAATTCTTTGAGTTATGTGTGCTTTTTTTTTTTTTTTTTTTTTTTTTTGCATTAAGTGCAAGATGTTTTGTTTCCAAACATTATTTTTTTTTTTCCTCATATTTGTGTGTTTGTAACAGATGTTCCAGCGTCTTTGCATACATGTTATTCAAAGGCTGAGATCTGCACATGCGCACCTCTATCTTCAGCCAGGCATGGAGGATGGGTATGTTTCCAATTTATTCAGTATTATCTTAGAACATATTTGGACCTGCCGATCTATGATTTTGCTCAGAGGGTCTATTTTCCACCATCTCCCTTTTTATCCTGCTGCACTTTTGTGGTTATAATTCAACTTACTGCTTAGCATCATTCTGTTGAAAATGGGGTGTAGATTTTACAAACAGGTTTTTGTACCTTAAGTCTATTTGTTCTCTGTACCTGCAGTGTTGTATAGTGTGATTCTCATCTCCTTTATATGACACGTTACCTTGGTCTAGTGCAGGAGTCCCCAAACTTGATAAACAAAAAGCCAGTGGTTGTAGAAAATGCCCCAGTGTCAGTGGGAGTAAACCATGCCTCAGCCTTGGTCTCAGTAGAAGGCTCCATTCAGTTGAAGGAACAATGCCCCACCATTGATGTCATTTGTCGGAATAGTGTCCCGTATTGGTAATGAACAGTACCCCATTGTTTTTCATTGGTGTCCCTAAATAAATAGTGTCCCATTAGTGTTGTCAATGCAAGATATAGTGCCCCATCATTGGTCGGTTCTTACCTTTCTGGGCTGCCTGTTGCTTGCTGTGGTTCCTGCTTTCCTCTACACAAATTCAGAATACAGAAGTATATGTGGGTAATTGCAGATTGAGCTACTGAGCATAGAATTTTTAGATTCTGCAAATCTGCATCCATTTCTTTTCTCTGCAGTGGTAAGTGGAGTGGATAGCGGGGGAGGGGAGTATTCAATGTCTTTTTTTGCATGGGTTCCCTTCTTGTACATTTTTGTGTCAACAAAGTTGCTTTAATGCATAATCTTGAAGCGGAACTTCACTCTCTCAATCAACATGGACTATTTCTAATCCTTATGCTGCTAGCATTAGGAAATAGATGGGAAACTATATCATATTTACTTGTTTTAACAATTTTTTACTTCCTGGTTTCCATGCCTAGGAAAATGATGTCATACATCCCATGAGTCTTGAGGAGAGGAGGGAGGGTTCTCAGCTCAGCCAATGCCTGACCTAGGGATAGATTGATTCTAGGAAGTAACTGCTACATGAATCATCTGCCCTTACTCAAGATGGCCACTGCCAGAAATGCCAGGAGTTGTTTTTCAAAATGATTTCTCAGCAATATAAAACAGAGACATAGATGGATAGAGGAGTTTGTTTTGAATATTAAAAATAAATTGTATGGCATTTTTGGTTCATAGTACTCAGTTCCACTTTAAGGAATTTACAGGCATATGGCCCAGGGAATGAGTAAACAATAATACTACATTGGTAGTAATGATCAATAAGATTACTTGTAGATCAATTTACAGTCTTTAACTCAAACAGAATCGCCTGTGGGAGACAAACTAAATTTGATGAGGAAAAGCCACGCTGTACTAACAAGTTGAGAAGACAGTTTAATGTAAAAGGTTTACAAAATCTATGACTGAGTACAGAAACACAACACGAGGTTGTCCTACAGCATCTCCAAGGTCTTTCATAGGTAGAAATTTCAAGGAAGACTGGTGTTTTTAGGTCTGCTGTCCAAGCACTTTTGCAGAACCGCAAAGAAAGACAACATTGAGCACTGAAAATGCAGTCGCCGTCCAAGGAAACTAGGCGCAGCAGATGGAAGACACATCATGATGACTATGCTTTCACAATCACATGTGCTGTGGCACCATTAAATAACACTTGGCAGGAACCAGAGGGACTTTGGTACACACCCATCTACAGTCTGAAGAAGTCTGATCTAAAATGGTCTTAATGGAAGATTTACAGCTAAAAGTTCATCCCTCCGACATGGAACTAAGGCCAAGTGACTCACTTATACGCAAAATGTTTGAAATATTTGGTGAAAATGTAAGGCAATTTGTTCACCAATGACTTTGAGGAATAGAAGAGGGATTAGTGTCTGCAGGCAACAGCTAAGGTTCTTTGCAGGTTTGGGGCTACGTTTCTGCATATAAAGTTGAGGATCTGGTCAGATTTATTGGTCTCTTCAATGGTGAAAGGTACAGGCAGATATCAGTCATGCGATGCTATCAGGGATCTGTTTGATCTCTTTCAAATTTTGTTCTGTAGGACAATGGCCCCAACATACAGTCAAAATCATAAAAAAAATTGTTGGCAAAAACATAGAAAAAATGTCCTAGAAGTGATATGGCAAAAAGCCTTGACCTTAAGATTGTCAAGTCTGTCTGGAAATAGAAAAAAGAGAAAGCAACTGAGACAGCCTATATCCACAGAAAAACTGTGTTTAGTTCTCCTAGATGTTTGGAACAACCGATCTGCCAAGTTCCTTAAAAAAAAAACTGTGCAAGTGTACCTAGGAAAATTGATGGTTTAAAATGCAAAGGGTGGACAAACCAAATATTGATTTAATTTAGGCTTTTTGTCTATGTATGTGGGTTGTTTAAAAAAACTATTCATTGCATTCTTTATGAAACCATCCCGTGCTGTGCAGCATTTTTCAAGTGCCTAAATAATTACTGTGCGTTGTAGAAAATTTAACATGTAGAGAATCCTATTAAGGTTCAATGGTAGTAAATCTTTATTGTAATTGAAAACATACCAATGATTTTGCATTCATTTTCAGCTCTGATGACATGGATGGGCCTGTGGAGGACATAGGCAGCCGCTCTTGTGTTACTCGCTTTGTGAAAACATTGCTTTCTATCATGGAGCATGGTGTGAAGCCTCACAGTAAACATCTGACTGAGTACTTTGCCTTCCTTTATGAGTTTGTCAAGATGGGAGAGGAAGAGGTATTCATCTCTGTATACATATTTTAGTAGTATATTTATTTACAATGTGTTAAATGTTTAACTAAAATTCTTTTCTTTCAGAGCCAGTTTTTGCTGTCCCTACAAGCCATATCAACCATGGTACATTTTTACATGGGGACCAAAGGGCCTGAAAATGTAGGTAGCCCAATTATACTGCTATATGTATTTATTTAATCCTGTATATTTTTTTTTTTTTATCTGTACTAGTAATTTACACAATTTGTGTCTGTTCTTTTGGATGGCCAGTTTAAAATGATGTGGTTTAGTAATGTTTTGATGAATTTAGTCATCAATATATTATGTAATATTTTAAAATATTTCAGTGTAAACAATTTTAGTAAGGCCCTGTTCACACTTGAGAGTTTTTGAGCTTGACGCTCAGAAGCCATCAACAAAGAAAATCCCATTCATTTCAGTGGCCCCTGTTTACTTTTGAACAAAATGTGTAGCAAAATTTCTGTCGCTCAAAAAAAAATCTTACTTTTCAGGCAGATTGAGTGTTTCTGTCCCCATACACTTAAATGAAAAACACCTGAACAGCAAGAAATGATCGTTTTTTTGTTTTTTTTTTGGGGGGGGGGGGGTTTCAAGTATTTTTAGCTCAATCAGCAACTCCCCGCCCCTTTTCTAGCATACTCCACACCTTATAAACACACATCTTGTGATTAAATAAAAAGAGAGTCTGCTTCTGAAAGCTGAGAAATTCATTGCTCTCATTTGTGGCCACCCCTGCATATATGATCCCATTATAAGAGCCGGGCAAGAACCACTAGAGCCTGGGAGGAAGTGGTAATGAACCAACAGCTACACTGCTCCCCAGATCAAGGAGAAAGGTACAGTACTTCTGTGTACAGCAGCCATGTGCTTGTTTTTGGTCTTCATTTTGTATGTGTGTCTAGGACACAGCTACACATGTTTCTATTGGCCACAGCAAAAATGCCTGAATAAATGCCTATATATTTGCAAATCTGCTCAAAAATGCCTGAAAAAAAAAGTTTATTTTGCAAATGCATATTTGCAAATGCATATTTAGCATGGCCATCTAGAGTGCAGCATATATCCTCTAGAAATATGGTATCATTAGTGCAGGGCCCAAAAAAAAACAGCTGTATGACTATGGCACATTTCAGTGGTTTTTATATTGTTTCTGGTATGCCCCTCTTTGGAAGCATTTGAAAATAATATATAAATTCTTTTTAGCCACAGGTTGAAGTGTTGTCTGAGGAAGAAGAAGGAGAAGAGGAGGAGGAAGAAGACATTTTGTCACTTGCTGAAGAAAAGTACAGGCCAGCGGCTCTTGAGAAGATGATCGCTCTCATAGCGTTCCTGGTGGAACAGTCTCGTTCTGAAAGGTAGGCTGATGACCTGTTGTAGACTATGGTACTGGGTACTCCAGCAGTTCAGAGTAGCACCACCCTTGCAGAAGAGTTGTGGCTTGATGGGCAGTTTGAACATGTATTTTCAAATGCATGCTATTGAGCATTTGTCTTTATTATTTATTTACAATTTAAATATGACCAGCCTCAGTGCCAGCCAATGAAAGTGTTCCCAGTAGCCGACTGGCATCAGCACAAGACATTGGCACAGTAGAGATTTCTTTAATGTTTTTTTTTGTAAAATGATTAGCATACTGAAGACAGACTTAGGCACTTAATTACCTTCTACAGGTTTTATAGGGGTGTTACCCTTCATATTAGGTTTTTCTTTTATATACAGAAGTAGTGGCCAGAATTTGTTTGGGATTCTCACCACTCTAGTAAGTAAAATAATGTCAGCGTTAAAGTCCACTTATGTATACAATATCAAATTTGAGTGGATTGGCCCTTTAATAGGGTAGTTTCCTCCCTGTTCCATTTTCAGGTTCTCACTCCGCAGTTCTGCTGAGCACCAGCAGGTCCTCCTCTTGCGGGAAATGTGTACTGCTACCCAATTCATTCCTATAAGTAAACCCTACTCTGTTGATGGCTGGAGGCTTCTGTTAGTTTTAGCTCACCCATAGGAATAAATAGGGCTGTGCAGTAAGAAGGGGAGAATGTTTCCTTTGCAAAGGCTAAACGGTGCTGGGCAAAACGAGCAGATCTGCAACAGGAATTAAGGTAAGTATTAAACCAAGTGGGGTGCACTCAGGAGGGTGGGGGGGGTTACTTACTAAAGGGAAAGTTGTTCTTAAACCCCTCTCTACCAGCACTATTTATAGACAGCAGCTTGTGCAGACCCCTTTCGACTAGAATGCTGGAACCACCAGCTGAAGCGCACATCACATCCTGTGCTTCTGTTCATTCTACATACCATTCCATAGCAGCAAAGTAAAAAACACTAGTTTTGTGTTTGTCAGATTGGATGTTACATCATGTCACTTCCAGTCAATACAAAACAAAAAAAAGAGTAAAGAGTGTAAACAAAAATATAAAATACAGTGCTTGTATGTACTGTGCGTGTGTATATGTATGTATATACAAACAAAAGAAATAGACATGAGAATGCCTAAAGATTTGTAATTGCAACAATTTTCTGGGTGAAGTGGTGCATTATATCACAGAAAAGCAGGGGAGCCAACATTTTTGGCCATGACTATGTGTGTATATATGTGTGTGTATGTATGTATATATGTGTATGTATGTATATATGTGTGTGTATGTATATATACACACACGCATACATAATACTTACACAGTGTATATGTGTACACACACACACACAAAATTAGAATATCGTGCAAAAGTTAATTTATTTCAGTAATGCAACTTAAAAGGTGAAACTAATATATGAGATAGACTCATTACATGCAAAGCAAGATAGTTCAAGCCGTAATATGTCTTAATTGTGATGATTATGGCTTACAGCTCATGAAAACCCCAAATCCACAATCTCAGAAAATTTTAATATTGTGAAAAGGTGCAATATTCTCAGCTCAAAGTGTCCCACTCTAATCAGCTAATTAAGCCATAACACCTGCAAAGGATTCCTGAGTCTTTAAATGGTCTCTCAGTCTGGTTCAGTAGGAATCACAATCATGGGAAAGACTGCTGACCTGACAATTGTGCAGAAAACCATCAAACCATCCATAAGGAGGGAAAGCCTCAAAAAGTAAACTTTAATTAATAGAAAACTATGTGGATAAACAGACCCGGTCTGTTGCTCAGTGGTCCTAAGTCCTTTTTTCTGATGAGAGCAACTTTTGCATCTCATTTGGAAACCAAGGACCCAGAGTATGGAGGAAGAATGGAGAGGCACACACTGCAACATGCTTGAAGTCCAGTGTGAAGTTTCCACAGTCTGTGTTGATTTGGGGAGCCGTGTCATCTGCTGGTGTTGGTCCACTGTGCGTCATTAAGTCCAGGGTCAATGCAGCTGTCTACCAGGAGATTTTGGCGCATTTCATGCTTCCTTTCGTAGACGAGCTTTATGGGGATGCTGACTTCATTTTCCAGCAGGACTTGGCACTTGCCTACACTGCCAAAAGCACCAAAACCTGGTTCAATGACCATGGGATTACTGTGCTTGATTGGCCAGCAAATTTGCCAGACCTGAACCCCATAGAGAATCTATGGGGCATTGCCAAGAGAAAGATGAGACATGAGACCAAACAGTGAAGAGCTGAAGGCCGCTATTGAAGCATCCTGGTCTTCCATAACACCTCAGTAGTGCCACAGGCCGATAGCTTCCATGCTACGCCGCATTGAGGCAGTAATTGCTGCAAAAGAGGCCCAAACCAAGTACTGAGTACATATGCATGCTTCTACTTTTCAGAGGTCCGATATTGTTCTATGTACAATCCTTGTTTTATTGATTGCATGTAATATTCTAATTTTCTGAGATTGTGGATTTGGGGTTTTCATGAGCTGTAAGCCATAATCATCACAATTATGACAAATCACGGCTTGAACTATCTTGCTTTGCATGTAATGAGTCTATCTCATATATTATTTTCACCTTTTAAGTTGCATTACTGAAATAAATGAACTTTTGCACGATATTCAAATTTTTCAAGAGAGACACACACACACACACACACACACACTTACTTTTCTGTGATATAACGCACCACTTCACCCAGAAAATTGTTTCAATTGCAAATGTTTAGGCATTCTCATGTCTATTTCTTTTGTTTGTATTGGTATGACACAACAAAGTCGAAAAACAAAAAGCCAAATCTGAGACGTTACATGTGCAACCCCAGACATGGACTGGACAAAATTATTGGCACCCTCAATGTAATATTTGGTAGTACACCCCTTGGAAAAAAAAACTGAAATCCATCACTTCCTGTAGTAACCATCAATGAGTTTTTTACACCTCTACTGGATTTTCGAACCACTCTTTTTTTCACCAACTGCTCCAGGTCCCTCAGATTGGAAGGATTCCTTTTCCCAACTGCGGTTTTGAGATCTCTCCATAGGTGCTCTACGGGATTGAGATCAGGACTCCTTGCTGGCCAGTTCAGTACTCTCCAGTGCTTTTTGACATGTGCTTTGGGTCATTGTCCTGCTGTTAGACTCATGACCTCTGGCGGAGACCCAACTTTCTTTCACTGGGCCCTACATTGCACCCCAGAATTCTTTAGAGGCCTTCAGATTTCATAATGGCATAGTCTTTTCTTTAAAGGCCTCATTTCTTTTTTTGAAAACAGTAGAATGATGGGCTGTACCAAAAAGCTGTTATTTTGTTTCGTCTGTCCACTTCTCCCAAAAGGATTTTAGCTTCCTCAGGTAAATTTTGGCAAACTGCAATCTGGCTTTTTTATGTTTCTGTGTCAGCAGTGGGGTCCTCCTGGGTCTCCTACCAAAGCGTCCCTTTTCAGTCAGATGGCGACGTATAGTTCAAGCTGACTCAGTTGTGCCCTGTGCCTGAAGGTCAGCTTGAATTTGTCTGGAAGTTGATCGAGGTTCTTTTGCCACCATTCGAACAATCCTTTGTTGCAATCTTTGATCAGTTTTTCTCTTTCGTCCACGTCCAGGGAGATTAGCTACAATGCCATGGGCTGTAAACTTCTTGACAATGTTGTGCACTGTGGACACGGGAACATTAAGATCATCGGAGTTGGACTTGTAACCTTGAGATTGTCTACAATTTTTGTTCTCAATTCCTTAGACAATTGTTTGCTGCTATTTCTCTTCTCCATGCTCCATGTGGCACACAACAGACAGGTTGAGTCAATTTTTCACCAGTTTAGCTGATTGCCGGTATCATTTCTATTTTGTCAGCACCTATTATCTGATGCAGGTGAGTTTAATTACAGGAGCATCACAAAGTTGGAATGCAATTATTTCTTACAATTTTAAAAAGGTGCCAATAAATTTGTCCAGGAGTTTTGCATGGAATGTGCCAGATTTGGCTTTTTGTTTCTCCATTTTTTTTGTGTCTTACCAATACAAACTAAAGAAATTTACATGAGAACGCCTAAACATTTGTAATTGCAACGGTTTTCTGGGCAAAGTTGCACATTATCTGACAGAAATGCAGGGGTGCCAATATTTTTGGCCATGGCTAATATATGTATACAGTTAAGTCCATATATATTTGGACACAGGCACAATTTTAGGTTTTTCGTTCAGCTATTTGCCAATACATATTCAAGCTATATTTCTATAATGGATATGGGCTGAAAGTGCACACTCTCAGGTTTAAGTTGAAGGTATGTACATCCAAATTGAAGGAAGGGTTTAGGAATTACAGCTCTTAAGAGTAGCCATCCCCCCATTTTTCAAGGGACCAAAAGTAATTGGACAGTTGCATCATAAGCTGTTTCATGGCCAGGTGTGGGCTACTCCTTCTTTATTCATCAATTAAGCAGGTAAAAGGCCTGGAGTTGATTAGAAGTGTGGTATTTACATTTGGAATCTATTGCTGTGAACCTACATCATGCGTTCAAAGGAGCTGTCCATACAAGTGAAAGAAGCCATTGTAAAGCTTCAAAAACAAAAAATATCAATCAGAGAGATAGCAACAACATTAGGAGTGGCCAAATCAACAGTTTGGTACATTCTGAGGAAAGAAGAACGCACTGATGAGCTCAGCAACATAAAAAAGCACAGACGTCCATGGAAGACTACAGTGGTGGATGATCGCAGGATCCTCTCTATGGTAAAGAAAAACCCATTCACAACATCCAGACAAATGAAGGACGCATTTTAGGAGTTGGGCATATTATTCTCATAGTCTACAATCAAGAGAAGACGTCACGAGAGCAAATACAGAGGGTTCACCACAAGGTGCAAACCACTATTCATAAGCCTGAAGAATAGAAAAGGCAGATTAGACTTTGCCAAAAAATATCTAAAAAAGCCTGACCAGTTCTGGAAAAGCATTCTTTGGACGGATGAAACCAAAATGATGGGAAGAAAAAAGTGTAGAGAAGGCTTGGAACAGCTTATGATCCAAAGCACGCAACGTCATCTGTACAACATGGTGGAGGCAGTGTGATGTCATGGGCATGCATGGCTTCCAGTGGGACTGGGTCATTGGTGTTTATAGATGATGTGACAGAAAATTTGCACTTCAAATTAATTTGGATTGTTTCGTTTTAATTTATTCTGTGCCATACAGAGCCAAAAGTATGAAAATTGTGCCTGTGTCCAAAATATATATATATATATATATATATGGACCTAACTGTAGGTCTTTCCATTAAGCACCTTATTCATTAAGTCTCTCAAGTCCTCTCCCTGGGCCTTTTCAGGTAGCCCCCGGATCCTCATATTTTTCCTTCTATTTCTGTTCTCCTGGTCTTCTATCTTATATAGAAATTTCATTTGTTCACATCGCATTTCTTCCATTTGACCATTCAACTCAATTATTGCTTGAGCATGTTTGTCCAATTTTTCTTCAGTTTCTTCCACTCGGGCCAAAACTTGTCCCAGATCTTTATGTATTTTTGCCATATCATTCTGTAAGGAAAGTTATAATTTCACAACATGTCTTCCATTTCCGTTTTAGCGGTCATTTGTGGGCAACCTCCTTGTTCTTCCCTGCTTCTTATATCTTTCCCCCCCCCCCCCCCCCATTAGGGGTTTCTTTACCTTGATTTAATTTGGTTATCCCCAATGACAGTCTGGACTGATCTCCACTGATGTTCCCCAGTTCTTGTATGCTATTAACTCCCCATTGTCTCTCCAGGGTATGACCCCTTGGACTCTTCTCCTTCAGGGGCATGTATTTTTTTTATTGTACTTGTAAGTAGTTAAATAAAAATAATCTAGTTATGACATTTTTTGCAGGTGTTAATTACCATTTTCCTCCATATTCTAGGCATCTCACATTGTCCCAGAATGACATGGCAGCTTTAACAGGTGGAAAGGTAATTGTGTGTTCTGTTTGATTTATAGTCACGTGCATTTTAACATGGATGAGATGAGTTGTTTGTCATTTTGCTAAATGCTTATTAAATCCTCTTTACTTTACCCCATTGAATGTGTAATTGCAGTTCTGTGTTTCAATAATATTTTTTTTTTTCTTTTTTTAGGGCTTTCCTTTTCTTTTCCAGCATATACGAGATGGGATTAATATCCGTCAAACTTGCAACCTGATTTTTAGCCTTTGCCGGTACAACAACCGTCTTGCTGAACATGTAAGTGTAAGACTGTCATGTAATAAATGTGATTTGAATGTTGATGGTGACCTTCACCTGGAAGCAGTCCTAACAAATTAGTGTAACAGGATTTTTTTTCTTAATACAAATCTCAAGGCAAGAATGGTGGGCATAAATGTCACTCCAGAAATATCCCTTGGGCAGCTGTTCCACCTGTTAATGCTGGTGAACCAAGCCATTCTCGGAGGGCTCTGTTCATGGTACTGTGTGGAGAGCTGATCCAAGCAGCTCTGCACTTTCTGATCACTGTAATTGGTCATAGTGTGTGAGCGTATTGCTTACCAGTACCTCATGGAGGAGAAATTCTATTTTAAAAATAAATAAAAGGGATTATCCTATGGTTGACGCCACTGTTTCATATTTAGCTTAGACCTAAGACCCTGATGGTTCCAGTGGATGAGGTCCTGGTCTTTAAAGATGTCACAGATAAAATGTTAGAAGCCCTCTTTAAGGTGTACTTTCTGGTAGAAGTGGCTTTACAGCCAGCGGTGACCGCAGTGGGGATTTGCCAAGCTCTTCAAGTCTGGGTGAAGCACATGGCTCCGTTCAAGAGAATCAGACCTGGAAGGTCATACCATTTGGAAATTCATGGAGGACTTACCAGGGGTGTTGAGTTTCTCAGTAGATGCCTTCAAAGACCCAATAAGGCATCTTTCACAGGTGGGCACTGTCTGTCCATGTGAGAAGGCCCAAGTGTTGGTCAGTGGAACTTCTGTGCAGAAAGTAAATAGAGAAGCTGCACTTCAAAGGTGAGCGCTTGTGTGGACTTCTTGCATGCCTTCATCAAAAAGGTTACTGTGGGGAAGAGCACACTTTTTACCTCTTAAAGTGTTACTAAACCCACAACAGTAAAATCAGTCTGTATATGCAGTAAAGCATGTTTGATCCTGTCTTCTCTGATCCTCCCCTTCTTCCATGTTCCCCATTTCATCTCCTGATAGAACACAGCCTTGGGGACACTCTGCACATGCTCAGTTTGGTGTGTACTGCTGGAGAGTTGTTGTTTTTTTTGGAGAGTGTATGTGATTAGCACCGGACCAATCAGCACTGTCCAGACAGAGGATCACGGGTTATGCAATCTCATAGGACAGTGAGAGGCGAATGAAATCTCCTCCTACAAGCTTTAACCAGTGCTCGGCTGCACACTGATAGAAGTCGCTAGACTGCTTTAACTGCTGATGGGAAAAGATACACTATTTAGAAGTTTATATTTTCTAACATAATTGCATTTCCATGTTCTGTGTACTGTGGGAGACCAGATATAGTGAATGCAGGGTCCTGGGTTTAGTAAGACTTTTAAGAAGGCGAAGGTGACAAGTCAGCTTGGCCACCCAGCTCGCAGGTAGGAGCCACGCTGTCAACACAGCAGCTTCCCCACTATGTGAGGTCGTCCCCGCTATATGAAAAAGCAAAGGAGGCTTTGGGACTTATTTCAGCTTTGGTTGTGCTCTTACAGAGACCTGTCTTGTTTCATTCCTTGGCTAAACCCTTTGTGCAGGTTGTCACAAATTGTTCTATGTGCGCCCACATCCCTTGTGTCTGTGCTACCTTAACTTGCCAAAGTTCCTGCTTTTCCAGGTACAATTTACCAGGAGTGTCAGTGCTTCCTGGGCAATTTTAGCATCAATCTTCTGCTGCTACCTGGTCTTCGCTTCACATGTATACCAAGTTCTACCATGTAGATGTTTATGCCACTGCGAACCCCAGCTCTCGGCAAAAGGTTTTGTTGTAGTGGGTTTCCTCCTTTTCTGTTTCAAGGTGTTGAGCATGTCTTGTTGCTGTGCTGCCCCCCCCCCCCCCTCATATCTGGTGGTTTGAGACATCCCAGGTAGTCCTAATTATGAACTCCTCTGTGTCCTGTGATGTACACCAAAAAAAGGAAAAAAGATTTTTCCAAATAAACCAAAAATCCCAATTTTAACCCTTTTGCTGCTACTTCACTCTTAAACTACTGATCTCCTTTCTGTGACCTGTAATTACCCTTTGCCCCCACTGTCCTGCAAATTAACTCCTTCATCTCCTCCCACTGAGTATGACTTGTATTCAGTATATCTAGTTACCATTTTCAAGCTCAATGTTTTAACTTTCTCAACACCAACTTAATTTTTAAAAACTGTGGAAAAGATTTGATAATCTTGGGGCATCTACTTTCCACAAAAAGGTGATTTTGGGGGTGTACATAGAGCTCTGGCATTTTTATTTTAACGTTTTGTTTTTTTTTCTGGTCTCTCTCCATTTATATAGTTAAAATAGCAGTCAAAAAGCAAGCTCTATCTGTTCCAAAAAATTATATAAAATGTAATTTGTGTACAGTACTGCAGGACCTACAACACTGGAGACTGAAGAATTAGCCTCATAATACAGACTGGTACTTAAGAAGTTAAATTAAAACTTGCTGCAGTAGAGGCACATAAAGTGTTATAGGTCTGAACTTTTCTGAATTCCTTATTTGGCAGAAGAAAGCAGGTATTTTCTTTACTGAACACAGGATGCCAATTTTTTAATAACTATTTTGAACAAGTGCAACATATGTCTTGCTTATTTAAATGTTGTACCCTTCTTCTGTCTTTTAGATTGCATCGATGCTATTTACATCCATAGCAAAACTGACCCCAGAGGTATGCAACGCATTTTGTAAACTAAAGAGATCCATGCACAATTAGACTTATGCAAGGATATAATTTTATAAGTATACAGGCTTACTAAGGAAAGGCTTATATTCCATGTTATAGATTTATTTGCCTTGAGCTTGACGCTTCATCTTTTGGCATGTTGGGGGGGGGGGGTGTTTATATTGATTTTAAAGGATTTTTAAAAAATATCAGATCAACATTACCAGCTATGTGCAATATTGTGAGTTTGTTGCGCAGCCCCAATTCTCCTCCTCTCCTCTCCCGCTCTCCTCGCTCCTCCCACCCTTACGAATGCGCCTGTAGCAGGCCGCTTGCAGTGGGGTGCTTGTGCAGGCTCGATCCTCAGTCGGGCTCTGCACATGGTTTGGCTTGGCCCTGCCCCCCATTTCCTTTTTACATGCTGTGATTGACATTCAAGGCCTTCATGTCCAGTGAGGGGGGAGAGAGAGATTAGAGAACTGCTGCTCTCGGGCACAGTGCTGGATCGAGTTTGGGCTCAGGTAAGTAAAAGGGTGTCTGGCGGAGGGGGGAAGGGTAGCTGAACACAGAAGGTTTTTTACCTTAAAGTGGTTGTAAAGGCTGAAGGTTTTTTACCTTCATGCACTCTTTAATGCAGATTTTGTATTAAGGTAAAAAACCTTCTGCCTTTAGATGCACTTTAAAGTTACCCGGCATTCTCTGCCTGTCAGCTTCCTTACCTGCATTTTAGTTTAGCTGTGGCTTTGCTGCTCATGCAAAAGTATGGCAAGCTGACAGCAGCTGTAAACACACATGCAGGAGTTACCTTTGGATAGGGACAGATGATTTTCCCTGGATGTAAATATATTGATCCAGGCTCTGACATCTGGCTTGTGACGGTTGCGCGGCGTCAGACCCCAGCCCTTCTCACCAACTTGTGACCAAAGGACCAGCCGATCTCAGACCGCGCTGTGACTTGCATAACAATGCCACTCTCAGCTGCGCCGTGCACAAAGATTTTCCAGCTCGCAGGACCACAATTTATGTGCCAGCAGCCTGAGAGCGATTGTTACTGGGTCAGGTTAATTATGCAATTAACCCTTCACACTGCCACCACCACCTTCTTACAAAGAAGGAGGGAACTCACAAATGTTAGCAGTAACACTATATTATTAGTATAAGTGTCTGTAACACACTGTCATCACAGACAGATGTATTCAGAGGATTATCACATGCAGTAGCACTCTTCAGAGACAGGGACTCTTTAGTTTGCATTAAAAGCTTTAGAGACTGTTCAACACTTTTCAGAAAATAGGATTTATTACTAAAAAGGTCAAAATGGTGCAATTAAAATATTTACAGAAAAAGATGTAACAAATGTATATACAAAGAGAGTAATTACACTGTTCAACAAATTTTTATTTTTTGCCAGTTTTGGAAACAAAAGGATGCATTTCTTAATGAATTTCACATTCTGAGTTCAAATAGAACAATGAAATTTGTCAATTGGCTCTAGTTTTTCTGTAAACGGAAAGTTTTCTACTATAGGCGTAATGACTACATAATGCACAATAATTATATAGATAGATGTCTTTCCACAAATATAAAGCAAGTGATATTGACTACATAACAAAGCCTAAATGGCATAATATATTGCATAGGATTACCAAGAAAAATTATAGCCATAAGCTAAGTTGAATCATTTTAATACTTAGGATTCTCACTAGTTTTGTCTTCAGTTTGTGTCGGTTTTGCTTCTCTTGGCTTTTCTCTTGTATTCGAGGAAAGGGCTATCTCTTACAACTGCACGTGACTACATGCTTCAGGTTCTTCCTCACTTGACTCAACCACGAAGGATTCTGGTGCTTTAGGAATTGGTAGCCCCTCTCCATGAGGAACTGGACGTATTGCCGATGGAATATTTGGATAGTGCACAGATAACTTTTTCTTCTTATTTAGCCCTTTTACAATTGGAGGCACCATACAAAAGTAACAATTACTAACATGATCTGTTGGCTCTCTCCAAATCATTGGCACAGCGAAAGGCATAGATGCCTTTTTTTCCATTCAACCATTGCTCCAGTGCCGTCCCACAAGAATTGCAGCATATATGTGGTGCCCAGCTCTTGTCCTGGTCTCCTATCTTGCAGCCAAAATACAAGTTGTAGGCTTTCTTAATCATTCCTGTTATCCTCCTTTTTTGTGAGATAAAAGTTATTTCACCGCAGATATAGCAGAAATTATCTGCTTTATTCACACAAGTTCGAGGCATTACTGAGTAGCCTATATAAGCATAAAACGAAATGTAAAGACGCTGTCGAACTACAATCAGATACAGATACTGCAGCTTTTATGCAGTGAAGTGATGCAATTAAAGGCTAATTTGCATCATCTCAGTATACATGCAATTTTCTATTGGTCACCAGTATCAATTGCGCAATATGCAGCTGAAGTTGCATCATAATTTTGAATGGCTTACGTCATTAGATGGGTGAATATATCATGGAAACTAGAGCCAATCAACATTTTTTAGGGTCATTTTCGTTTTCAGCACCCCAAAATTATGTAAGATTAGCTAATTTTATGCCCAAAACTTTTTACCTGTTGAACAGTGTTATACAACAGAGAAATAAAAGAAAGAAAGAAGTTTCAGAATGCAGAATACTTGCAAAAGTCCTTGGTTTGAGCAGAGTCCAATCGTCCGAGCAAAAGGTTGCCTTTGCTCTCAGGATGGTTCCTGATTGATGTTAAAAGGGAGAGCTAGCTTTTCTCCAGGCTGTCAGTCTTTTTCTATTGTCTTAAAGGGGTGTCTCCTGAGAACAAATAGCCAATCACCCCATTTGAGGATGGGTGTTAAGCGGTGACCAAGGTTAGGACCAAATCCCTTACAAGTTCATACTACGGTCAATAACCTTCAATAGGTACAGGTAGCATCCTAGCAACTGGCAGATTAATATTTGGAATTCTATTCCGCTCGCACAGATACCAAACTTTAGTATATCCTGCCACTCCGGATAAAAGAAATTGTTTTCTACCCTCTTGTAGGCGCTACATAGGGATGTAAGGTGTCATGTGAGTCATATTAAAATGACCTATCCAAATATATACTTCATATTAATGTGTGTCCAGTTCTTGCTGAAGTTTCTGAATTTGTATGAAAAATTGCTCATGTGGAATGTACGTTTTATTGCACACTCTGCTCTAATGGCCTACAGGTCATGTCCAACTGAGTTATTGTTTCACGACCGGGCAGAGGAAAGTGGTTTTTCCAGCAGACCTTCTGGAACCAGGCTAATTAGGGATTTACAGCCCTGGAGTTCACCCAGCTGTGGATAAATACTTAGATATGCACTTTTGACCCCCGTTCACTTACAGACTCACATTCCAAACAAAAGGGAGGAGGGAGAATCAAAATGGCTGCGACCTAGCAAAATGGCTGCCAGTGTCCAGATCTCTATGCGCACAATTGTCACACCCCTAAACACAGGAAACCGCCGGTTGTGCGGACACATGTGAATAGCAACAGCCTGTCCTTGCTTTGTACAGGCTGAGTGGTTGCCGATGTTCACATATCTGTTATCCCTGCTGCAAAGATCCACTGATTCTTGCTGCTGGAATCCGGTGTATGCTGATAATTTCCTATGTGAAGGAGGCCTTACTGTTACCTTTAAAATATGACTAAAGACAAAATCTTTTTTTTTAGTTTTCGATGGAGTAGAGAGGGATTAGAACCCCTGTCAGTTTTTGTGCTGCCTGTGCCTCTGTTAGGGAGATTCACCCTCTCTATTTGTCCTGTTTACCATTATCACTAAATGTGAAAGTAAATGAAATTCCCAAATTTTGGGTTGTCCCCAGAAAAGTAATAGAGGGGAAATCTTGCAATGGGAACACTAGCTCTGGTGACCTGGAAGTCCACAAGGAATTACCTTAATTTGCAGGTATTTCCTCCCACATCATGTTTGGCTATGGGACAGGAAATGAAGGGAAATATCTGCAATGGGACACAGATGGCAAAAAAAAAATCTGATGGGTTATAATTATTATTATGTATACATTTTGCCTGTAGTTCTACTTTAATGTGTATGGCACCAGTACTTTTAGTCTACAGCTGCCGTAAATGGTGAAATGGTGTCCAATACCAAATATAGCTAGCGAACACTTGATGAATTTTGCACATAAATGCATCAAAGAGCCATGAATTATGCAGTGAAACGCGCTGTAAACTTTCAACTTAACTCATACAGTGACATCATATTTGCCCTGGCTTTACACATAGTCTCTTTTCTGTTATAGTAATTTTTAAATGAATGGTTTCTTGGCAGTATTGTAATCATCACATGTATGCAGGAAGCAAAGACCATGTAAAAAGTAATTTAACCAAACTGACTACTAATGTGATATTGGCTTTTGCAGGCTGCTAATCCTTTCTTCAAACTGCTGACCATGATCATGGAGTTTTCTGGTGGGCCCCCAGGAATGCCTCCTTTTGCATCCTACATTTTGCAAAGAATATGGGAGGTAAACAAGTTTATGCTATGCATGATTTCCATTCTTGGGAGGCCTGGTTGAGGCAGCTCCTTTCTTACTTGTTGCTTTGCTATTCTTTCAGGTAATTGAGTACAACCCATCTCAGTGTTTAGATTGGCTGGCAGTGCAAACTCCTCGAAACAAGTTAGCACACAGCTGGGTACTGCAGAATATGGAAAACTGGGTGGAGCGTTTCCTGTTGGCGCACAATTACCCCAGAGTGAGAACATGTAAGTGCACCAATTATCCACTGTCTTTGATGTAGTATTTTCATAATCACAATTGGACTTTTATTCTAAATTTACTAAATACATTCCAAATGCATCAAAACAAAAGGTGTGTCTTAAAGTTTTTTCTTTTTCTTTAGAAAGCATCCACACCATGGAAAAACCTGACCACTGCCAGCATACTGTAGAGAAGGACCCTTGGTCTCTTTGTAGAAGAGTGCCCTCTCTGCAGGCGTCCAACATTTAGACAGTTAGTGCTACAGTCAGAAAGCTTGTGTTTCCTGCTGATTGGAAAGCTCTGGTTCTGACTCAGCAGAGGGTGTGTTGGACCACTGCAGAGTTGTTGCTACCACACGATGTGTAAGGGTCCTTCTGTGCTGCATAGAAAGGTCGTTTCTACTCAGTCTGTGGTACTTTCTAATGAAAAATAGCTGTAAGACTCTGCACACCTTTTGTTTTAAAAGAGAAGTTCATCTTTCGGAACATGTTACGTTTCACTGATATTTAGGGTGCAACATGTTCCAGCTTCTGCCACCTCTCCCCCCAATCCCAACCCCCCCCCCCCCCCATTTCAAAAACCGTGTGACTGTGCAGGGCTCCACCCACATGTCTGCTTTATTCATTCAGTTTCCTACGAAGTACTGTAAGCCACGGTGACAGGTGGTTTGTAGTTCTGAAAGAACTGCAAGAGCACTTATGAATGCCCTTATAATTCGTACACAAGTACTGTAGCTTTCACACTTACAGCCTGTATGAAGGTAAGGGCTGAAAGCTGCCTAACATTGAACCCCTGATCCACTAATCACAGGTGCAATGCCTTCCAGACTCCTGCTGGAAAAAAAAATGAATGCATTTTTTTTTTTTTTTTTTTTTTTTTTTGCAAAAATGTGTTATTTTTTTCTAATAAGGTGAGCTGCTCCTTTAATAGATCTGGAATTTATTTAGTTGGTTTCAACTGAAACTGGAATTTAAGAAAATCACCCAGCACAGTTTAGGCTGAACGACTGTTTATAAATGTTAATATAAACCTGTCAATAAATGTAAGAAAAAGTGTAATTATGAAATGTGCCATACTATATAAAAATATTGTCCTCATCCCCTTTCCTTCAACAACGTGTGGGGAGACAACTTCGCATAGTACTGGGACCCACCTCCTTCTTTTTTTTTTTTTTTTTTTTTTCCTTCAAAATGCTATTTTAGATGTTCTTTCAAAGGAAATTCTCAGGTTGCTCAAACAAGTTGTTCTGATTGTAGGAAAGGATATGTAATAACGAGAACTTCTAAGTGTTACATTGTGCTGTCAGTTGGGGTGTATTTATGGGTAATCTAAAACTCTGATAAGGTCCTCAATTTCCCTGGACTTTCAAGTTTAAGCTTTGAATCTTTTGAAGATAACTAATACTTTTTGTTGTGTTACAGCTGCAGCCTACCTGTTGGTGTCACTAATTCCAAGCAACTCCTTTCGTCAGATGTTTAGATCCACGCGCTCTCTTCACATTCCCACACGAGATTTGCCCCTCAGCCCAGAAACCACAGTGGTACTTCACCAGGTTTACAATGTCCTCTTGGGCCTCCTTTCTAGAGCAAAACTCTATGTTGATGCTGCTGTTCATGGTACCACAAAGCTGGTACCCTATTTTAGTTTCATGACTTATTGTTTGATTTCCAAAACTGAAAAACTTATGTTCTCCACATATTTCATGGACCTGTGGAACCTCTTCCAGCCAAAGCTGTCTGAGCCAGCCATAGCCACAAACCACAACAAGCAAGCGCTGCTTTCCTTTTGGTACAATGTCTGTGTTGACTGTCCGGAGAATGTGCGCCTTATTGTTCAGAATCCTGTGGTGACCAAGAATATTGCCTTTAATTATATCTTGGCGGATCATGATGACCAAGACGTGGTGCTCTTCAATCGTGGCATGCTGCCAGCTTATTACGGCATTCTTCGCATGTGCTGTGAACAGTCTCCTGCCTTCACCCGTCAACTTGCCTCACATCAGAACATTCAGTGGGCCTTTAAAAACCTTACGCCGCATGCCAGTCAGTACCCTGCGGTAAGAGAGGAAAGCTTGATGTTAATTATTGTGAAAGTCATAGTGTTAAGAACATGAGGGAGCTTTTCGTGCACAAATCATCCACTAGCTAATTGACCTTGATTAAAAAAAACTCTTACAAAGTACTGCAGAAAGACCACAGTGAACCTTTCAAAGGAAGTGTTTGGAGTAAATGTGTATTTAAGGTGGCATTATTTTTTTAATCTGTAGCAATCCTTAGCCCTAATTAATGTGCCCTACCTTTTGCTCCGCAGCTAGCATAAAGTATCAGGAATTAAATCTCTGTATTAATCTGCCTAATGCCGGCCATAGATAGAGTGAAAATCAGCTGGTTCAGCAGGAACCAGATACATTTCGATCCATCTATTGGAAAGCTGGTTGTACTGAAGTCAATCTGTTGGTCAGCTTCAGTGCAAGCACCCTGTCAGGGTTTTTCCTGTGCAATTACAGCTGACAGCTTTTCTGAAGGCAGGGTAACCTGCTGCTGTCAGAATATAGTAGTGCAGCGGGAGGGATTCTCCCATTAACACTGTGTAGATGGGGAAATCCAATGATTTTTTTTTTTTTTTCATGGGTTGAAGGAAAGAAAATTGCTTAAAGTGGTTGTAAACCTCAGACAAAGAATATGAACAAAGCATATCCCTCTACAGATTGTATTTGTCTCAACACCGAGCACAAAGTGTTATTTCTGCCTCATTCCCCTGCTATCAGCATGAGTCACTTCTGACAAGTTTTCCTGACACCAAGAGAAAAATGGTGACAGGTCAGGGACCTCTAGCAGATTGGCAGCCTTAGCTCTGTTCCTCTGTGCTGTGTGGAGGGGGCTGTGTCTTTTCCTTCCAATCAGCTCTCAGAGCTGAGTGTAACTTCAGCTCCCCCGCCCCCTGCTTTTCAGAGCTGAGAGATTTTTTTGTGTAAATTCTACACTTAGAAAGAATGTAGTGGAAAAACAGCTGTAATTAGACAGGTACAACATATGTAGGAGGATTTGTTTCATCTCTGTGTATCACCTGAGGCCAGTCACTTCACTGGGTATATTTAAGGATTTACAACCACTTTAAGTCCTCATGCACATTTGATGTTTTTAACGCTGCTGTTGGGGGCATCTGGCATTTTTTTACTGCTTCTAAACGTCCCTGCATGGGGTTGTTTTACTAAAGGCAAACAGGCTGTGCACTGAAAGTGCAGTTGCTGTAGATCTGAGGGGAACATGCAAGGAAAATAAAAAAACATAATTTTTGCTTGCACATGATTGGATGAAGTAAATCAGAGGTTTGCCTCATTTTAGAGCTTCCCCTCGGATCTAAATCAACTTCACTTACTTAAAACCCTATATATGTGATTTGGAGACATGTGCCCTCATGAGGCAGAATTGCATAATCAAGTGTATATATGTGTGATTTTTCACAGGAGGACTGCCCTGTAGCAGTAACACTGCTACAGGGCGGTCTTCAAGTGGATAATCAGTTGTCAGCAGAGGATCTGTCTAACTCCGACACTACTGAGTCAGAACTAGAGCACTCAAATGGACATGGAGCATGGGAATAGCTGACTGAAGAGCTATAGTAACTAAGGGGTGTATCAGATTCAGAGTCCACCACTTCCACACAGATACCAGAGGGTCTTTTTCCTGCAATATGCTGGCTAGCTCATTTAAACTGAACTTTCATTTGGGTTTTAAGAGCTAATTTTTTGCAAGCTTGGAAAAAATGTTAAGGAAAGTGTGCAATTGAATATTATGTTTGCTTGTGCAGGCTGTAGTAGAAGAGCTGTTTAATCTCATGCAGCTCTTTGTAGCTCAGAGACCAGACATGAGAGAGGAAGAGCTGGAAGATATCAAACAGTTTAAGAAAACTACAATAAGCTGTTACTTGCGTTGTTTGGATGGCCGCTCCTGCTGGACAACTTTAATAAGGTGAGATACAGTGAACAATGTCAAAATGATAGGAGGCATAATAACATAGTTGATATCCCAATATTTCCCAAATGCAGTGTGAGTGGCCCTTGTTGTGGTTCTTCGTGTAACAGCCTTTTGTATTTTTGTTGTTTGATCATTTAATGTGAACCTGTGCTTTTATCCATATTATTATTATTATACAGTATTTATAAAGCGCCAATAGTTCGCTCAGCGCTGTACATTACAAAGGGGGACAGAACATGTGACAGAACAATACCAATACAATGCAAAACATGAGGGGATTGAGGGCCCTGCTCTTTCGAGCTTACAATCTAGGCGGGAGGGGATGGTGGCACAGGAGGAGATAGCTGTGGGGGGTGGAGTGGTAGGAAGAGTGGAGGTCGGCAAGTTAGCAGGGGGTGGGGTAGGCTTCCCTGAAGAGATGGGTTTTCAGGGTGCTCCTAAAGGAGAGGAGAGTAGGTGATAATCTGATGGGTTGGGGCAGGGAGTTCCAGAGGATGGGTGACACCCTGGAGAAGTCCTGGAGGCAGGCATGGGAGGAGGAGACCAGGGAACTAGAGAGAAGGAGGTCTTGTGAGGAGCGGAGTGTGCATGCTGGGCGGTACTTGGATATTAGGTCAGTAATGTAGTTCGGGGCAGTATGGTGGACAGCTTTGTACGTCAGCGTTAGGGATTGGCAGAGGGGGTGGCGGAGATGGAGCGGTTGGAAAGGTGAATGAGTCTGGCAGCCGTATTCAGGATCGATAGACATATAGAATAAAACAACAAGTTCACTGTATTTTTGTTGCCACACCACTTTATTTTGACAGTTGAACATTGGGTTGGGTTGGGGGGGGAGAAAATATGAGTGTGTGCTGGGGGAGAAGTTATAAAACAAATCTGTTACTTTGCCCTGCATAGTCCAAGTACATGTGTGCTGTAAGCCCTGGTTCACACTGATGCGGTATGGAAGCGTTTGCAGCGTTTTCTGTGCGAATTGCGCACTGCATCAGAATTGCACCCCGTTCATGCGAACCGCTGCGGGTGTGTATGTTAACAACACCCCGACATCGGTCCACAAAACGCGGTGCAATGTGCAGAATTGGATTGCATAGGTGTGAATGCCCATGCAATCTGTTTCTAGTGCGGTCCCAAAAAAGGGCCCCGCACCTTTTTAGTGCGGTGTGATTAGAGCCATACAAAATGTACATCTCTAATCGCACTGCACACAAATCGCATGTGAGCTTCCTGTGCGAATCCTATGCGATATAATGCACAGCATATATGTGAACCCAGGCTTAAGCTAGGATAGTGTGTATGTGTGACCTTAAAAATAAGTGCAGTAACACACATGCAAAGGACCTGTCAAGGAATTTAGGCATCCTTTTTAAAGTGTCAGGCTCGGAATGACATACTCCTATTTGGTGTCCTAGAGGAGGAGAAATGTTTTTCATCTAGACTGTTTTTGAAAAATATTTTTGGACAAATATAATAATTACATTTTTTAAAGCAGAAATTCCCTGTCTCATCATTGATTATTTTTAATCCTTATGCTACTAGCATTAGTAAATAAATAGGAAGTTATATTTACACCCTCTCCTGCCTGCATGCCTGAGCTAAATTCTACATGAATCATCTGCCCTTACTAATGATGGCAACAGTCAGAAATGCAAGGGTGTATTTTTTCAAAGCAAAAAGCATGGAGACATGGATGTATAAATTAGTTTGCTATTAAAAATGAAATAAAAAGTGTTGTTTGTGGTGCTTGGATGCAGTGTAGTTCCACATCCAGGAGGTGGCGCTCTGCACTTGCAGTATGCTGCTAGTTACAAAAGTGTAGGGGCCATTTATAACACTGAAACAAAAGTGTAAGGGCCATTTATAACACTGAAACAAAAGTGTAGGGCCATTTATAACACTGAAACAAAAGTGTAAGGGCCATTTATAACACTGAAACAAAAGTGTAGGGCCATTTATAACACTGAAACAAAAGTGTAAGGGCCATTTATAACACTGAAACAAAAGTGTAGGGGCCATTTATAACACTGAAACAAAAGTGTAAGGGCCATTTATAACACTGAAACAAAAGTGTAGGGCCATTTATAACACTGAAACAAAAGTGTAAGGGCCATTTATAACACTGAAACAAAAGTGTAAGGGCCATTTATAACACTGAAACAAAAGTGTAAGGGCCATTCATAACAATGAAACAAAAGTGTAGGGGCCATTTATAACACTGAAACAAGTGTAGGGGCCATTTATAACACTGAAACAAGTGTAGGGGGCCATTTATAACACTGAAACAAAAGTGTAGGGGCCATTTATAACACTGAAACAAAAGTGTAGGGGCCATTTATAACACTGAAACAAAAGTGTAGGGGCCATTTATAACACTGAAACAAAAGTGTAAGGGCCATTTATAACACTGAAACAAAAGTGTAGGGGCCATTTATAACACTGAAACAAAAGTGTAGGGGCCATTTATAACACTGAAACAAAAGTGTAAGGGCCATTTATAACACTGAAACAAAAGTGTAGGGGCCATTTATAACACTGAAACAAAAGTGTAGGGGCCATTTATAACAATGAAACAAAAGTGTAGGGGCCATTTATAACAATGAAACAAAAGTGTAGGGGCCATTTATAACAATGAAACAAAAGTGTAGGGGCCATTTATAACACTGAAACAAAAGTGTAGGGCCATTTATAACACTGAAACAAAAGTGTAGGGGCCATTTATAACACTGAAACAAAAGTGTAGGGGCCATTTATAACACTGAAAACAAGTGTAGGGGCCATTTATAACACTGAAACAAGTGTAGGGGCCATTTATAACACTGAAACAAGTGTAGGGGCCATTTATAACACTGAAACAAAAAGTGTAGGCGCCATTTATAACACTGAAACAAAAGTGTAGGGGCCATTTATAACACTGAAACAAAAGTGTAGGGGCCATTTTATAACATTAAAACAAAAGTGTAAGGGCCATTTATAACACTGAAACAAAATTGCAGTAAAAGTAAAAAAGTTGTCCATAACTTATCAATCTTTCTTTTCATTTACCAGAGAATGACTAGTTTACACATGCATTAAAATGCATGAATATGCTCAAAAACTGGATGTGCATTGGCGTGCATTTTTTATGCACTTTCTATTAGTCCCTGTAAAGAACAAAATAATAAAAGGCTTCTTTTTAGATAGATTTGCATTGTGTTGATGTGCATGTATGTGCGTTGCATACATGTAGCATTTTAACGCACTGCACTGTACATGACGCCTGGATTGTGGTGTGAACAGGACACATAGAAAAGAGTTGTTTTCAATGTGTCCTTGCCATGACCTGTATTCTTCCAGTACAGTAAAACACAGGTCACTGCAGTATGTGTGAACAGGGCCTAATAGATGACATTCATCGTTTCTCACGTCTTTTAAATAGCCACTTAAGAGTTTCTTTTCTTGAAATGATCTTTGAAGTGTAATTATGTAAGTCTTATAAATATGAGGAATATATAGGTAAATGAGGTCTGAAAGAAACCTATTTGTATGGGACCTGACATGGCTTTACCTATCTTGCAGTGCCTTTAGAATATTGTTGGAGTCCGATGAAGACAGACTTCTTGTTGTATTCAACAGAGGATTGATCTTAATGACTGAGGTGGGTTGTCCTTTGTATTCCTAGAAATGCAGGTGCAATGTTTTTGGTGGGTATTAATGATATTTTCTATATTGTTTGCATGTTATGAATGTTAACATTTTTCTTGTTATGTACATTTAGGGCCCATTTTCTCTGCAACGTGCATGCTGGCTTGCAATACAGTCATTAAAACAGCCCATTCAGTATCATTGTGCTGCATTGTACAGTAATGCACATAAAAATAGGCCAGATGGAACGGCACAGAACAATGTGCAGTATACAGCACTGTGCTGCAGTGCACATGCATTTTGGAGGTGTGTTGGGGTATTACTCACAATGTATGATACTGCAGCGCACAAAATCCAATAGCATGCATTGCCGCAACTCGGTGTGTGAGCGGGCTGTTAGTGCCGAAACTGTAAAACGAAGTATAGACTTAACCACTTGTGGACTGCCCGCCCCCAGAGGCACATCAATGTACCCATACATCACTGGCCTCTTCCGGGTACAGGGCGCGCGCACCCCACCTTTCGACTCCTGCTGTGACTGTACACAGGAGTTTGTCAGCAGGTCACAGCCAATGATTCATGGCTGGGATTTGCTGGTCAACTAACAGTCAACACAAGTCTCTCTACATAGGGAATGATAGAGAAGAAACAAAGATTTTTAGTAAAAAGCGGCAGACATTTCACAAATTAACACTTGTTAGGCACACACTTAACACCTTGATTACCTACAATGTCAACCCCTTCCCAGCCAGTGTCATTACTACAGAGACCGTGTATAGTATTATTGTTAGTGGTAGTTAGTTCCCACCTAGTGTCAGATTGCCCGCCACATTGTTGCAGTCCTATTATAAGTCGCTTATAACCACCATTAGTAATATAAAAAAAATATATATATATATATATATATATATATATTTATTTTTTACTATAGTTTGCAGATGCTATAACTTCCACGGGATTTTTTTCCAAAGATATGTAGCAGAATACATTTTGGCCTAAATTTATGAAGAAATTGTATTTTTTTTTGTATTGCGTATGTTTTATAGCAGAGTAAAAAAAAAATATTTTTTTCACAATTTTGGGTCTTATTTTGTTCATATGATAAAAAACAAAAAAAAACAGTGGTCATTGAATACTAGCAAAAGAAAGTGCTGCTTTCTGAAAAAGTAGTAGTGCAGTACTGAATAGCTAAAATGGCCTGGTCGTGAAAGGGGTAAAACCTTTTGGAGCTACAGTGGTTAAAATAGCGAGTTATCCAACAAGGTTTATTTAATTTTTATACAGATATGTGCACGGAAGTTGCTTTGCTTGAATGTCCAAATATATGCGCTAACCTCACTGATGGCACCAGTTTATTTTGAAAAATTTATAGGATACACCATATGGATTGTAATTCAACTGTGTAGAATTTTTGGTGGGAGCTGGGATAGAGTAAGGAGTGAACTTGACTCCTGTCAAGTTTTTATTGTGGTCTGTGTCACTGCTAGGTAGTGTTCACCCTCTATACTATCTATTAGGAGGAATGTTCAAAACTAATCTTAGAAAGTATTATTTTACTGAAAGAGTACTTGGTGCTTGGACTTCCAGCAGAACTGGTAAGTCTGTCAAAAGTAGGTTGATTCTAACATGCTTGGGACAAACACAGATCTATACTCTGGCAAAAAAAAAAAGTTTAAAAAAATGGGGCAGTCTTTTTGCCAGCCCTCTCATATTCTATGCATGTGTCCTGGTGGAGCCACTGTCACCGAGACAGAAGGTGATGGGAAATTATAACATTTTAAATTTTTCACCAGAACGATAAACATTCCATGTTTTGTTTTCTTCTGTAAATGCTACTATTTCTAATGAAGAAGATTGTAACTAGAACTGTTTTGTATTCACAGTCTTTTAACACTTTGCATATGATGTACCATGAAGCTACAGCCTGCCATGTGACTGGAGACTTAGTGGAGCTTTTGTCCATATTCCTGTCTGTCCTCAAGTCCACACGTCCCTATCTACAGAGAAAAGGTGGGACAGGACTCTTCTGAATATTATATATAATGTGTGGGAGGGTATTGATCCAAATAGGATATGCATAGTGAAGCTGCATATATCATGGGGAGCACATCCAGATTGTTTGTATTGTATTCACAGGTTCTGATTTCTTTTGTTTTCACAGATGTTAAGCAGGCCCTGATTCAGTGGCAGGAACGAATTGAATTTGCTCACAAACTCTTAACCTTGTTAAATTCCTACAGTCCTCCAGAACTGCGAAATGCCTGCATAGGTAAACCATCTCCTCATGCGGTTCATTTACAAACTGTAAACTAATCACAAGGTTGGATCCAGAGGGAAGTGGCATTTGACAATAGATAAAAAAATCTGAAGACTTCCTTATTCCCCAGAAATTATCATACATTTCATGCCTCTCATTTTCTACCATTTTTAAAGTTCCCTGGAAATTTTTTGAGCAGCAAAATTCAGTTAATTTTATGGTATATTTCATTTATTTTACTGCCTTTTAAACAAAGCATTTGACATACAAAAAAGATGCCCGTTAGAGCTATATGTCAACTGAAATAAAATGCTGCCAAATATATAGTTAGAGTGATTGTAAAGCTTTACATAACATACATGTCATACTTGCCTGTTGTGTGCATTGGTTTTGCACAGAGCAGCTCCAATCTTCTCAGGTGCTCTACCAGCAGCCCCCTCCGCACGCACAGGGCCCACCATAGAATTCCGCTTCCTTTGGGGGCACTTGTGCATGCTTGAGCCTGAGCCAGGGTGTGTGTGTCTATTCAGACTCACAGCCTGACTCAGCCAAGCCCCTTGCTCTCTGCCCATAGGTTTTGAGTGACGGCAGCAGGAGTCAGTGGCTCCCACTGTTCTCAGCCAAGCCTGTGAGAGTGGGAAGAGGGGAGAAGAGCTGCTGCAGATGTGCACTTCACTGGATCAAGATTGGTCTTGGGTAAGTATTTGGGGGCTGCACAGGAGCTACTAATGAAATATTTTTACCTTAAAGCAGAGAATGTAAAACCTTTTTATATTTACAACCACTTTGTTTCATCACAAAAAAATGTAAGTGTCTTGTAGCTTTGGCAGATTTGGCTTATCTAAATTTTATGCCTGCAATGATCATGGAACTGGGGACAGATATTTTTTTTTGCTTTAACATATTGCTCATGAAGGGCAACTTACTAAAACTGCATGGTGCAGAACTGTATAGAAACCAATCAGCTTTCAGGTTTTATTGTCAAAGCTTAATTGAACAAGCTGAAATTAGAAGCTGATTGGCTACCATGCACAGCTGCACCAGATTCTCAGTGCACCAGTTTTAGTAAGGGCTCGTTCACACTTGACTGTTTTACCAACGCTTGCCAAACGCCCCTATAGCGTTTGACAAGCGTTGGTCCGGCGTTTGCGGAGCGTTTTTTAACACTTTTTTTTAGCGGCGGTTGCTAGGCGTTTGTAGGACATTTTTAACGCTCGGCAAACGCCTATAATGAAGTTTGAATGGTGTTACCGCTCCACGAACGCCCCGCAACCACGTCCGCACCGCCGGCCGGGCGTTTGCAGAGCGGCACCATGAACTAGACTAGAATAGGAGGCTTCAACGCTTCCTTACTCGACAGAGGCATCCGTTTTGCCTCAACGCTAACGCTCCCGTTAGAACAGCACCATGTGCTGCAACGTGCAGAATTGTCCGAGGCGTTTGGGAAGCGGTAAAAATGCTTCCCAAACGCTTCTCTGCCGCCTGCACACAACGCTAGTGTGAACGTAGCCTAAGTCTCCTCCAGTGTGTTTAGTAAATTGATAGTGATCAGTGGTTAGAGGCCAGTGTTGTCTACAGCAGTTTTTTTGGCAGCCCTGTATATATACTCATAAAGTCATGGCTAAAAGTATTGGCACCCCTGCATTTCTGTCAGATAATGCACCAAATCGCCCAGAAAATTTTTTCCATTACAAATGTTTAGGCATTCTCATGTTTGTTTCTTTTGTTTGTATTGGTATGACACAAAAAAGTAAACAACAAAAAGCCAAATCTGACACATTCCACATAAAACCCCCAAAAACGGACTGGACAAAATCATTGACACCTTCTCAAAATTGGAAGAAATAATTGCATTCCAAGTTTGTGATGCTCCTGTAATTTGTAATTAAACTCACCTGTATCAATTAATAGGTGCTGACAATATAGAAAACACACCAGCAACCAGTAAAAATGGTGAAAAATTGACTCAACCTTTCTGTTGTGTGTCTCTGTATGACACATGGAGCATGGAGAAGAGAGAGAGTAGCAAAGAATTGTCTGAGGGTTTGACAACAAAAATTGTGGAAAAGCATGGACAATCTCTAAGTTACTATCTCCAGAGATCGTAATATTCCTTTGTTCACTGTGCACAGCAATGTCAAGAAGTTTACAGCCCGTGGCACTGCAGCTAATCTCCCTGGACGTGGACGAAAGAGAAGATTTGATCAAAGATTGCAATGAAGGATTGTTTGAATGGTCGCTAAAGAACCTCAATCAACTTCCAGACAAATTCAAGCTGACCTTCAGGCACAGGGTAAAACTGTGTCAGCTTGCACTATATGTGGCCATCTGAATGAAAAGGGACGCTATGGTAGGAGACCCAGGAGGACCCCACTGCTGACACAGAAACATAAGAAAGCCAAATTGTAATTTGTCAAAACATACCTGAGGAAGCCAAAATCCTTTTTGGGAGAATGTGCTGTGGACGGATGAAACAAAATTACAGCTTTTCGATAAAGCCCATCATTCTACTGTTTTCAGAAAAATAAATGAGGCCTTTAAAGGAAAGCATACAGTCCCTACAGTCAAATGTGGTGGAGGTCCACTGATGTTTTGGGGTTGCTTTAGGCATCGGATGTCTTGACCATGTGCATGGTATTATGAAATCTGAAGACAAAGAATTCTGGGGTGCAATGTAGGGCCCAGTGTCAGAAAGTTGGATCTCCGTCAGAGGTCAAGGGTTTTAAAGCAGGACAATGACCCAAAACACATGCACCCAGAAATGCTTTATGACAAAGTGCTGGAGAGTACTGAACTGGCCAGCAATGAGTCCAGATCTCAATCCCATAGAGCACCTGTGGAGAGATCTCAAAACTGCAGTTGGGAAGAGGATTCCTTCCAATCTGAGAGACCTGGAGCAGTTGGTGAAAGAAGAGTGGTCCGAAATTCCAGTAGAGAGATGGAAGAAACTCATTGTTACAGAAAGTGACTGATTTCAGTTATTTTTTCCAAGGGGTGTGCTACCAAATATTAAATTGAGGGTGCCAATAATTTTGTCCAGTCCATTTTTGGGGATTTGTGTGGGATGTGTCAGATTTGGTTTTATATTTCTCCACTTTTTTGTGTCATACCAATACACACAAAAGTAATAAACATGAGAATGCCTAAACATTTGTAATTGCAACAATTTTCTGGGCGAAGTGGTGCGTTATCTGACAGCAATGCAGGGGTGCCAATATTTTTGGCCATGACTGTATGTATGCTCATATGCAAGCTCCTGTGTTCTTTTAGGCAGCAAAAGTGGTTAATTGCATGTATGAGCATTCCCCCAAACATTTAGGTGTATAATGTTGTTGTTGTGCTTTTATCACTGATCATATGAAATTGTTTCCAGCTTTTAGATAGATTATCCCATGTTTTTGGTGTTACTATCTATTTTTACATTGTGTAGTTGTGTGCCTTTTTTTCACAGAATTGTAACAGGTTACTTCTGTATTGTTTTTAGATGTCCTAAAAGAACTCGTGCTGTTGAGTCCTCATGATTTTTTGCACACACTTGTTCCATTTTTACAGCACAACCATTGTACATACCATCATAGCAACATCCCAAGTAAGTGTTTTTTTTAATTATTATTATTTTATTTTATTTTCTTTACTAAATAGGAAAAAATATTCATTCAGCCTAAAAATGTTAGATCCTATTAAGACGATCTCCAGCTGTATTATCGATCTATATCCATTTTGTATTAAATCCAGTTTAAAAACATTTTACCCCTCTCAAGATTAGTATTTTTCAGCCTCACTGCAAAGTATTTTTCCAGACACAGATCCGCTGTTAAAATTGTAAAGGCAATTTTCAGACATACTTGTGGTATTCTGTCCAAGAATCTATTCAAATTCGTGCAAGATTGATCTGTTTTTTGTTTATTTTTTAATCTGAACACAAAATCGGAACACAAAATGGGCATACAGGTGAAACTCGAAAAATTACCACATTCATAAGATCACAAACATTAATAAATAAATCGTTAGCTATATACTACTACTGGCTGGGCTCAAACTCAAAAAATTAGAATATTGTGCAAAAGTTCATTTATTTCAGTAATGCAACTTAAAAGGTGAAACTAATATATGAGATAGACTCATTACATGCAAAGCAAGATAGTTCAAGCTGTGATTTGTAATAATTGTGATGATTATGGCTTACAGCTCATGAAAACCCCAAATCCACAATCTCAGAAAATTATAATATTACATGCAATCAATAAAACAAGGATTGTACATTAAAACAATATTGGACCTCTGAAAAGTAGAAGCATACATATGTACTTAGTACTTGGTTTGGGCCTCTTTTGCAGCAATTACTGCCTCAATGCGGCGTGGCATGGAAGCTATCAGCCTGTGGCACTGCTGAGGTGTTATGCAAGACCAGGATGCTTCAATAGCGGTCTTCAGCTCTTCTGCATTGTTCGGTCTCAAGTCTCTCATCTTTCTCTTGGCAATGTCCCATAGATTCTCTATGGGGTTCAGGCCAGGCGCCTTTGCTGGCCAATCAAGCACAGTAATCTCACGGTCATTGAACCAGGTTTTGGTGCTTTTGGCAGTGTGGGCAGGTGCCAAGTCCTGCTGGAAAATTAAGTCAGCATCCCCATAAAGCTTTTCTGTGGAAGGAAGCATGAAGTGCTCCAAAATCTCTTGGTAGATAGCTGCGTTGACCCTGGACTTAATGAAGCACAGTGGACCAACACCAGCAGATGACATGGCTCCCCAAATCAACACAGACTGTGAAAACTTCACACTGGACTTCAAGCATGTTGCAGTGTGTGCCTCTCCATTCTTCCTCCATACTCTGGGTCCTTGGTTTCCAAATGAGATGCAAAAGTTGCTCTCATCAGAAAAGAGGACTTTGGACCACTGAGCAACAGACTAGGTTTCTTTTTCTTTAGCCCAGGTAAGACGCTTCTGACATTTTTTGTTGTTCAGGAGCGGCTTGACAAGAGGAATACGACATTTGAAGCCCATGTCCAGGATCCGTCTGTGTGTGGTGGGTCTTGATGCACTGACTTCAGCCTCAGTCCACTCCTTATGAAAGTCCCCGACACTTTTGAATGGCCTTTCCTGACAATCCTCTCCAGGCTGCGGTCATCCCTGCTGCTTGTGCACCTTTTTCTTCTACACTTTTCCCTTCCACATAACTTTCTATTAATGTGCTTTGATACAGCACTTTGGGAACATCCAACTTCTTTTGCAATTACCTTTTGAGGCTTTCCCTCCTTATGGAGGGTGTCAATGATGGTTTTCTGCACAACTGTCAGGTCAGCAGTCTTTCCCATGATTGTGATTCCTACTGAACCAGACTGAGAGACCATTTAAAGGCTCAGGAACCCTTTGCAGGTGTTATGGCTTAATTAGCTGATTAGAGTGGGACACTTTGAGCCTAGAATATTGCACCTTTTCACAATATTCTAATTTTCTGAGATTGTGGATTTGGGGTTTTCATGAGCTGTAAGCCATAATTATTACAATTATGACAAATCACAGCTTGAACTATCTTGCTTTGCATGTAATGAGTCTATCTCATATATTAGTTTCACCTTTTAAGTTGCATTACTGAAATAAATGAACTTTTGCACGATATTCTAATTTTTGAGTTTGTTTGAGCCCAGCCAGTAGTAGTATATAACTAACGATTTATTTATTAATGTTTGTGATCTTATGAATGTGGTACCTATCTTTGTGATATATACACTATATTGGGACAGCCCTCCAAATCCATTGGATTCAGGTGTTCCAATCACCTCCATGGCCATGGGTGTATAAAATCAAGCACCTAGGCATGCGGACTGCTTCTACAAACAGAAAGGATAGGTCGCTCTCAGGAGCTCAGTGAATTCAAGCGTGGTATCATGATAAGTTGCCACCTGTGCAATAAATCCATCCATGAAATTTCCTTGCTGCTAAATATTCCACGCTCAACTGTTAGTGGTATTATACCAAAGTGGAAGCAACTGGGAACAACTGTAACTCAGCCACAAAGTGGTAGGCCACATGAAATGACAGAACGGGGTCAGCGCATGCTGAAGCACACAGTGCATAGATGTCGCAAACTGTCTGCAGAATCAATAACTACAAACCTCCAAACTTCATGTGGCGTTCAGATTACCACAACAGTGCATAGAGAGTTTCATGGAATGGGGTTTCATGGCCAGGCAGCTGCATCCAAGCATTACATCGCCAAGTGCAATGCGAAGCGTCGGATGCAGTGGTGTAAAGCACTCTGCCACTGGACTCTAAAGCAGTGGAGACGTGTTCTCTGGAGTGACGAATCATGCTTCTCTGTCTGCCAATCCGATGGACATGTCTAAGTTTCATGGTTGCCAGGAGAATGGTACTTGCTGGACTGCATTGTGCCAAGTGTAAAGTCTGCTGGGATTATGGTGTGGGGTTGTTTTTCAGGTGTTGGGCTTGGCCCCTTAGTTCCAGTGAAGAGAACTCTTAAGGCATCAGCATACCAAGACATTTTGGACAATTTCATGCTCCCAACTTTGTGGGAACAGTTTGGGGATGGCCCCTTCCTGTTCCAACATGACTGCGCACCAGTGCACAAAGCAAGGTCCTTAGAGACATGGATGAGTGAGTTTAGGGTGGAGGAACTTGACTGGCCTGCACAGAGTCCTGACCCCAGCCCGATAGAACACCTTTGGAATGCATCAGAGTGGAGACTGGGAGAGGGATGCTGGTAACTCTTGGAAATGGGGTAATTATATTTCAATGCACATGTTTTAACTGTTTATTACCAAATATATAATCAGGGATTACTTGTGAAAGTCCTAGGCTGGTCAGGTTATCTGCTTGTCTCCACCCCTTTCTGTAAATAATAAAGATTGGTCCCACTTCCTGTCCCCTTTAGTATGATGGACAGCCTTATCAACGGGGATGTTCAGGTGATGGTAGGTGGTGGCTGTTTTGGAATGCGTAACAATGTGACAAATGCATAACAATAGCCTTTCCATATATCTAGATTTAAATCCCAGGTTTATTACTGATTTATTTAAATTATTCTGTTCCTTTTTGTTTTTTTCAGTGTCTCTTGGTCCATACTTCCCGTGCCGTGAAAATATGAAACTCATTGGAGGAAAAAGCAATATTCGCCCCCCTCGTCCAGAGCTTAACATGTGCCTCTTGCCCACAATGGTTGAATCCAGCAAGGTGGGTAAATATAGAAGAGTACAAAACGTGAAAACTTCCTCCCCGTTGTCTTTTCTGGCCAAGGAGCATAACATTTTTTTAAAAAATGTTATTGTATCTGTTTATATAGGGATGTACTGTGAAATCTTCAGGGGAGTAAAGCTTAGATCCATAGTTTTACAATTCCTTATTGAGCTGCATTACTATAGGCAACAAGATAGCCAGCTGTCTGGTAATTTAGAGAGCACTAGTAAAAATCCGCACTGAAATCTTTATAGGATTTTAAAGAATGCTGGGAGATCCCAGCATCCTCTCAGCCTCCTTCTTCCTACTCTTCGAGGAAAATAACAACAAGGCTGCACCTTTCAAGCCTTCTTATGGAACTGAGAGATTTGATAGAGCTGAACAATTGGTGCACTTTCATAGATTTTTTCCCCCAAAATTAGTAAAAGTTTGTTGTACACACCAAGAGTTACAAGTAATCAGTACATGATATTACCGTAGTGAACAAAAAAGGTGCCTTACTGTGGTGTGCACCAAATTCTGGAGTTTAACTTGCACTCCATTGTCAGAGAAATTTACTATATATGAAATAAGAAAAGCTTTATAAAATAAGGTCATTCATATTTGAACTTCATGCTGCCAGACATTTCATAAATTACAGATGAACTACTCGTGAAGTTGCGTTCATTGTGCACTTTTCTCTTTGTGACCAATATCGCTCGGCCACAAAGTATCACGACTCCTAAACTTCACCTGTATTTCAACTTAAAATGCCTTTTGAGAAATTAAATCTGAAACAGAAATATAGCAGTCATAATATACTATGCATGTTATTTCTAATATTTATAGTAGTGACTATAACATTTTAACCACTAGCCTACCGGGCACTTATACCCCCTTTCTTACCAGGCCAATTTTCAACTTTCAGCGCTGTCACACTTTGAATGACAATTGCGCGGTCATGCATCATTGTACCCATATGAAATTTTTATCATTTTTTTCTCACAAATAGAGCTTTATTTTGGTGGTATTTAATCACCATTTGGGGTTTTACTTTTTGCGCTATAAACAAAAAAAGAGCAAAAAATTAAAAAAAAAAAAAAAAAAAAAAGGTTTCTTTGTTTCTATTATAAAATTTTGCAAACAGGTAATTTTTCTCCTTCACTGATGTGCGTTGATAAGGCTGCACTGATAGGCAGCACTCATGGGCACTGATAGGCAGCACTGATAGGTAGCACTAATGAGGTGGCACGGATAGGCGGCATTGATAGGCGGCACTGATGATGGGTACTGGCTATCTGCGGTCGGCAACTGGTTAAATAGCCAAACCTCTATCTCCAGACAAGACATTAGTTCTCAGTTATTCGTTAAAAGTGCTCAGTTTTTGTTACATTCTTAGTTTGATTGTAAAGTATAAATCAAGGCAGTTTGCTTGTTCTGGGTATTGTTTATATTGTTTAAATATTGAGGGCTGGTTCACACCAGAAAACACAGTGCGTTTTTGACATTCTATTCATTTCAGTAGGCAGCCAAACTTGCAGAAATGCACAGAAAGTACAGTAGGCATGAGTTTTTACAATGCGCTGCACCAAACCACTTTGTACTGTGCCCTGAAACAAGTATGCATATATGGAGAGTCCATAATAGCCATGCCTATCCGTTTGCTTTAATATTTTGAATCACTGACCTCAAGTATGCAAAAATAAGCACTTCTATCATCCAATTTGGCAATGGGTAGCTTCAGTGTTTTCTTCTCTGTAAGATTGCAGTTTTGTGCTTATGGGAGTTGTAAAGACGTTTTAGGTAATGGCAGAGTGCATTCTAATCAGATTTGTAAGCGATACATCACTCTATATATAAGTAGATGAAAAAAAAAAAACACAACTATAAATGGGACAAAAAAAAGATTGCAATAAAAGTAGTGCAAATAGAATGCCTCATTTATTTGACTAAAGGAATTAATTTAGGATGTAGATATAAAATAGAATAGAAGCTCTCCGATACTAACTTCATTGAGACTCTTCTTTCTTCCACCATCTGACAAAACTCAGTCTCTTCTGTCAGCCTCTCACAAGCCCAACAGTACCTCTGCCTTTGTCACCAGCTAATCTCAGATTTCTCTTAACCTCTTTCAAGCCCCACATCTTCTAACGTCCTACAAGTTACACCTTTCTTTCTGTGTGAGGATTTACCACATTTATCATTATTCAATCATTGGTCCTAACCTATAAAACCTGTTTTATTATTGCTCTTTTATTTTTTAGGGTAAAGATGATGTATATGACCGCATGCTGCTAGATTACTTATCTTCATATCACCAGTTTATTCATCTCCTTTGCCGTGTAGCAATCAATTGTGAGAAGTTTACCGAAGCTTTGATAAAGCTGAGTAAGTAAATCTTCTTAAATAGACATATAGTCACATAGTTTAAATAAATCATCGGTACATATGTGGGGTCCTTGGTGTACAAGTATTTCTTGTTAGTATTACCAGAGTAGAGTATTTTCTGTGTGTATGACTTGTATGTTGGAAGTTCATTTCACTTCTTGAACAGCTATAATTTAAGTATGGTTGTCCTTTACCAGGCAGGTTGTACTCAGAATGGTGGGGGATTCATCTAATATAATTTATAAAAAGTACAGTTGTCCTTTAGGAGTTGAGACTGTACTGTTTCAAATACAAGCACTGTATCTGATGGAGAAGCACAAAACCCAAGAAAAAGTACTTACAATAGGATAAAGGCCCAGTTCCCCAGCCAGTATAGTGGGGTCACTGTATAAAAAATACATACAATATTATAAAATCTAGTGGGTATACTGGGTCCCGTGTTAAGTGTAGACCAAGGGTATATAGAGGGTGGCCAGACAAGACGAGCTGAGGCAAAAAAACTACTAACATAAAAAGGAGCAGCAGCCTAGAAGGGCAACATTCCACTCCAGGGAGAAATCGTAGTGGTTGTATTTCAAATAAGAGAGAAAATTAACATCACTAAAAAAAAGGAAAGGCAGAAGCAAGGAACGGGTGAAATGAGAATGGCAGAGAGAAGTGGAGGAAAAAGGGGTAAAGCATGAGGCCAGAATAACACAAGGGCAACTGTAGAGTTGTGAGCAATGTAGGATATACATTCAGGTCCATATATATTTGGACACAGGCACAATTTTAGTTTTGTTTTCAGGTATTTACCAAAACATATTCAAGCTATAGTTATATAATGGATATGGGCTGAAAGTGCAGACTCTCAGGTTTAATTTGAGGGTATGTACATCCAAATTGGAGGAAGGGTTTATGAATTACAGCTCTTAAAAGTAGCCATCCCCCCTTTTTCAAGGGACCAAAAGTAATTGGACAATTGAATCAAAAGCTGTTTCATGGCCAGGTGTGGGCTACTCCTTCGTTATTTCTTCAACAATTAAGCAGGTAAAAGGTCTGGAGTTGATTCTAAGTGTGGTATTTGCATTTGGAATCTATTGCTTTGAACCTACATCATGCGTTCAAAGGAGCTGTCCATGCAAGTGAAACAGGCCATTGTAAGGCTTCAAAATCTAAACAAATCCATCAGAGAGATCGCAACAACATTAGAAGTGGCCAAATCAGCAGTTTGGTACATTCTGAGGAAAGAAGAACACACTAGTGAGTTCAGCAACCTAAAGCGGCATGGATGACCATGGAAGACAATAGTTGTGGATGATCACAGGATCCTCTCTATGGTAAAGAAAAACCCATTCACAAAATCCAGACAAGTGAAGGACTCTCTACAGGAGGTGGGCGTATCATTGTCAAAGTCTACAATCGAGAGAAGACTTCACAAGAGCAAATACAGAGGGTTCACCACAAGGTGCAAACCATTCATAACCCTGAAGCATAAAAAGCCAGATTAGACTTTGCCAAAAAACATCTAAAAAAGCCAGACCAGTTCTAAAAAAGCATTCTTTGGACGGATGAAATAAAGATTAATCTTAATCAGAATGACGGGAAGAAAAAAATGTGGAGAAGGCTTGGAACAGTTCATGATCCAAAGCACCCAACATCATCTGTAAAACATGGTGGAGGCAGTGTGATGGCATGGGCATGCATGGCTTCCAGTGGCACTGGGTCATTGGTGTTTATTGATGATGTGACAGAAGCAGCCGGATGAATTCTGCAGTGTTTAGAGATATACTGTCAGCCCAGATTCAGCCAAATGCAGCAAAGTTGATTGGACGGCGCTTCACATCTGTAGATGGACAATGATCCAAAACACACTGCAAAAGCAACCCAGGAGCTTTTGAAGGAAAAGTGGAATATTCTACAATGGCAGAGTCAGTCACCTGATCTCAACCCAATTGAGCATGCATTTCACTTGTTGAAGGCAAAACTAAAGGCAGAAAGACCCACAAAGAACAACTGAAGACAGCTGGAGTTAGAGCCTGGCTAAGCATCAGAAAGGAGGAAACCCAGTCTTTGGTAATGTCCATGGGTTCCAGACTTCAGGCAGTCATTGCCAGTAAAGGATTCTCAACAAAATATTAAAAAGGAACATTTTATTTAGGATTATATTCAATTGTCCAATTACATTTCAGCCCCTGAAAATGGAGGGACTGTATATAAAAATAGTTGCAGTTCCAAAAATTTGTACTTGTTATTTATGTTCAACCCCTTGAATTAAAGCTGAAAGTCTACACTTCAAATTAATTTGGATTGTTTTGTTTTAATTTATTCTGGTGGCATACAGAGCCATAAGTATGAAAATTGTGCCTGTATCCAAATATATATATGGACCTAACTGTATATATTTGTGAGTTTCTGGCATCCGAAGTGCCCCAGACTTTGAGAAATTTGTCATGGGTATCCAAGAGGATGCTAGACCATTTTCCATCAATCATGCAGCCATGCATTTTGTCATTTTCAAGTTTGAACAAAATTTTTTACCTTCTTTACAGGTATCCTAATTGCATATGAAGGGCTCTCATTACATCTTGCATTATTTCCTAAACTCTGGACAGAATTATGCCAAACACAGGTATGTTAATCAGCTGCATGATAAGTAACAAGTAAGTCTTAAAATGCACATTGTACTAAGATGCACATGATCCAAACATCTGCCAAGCAATAGTTTTTAAATAAGTTCAAGTTTGTAAAGAAAAATTTATTATAAATGCACATCTTTTTGCAGGTAAAACGTGCATTTATTTCTTACATTGCAGCCTTTAAAGCATTGTTAGCTACGATCAGCAGATTGCAGGTCCAGTGCTAAGATCCTGCAGACTCTAAATAAGCTGTCGGCCCGTACGGGCAGGCAATTATTGAATGGGAGGAAGAACTACAAGCTGTTAGTCACAGTGGCTGACAGTATTTGTAGTCTGATTCATTTACTGGTCAAGAAACTGTGAATGATGCGGCTGTGTGGGAACAGCTCCGCATGGCTGCACTGTTATCAAATTGTCAGTGGTTACAGAGTGAAGATCCCTACCCGTTGTCCCAAAGTGGGGAGTGCTGGCAGCGGAAGGTGCCTGCATAGTAGCATGTTACACCCTAAATATAGGTGTAACATGCTCCTAAGGTGAACTTAGCCTTTTAGTTCTATTTCTGTGACCATTTAAAATGGACGTAAACTCCCATTGGACACTTTTACCTACAGGTAAGCTTATAATAAAGCTTACCTGTGGGAACAAGGAATGTCCCCTAAACATGCACCATTTAGGAGATATTCAGTGTCCCTGCAGCTGATGACGTCATCGGCACATGCGCGCTGAAGGAACGGCAAACTTGTGCTGTTCCTTTAGAGTTTTGTGCCACGTCCGAGACTCCCGCGCACATGCGCCAGGAGTGATGTCATCACAGCTTGGCCAATCAAGCAGCCAGAGCCCACAAACCGGAAAAAAAAGACCCAGTGAAGATGGAAGCCCTGTCAGCGGTGTCAGCGCGCCGCTGGAAGGGTTCATTATAAGGTATGTCTTTAATAATGTGCTAGTATGCGATGCATACTAGCACATTGACATTTTTCAGGGAAATTTTTTTTCTTTTGGCAGTTTACTACCGCCTTAAATGAGGCACTGATTTGGGGACCTTGTCTTCACAAAATGAAAAACATGCCATTCCTTTTGCTATCACATCTAACTATATCTGTGAGAAGCTCCCACTCTCCTATAACATTTCCCTCAATTTATTTAGATGGCAGCTGTGAAAACTCCGACAGGAAATCAGATTTTAAAGGTAATGTCAGCTTTGCAATAGTCTGTCTGGGTACAGTGCCTTTCCAGAATAGCTGGAATTATACTCTTTGACTCTGCAGTCAGCCAATAGAAAAAAATAAATGGCCCCAGCCAATAGGGAAAGGAAGGATGAAGAAGTGATAGTAAGTGGATTTCTGTACACGGAGTTTTCACAGCTGCTAGCTTGGTACTGCTGGAGATCTGTGGCACAGGAAAGGGTGCAGCACAGCACTTGTATGTATTAATCTTTGGGCAGACAGGTGTATGGGGTTATATGCTCTGTCTGTAGCAAGTTGTAGTAACACAAGAGACTTTGTAGAAAGAACCATTTTATAAACCCCTGAGGGGACACCATTAACACTGCATATGACCTTTAATCCCTTGGTTATATATGCACCTAGCATGCTTTTACAGTTTCGAGATTTCATTCTTTCTCATGAAATTAATTACTGCATGAGCTGAGGCTCTAGAACTGTGTTTTGTTTCCTAATCTCTGGATCTCTAAAAATGCAGACTCCACTGGCAAAAAACTGCATCAAGTTGCTGTGCGAGGATCCTGTTTTTGCAGAATATATTAAAAGTATTCTAGTGGATGAGCGCGTTTTCATCAACAACAATGTGGTATACACATTTCTCACTCATTTCCTGGTAAAGGTATGTATGACAGGTGTCTTTTGTAGGATTAGCTGTCACTTTCTTATAAACGTTTGTATACAGTGATTTCTTTTCCCTTCCCTCACAGGTTCAAAATCAGGTCTTCTCAGAAACCAACTGTGCAAGCCTCATTAACACCATTATTACACATGTCATTAATCAGTATCAAAATGTGGAGTCTGATTTTATCAGCAGGATTGAAATTTCCAAAGCAAGCAGCACTTTAAATGGGGTAAGGCAGCAGGCTTTTAAACTAAAGTTAAACTTTTTTTTTTTTTTTTTTTTTTTTTTTTTAGATTAGGCTGGAAAAGGGAGAGGAACGTGTCTCTAAAGAGGACACACCATTTAAAAACATGCGTTTTTTCATCACTTCTTGGCTTTTGACAGTTGCCAACTCAACAGATGTCCTTTCAGGAAGATTTCCCTTTGACGTTCTGATCTGCAACAACTGTAGAATTTAGGAGTGGTTGTAAACCTCAGACATGAAATATGAACAAAGCATATCCCTCTATAGTGTGTACTTGTCTCAATCTGGAGTACTAAGTGTCATTTCTGTCTGCTGCCTTGTTCCTCTGCTATCAGCATGAATCGCTTCAATGGATGTAGGGGACAAACGGCTGTAGATAGCCAGGTACAACTTATCTGGAAGGATTTGTTTCATTTGTGTGTCACCTGAGGCCGGTCACTTCACTGGGTATATATAAGGGTTTACAACCACTTTAAGGTAGTAGTTGCAATTTTTTATGTTGCATAATATTTGCTCAGCTATTTATAAAACACATATTTTCAAGAAAAATATAATAAAATGAATTTTCGTGCAAACAGACTCAATATGATACACATTTTTTTTTGGTAAAATATAAAAGATGAGGTTGCGTTAAGTGGATACCAAACATGTCAAGTCTTAGTGTGCGCCCATGATATTGCAAACAACTATGGTACCCAAAAATCCTCCATAAGCAATGCTTTGAAAGCCACTACAGCTCCTCAGTCTAGAGTTAACTGTGAGCTCTGGTGCTGGAATTATTGCTCTCATGTTTAGGTTCACAGCGATGCCTCCAAGTGTGGAGCAGTTGCGGGTTACATACATATGCGTACCCTGTGTGCACTTTGCATTGTAGGTGAGCGTAGGTCAACAGGAGTTACGTATTAGTTTCTTTTGTTTTTGTTTTGTTTTTTTTTAAAATATATTTTATGATTATTTTTTTAATATACCTTTAGAGCTATCACAACAGGTTAACAAACCCTCATTTGATAGCATTGAGCAGGAGACAGGTCCTCTTTATGGAGACATTGGGGTCTATTAGAGCTCCAATGTCTCCCCTGCCCTCCAGAGCAACTAACCAAGCACAGATTGGTTAGATGCTTCCCTGGCTGTATCAGCCAGGGAGTAACAGCTCTGATACCGGAAGTGATGAAATCATCATTGCTTCCGGCTTAATTCACTGCAAGGGAAATCAAGGAATGGATTGCTCGCCATTCTGAAGCCAGTTATTGTGGTCCAGGTGTGTCGTAAGAGCGGGAGAGCTCAGGAACCACGCTGCCCCCACACTGTAAAAGCCACCTGGATCTTTTCTTACTTTGCAGCCGGGTGCCAGCCATGAGGGACGTGCACACAAGCTGTTGGCTGCCCCTGCAGCAGCTATCGGCTTGTGTTTGACCATTCACTATTGTATGTCTAAAAATCTGAACTGGTTAAAGAGAACAGAGTGGTCTTAATGTCTTGTTCTTTTTTTTTTTTTTTTTTTTCCCCTTTTAAAATGTTTAACAAAGGGCTTGTTCTATGGCTATGTAATCATTCAGTGGCTTACACTTTGCTATCAGTTATGTGAAGAATTCAATTAGTAATTTACTAATTTATTACATCAGCACTTGCATTGCCAGTGAAAATTGTACCCTTTTTTTTTTTTTCTGCACAGCAGTGCATGTTTTTAATGGTTTTATTGTTGTAATAGCTTCTTCCCCTTCACCTTCTGCCCTTTAGGATCTCAGAGCATTGACTCTGCTCCTCTCGGTTCACACTCCAAAACAGATCAACCCAGCCTTAATACCAACTTTACAAGATCTCTTAAGCAAATGTAGAGCCTGCCAGCAGCAAAGAACCTCATTACAAGAGCAAGAATCCAAAGAAGGTAAAACAAAAGGTCAGTAATAAATTGGCTTTTTTCTCTTGGTAGCTGGAGGCTGTCAAGGAGATTTCTGCCTCAGTTGCATGTATTCACTTTCCAGTTTACCAGAGGGAAAAAGTATACATCTCACTCCTAAACTTTTTCTTTTTATATGAATGCTGCTCTTCCAGGTATGAAAATAGAAGTATTCATCAACCAGGCAAACTTGGGAACCAAAAAAACAGTATGCTTAAGTAGTTGAGGACACTGTGTGGGCTACAAACGTCCTAAAAAACTTCTTCAAAGTGTGTAATAAAATAGAATGGTGTCTTGCATGGTGAGAGTGCATACAGGCCATGGCGGTTGAGTACATTACTTATTGTTTTCTTTGAAACAATTGTACCTGCTAATTCCATGTCTTTCTGAAGCTCTCCACAAGTTGTCCTTGGCTCTTTGTCAACTCTAATAATTCTTTTCACTCCTCTGTCAGAAATCTTGCAAGGAGCACCTGGTCGTGGCCAGTTTTTGGTGAAATGATGTTCTTTACACTTCCGGATTATGGCCCCAACAGTGCTCACTGGAATATTCAGAAGTTTAAAAATCATTCTGTAATAAATGCCATGAGTATTTTGTGCAGGGAAAAAAAAAAAGTTGCAAAGGTCTTGAGAGCTCTGTTTACTTTTACCTATCATGAGATGAGGCCATCAGTTGAGATTGAACCAGCTGATATTCATTTGCACTGACAAGGGGCAGGATTGCTTTCTAACTTAACTTAATTTCTGAATGTATTGAGTTTTAGTTTCTTTGTATGTATTTCATGGGTTGTTACTGACATGGTGAAAATTTCATGTCAATAGCAGCTTTAAAAATATATTTACCTAGAAAAATGGTGATGTGTTCAATACTTATTTTACTGTGTGTGTGTGTTTGTGTGTATGAATGAATACATACACACACGCACGCTCTGCTCAAAAAAATTAAAGGAACACTTGGAAAACACATCAGTTCTCAATGGGGAAAAATATGCTGGATATCTATACTGATATGGACTGGGTAATGTGTTAGGAACGTAAGGATGCCTCATTGTTTGATTTTTAGCGTGTCTTGGAATTCACCATCAAACTGAAAAAATGATGCAGCAGGCTAGTCCATTTTGCTGTAATTTCATTGCAGCAACTCAGAATGGTACTCAGAAGTTTGTATGGCCTCCACGTTCTTGTATGCATGCCTGACAACATCGGGGAATGCTCCTAATGAGATGACGGATGGTGTACTGGGGTATTTCCTCCCAGATCTGGACCAGGTCAGCCCTGAGCTCCTGGACAGTCTGTAGTGCAACCTGCGGTGTCGGATGGACCTAAACTTGATATCCCAGAGGTGTTCTATTAGATTTATGTCAGGCGAGCGTGGGGGCCATTCAATGGTATCAATTCCTTCATCCTCCAGGAACTACCTGCCTCACCACATGAGGCCAGGCATTGTCGTGCACCAGGAGGAAACCAGGACCCACTGCACCAGCGTAGGGTCTAACAATGGGTCCAAGGATTTCATGCCGATACCTAATGGCAGCCAGGGTGCCATTGTCTAGCCTGTAAAGGTCTGTGTCCCTCCATGGATATGCCTCCCCAGACCATCACTGACCCACCACTAAAATGGTAATGAAGAACGATGTTATAGGCAGCATAACGTTCTCCACAGCTTCTCCAGACCTTTTCACGTCTGTCACATGTGCTCAGGGTGAACCTGCTCTCATCTGTGAAAAGCACACGGCGCCAGTAGCCGACCTGCCAATTCTGGTATTCAATGGCAAATGCCAATCGAGCTCTATGGTGTCGGCAGCGAGCACAGGGCCCACTAGAGGACGTCAGGCCCTCAGGCCACTCGCATGAAGTCTGTTTCTCCATGCTTGGTCAGACATTCACACCAGTGGCTTTCTGGAGGTTAATTTGTAGGGCTCTGGCAGTGCTCATCCTGTTCCTCCTTGCACAAAGGAGCAGATACCGGTCTTGCTGATGGGTTAAGGACCTTCTAAGGCCCTGTCTAGCTCTCCTAGAGTAACTGCCTGTTTCCTGGAATCTCCTCCATGCTCTTGAGACTGTGCTGGGAGACACAGCAAACCTGGCAATGGCACACATTGATGTGCCATCCTGGAGGAGTTGGACTGCCTGTGCAACCTCTGTAGGGTCCAGGTATCGCCTCATGCGACAAGTAGTGACACTGGCCCTAGCCAAATGCAAAACTAGTGAAAAATGGTCAGCAAAGATGAGTAGGGAAAAAAATGTCAGTGCCTCCACCTGTAAAATCATTCCTGTTTTTGGGGTTGTCTCTAGTGCACCTGTTGTTAATTTCATTAACACCAAAGCAGCTGAAACTGATTAACAGCCCCCTCTGCTACTTAACTGACCAGATTAATATCTCAGGAGTTTAATTGACTTGATGCTATACTCTGATTAAAAAGTGTTCCTTTAATTTTTTGAGCTCTGTGTGTGTGTACAGTATCTCACAGAAGTGAGTACACCCCTTACATTTTTGTAAATATTTTTTATTATATCTTTTCATGTGACTACATTGTAGCAAAGTGTCATTTCTTCAGTGTTGAGTAGTGAGTGTACAGCTTGTATAACAGTATAAATTTGCTGTCCCCTCAAAATAATTCAACACACAGCCATTAATGTGTAAACCACTGGAAAACAAAAGTGAGTACACCCCTAGTTGAAAATGTCCAAAATGGGACCAAAGTGTCAATATTTTGTGTGGCCACCATTATTTTCCAGCACTGCCTTAACCCTCTTGGGCAGAGCTTCACAGGTTGCCACTGGAATCCTCTTCCACTCCTCCATGACGACATCACGGAGCTGGTGGATGTTAGAGACTTTGCGCTCCTCCACCTTCCATTAGAGGATGTCCCACAGATGCTCGATAGGGTTTAGGTCTGGAGACATGCTTGGCCAGTCCGTCACCTTTACCCTCAGCTTCTTTAACAAGGTAGCGGTCGTCTTCAAGGTGTGTTTGGGGTCGTTATCATGTTGGAATACTGCCCTGCGGCCCAGTCTCTGAAGTGAGGGGATCATGCTTCAGTATGTCATATTACATGTTGGCATTCATGGCTCCCTCAATGAACTGTAGCTCCCCAGTGCGGCAGCACTCATGCAGCCTCAGACCATGACACTCCCACCAACATGCTTGACTGTAGGCAAGACACACTTGTCTTTGTACACCTCACCTGGTTGCTGCCACACACGCTTGACACCATCTGAACCAAATAAGTTTATCTTGGCCTCATCAGACCACAGGGCATGGTTCCAGTAATCCATGTCCTTAGTCTGCTTGTCTTCAGCAAACTGTTTGTGGGCTTTCTTGTGCATCATCTTTAGAAGAGGGTTCCTTCTGGAATGACAGCCATGCAGACCAATTTGATGCAGTGTGCAGCGTATGGTCTGAGCACTGACAGGCTGACCCCCCACCCCTTCAACCTCTGCAGCAATACTGGCAGCACTCAAACGTCTATTTCCCAAAGACGACCTCTGGATATGACACTGAGCACATGCACTCAACTTCTTTAGTTGACCATGGCGAGGCCTGTTCTCAGTGGAACCTCCTGTGTCCTGTTAAACCGCTGTATGGCCTGGGCCACCATGCTGCAGCTCAGTTTCAGGGTCTTTGCACTCTTCTTATAGCCTGGGACATCTTTATGTAGAGCAACAATTCTTTTTTTCAGATCCTCAGAGAGTTCTTTGCCATGAGGTGCCATGTTGAACTTACAGTGACCAGTATGAGAGAGTGAGAGCGATAACACCAAATTTAACACACCTGCTCCCCATTCACACCTGAGACCTTGTACCGCTAACGAGTCACATGACAGCTGGGAGGGAAAATGGCTATTAGGGCCCAATTTTGACATTTTCACGTAGGGTTGTATTCACTTTTGTTGCCAGTGGTTTAGACGTTATTGGCTGTGTGTTTATTTTGAGGGGACAGCAAATTTACACTGTTACACAAGCTGTACACTCACTACTTCACATTGTAGCAAAGTGTCATTTCTCCAGTGTTGTCACATGAAAAGATATAATAAAATATTTACAAAAATATGAGGGGTGGACTCACTTCTGTGAGATATATATGTGTGTGTGTGTGTGTGTGTGTGTGTGTAACAATGTGCGCCATCAAACTAGTGAATAAGCTAATAAAAAATAGCTGCTGCAAAAACACTTAAAAGGTGATCCCACACTTAAAACATACATAGTTAGTGTTGCGCTAACTCACATAAACATAATAGTCCATAAACAGATTCAAACGCGATAGTTCCATCAAAATATGAAAATATAAATGTACATATAAAGTGCTTGAATGGTGAAAATCAAATAATGTGCTTGAATAGTGAAGAATCACTATGATGTGCTCCAGATAAATAAAGTCTATTTGAAAAACACAGTGCTGCACTTTAACTCAGTGTTTCTCCACCTAAAAATATATATGGATGGCCGCTCACCTACTACCGTGGACCCATAAATTAATACAGTTCATCCAAGCATGGTAATAGCAGAGAGCTGATGACAGGCACCCCTTCAATGACAGTATAAACGGGACTCTTCTAAGCTTAACTCCACATATAGAAAGAACAGAGGACATCTCCCATAGTGTAATACTGTTTTAATTCCACGTAAAATAATTCCAGAGTGTCACTCACATGATAGAGGCAGTAACATAGCGATTTGCAATTCAAAACTGAATCTGTTTATGGGCTATTATGTTTATATGAGTTAGCGCAACACTATGTATTAATATAGATATATATGTTAAGTCCGTATATATTTGGACACAGGCACAATTTTTGATTTTGTTCAGGTATTTACCAAAACATATTCAAACTGATAGTTATATAATGGATATGGACTGAATGTGCAAACTCTCAGGTTTAATTTGAGGGTATGTACATCTAAATTGGAGGAAAGGTTTAGGAATTACAGCTCTTAAAAGTAGCCATCCCCCCTTTTTTTCAAGGGACCAAAAGTAATTGGACAATTGCATCAAAAACTGTTTCATGGCCAGGTGTGGGCTACTCCATTATTTCTTTATCAGTTAAGCAGGTAAAAGGTCTGGAGTTGATTCTAAGTGTGGTATTTGTAATTGGAATCTATTGCTGTTAACCTACATCATGCGTTCAAAGGAGCTGTCCATGCAAGTGAAACAGGCCATTGTAAGGCTTCAAAAACAAAACAAATCCATCAGAGAGATAGCAGCAACATTAGGAGTGGCCAAATCAACAGTTTGGTACATTCTGAGGAAAGAACGCAATGGTGAACTCTGCAACATAAAAAAGGCATGGACGTCCACGGAAGACAACAGTGGTGGTTGATCGCAGGATCCTCTCTATGATAAAGAAAAACCCATTCACAACATCCAGACAAGTGAAGGACACTGTCCAGTAGGTGGGCATATCGTTGTCAAAGTCTGCAATCAACAGAAGACTTCACGAGAGCAAATACAGAGGGTTCACCACAAGGTGCAAACCATTCATAAGTCTGAAGAATAGAAAAGCCAGATTCGACTTTGCCAGTTCTGGAAAAGCATTCTTTGGACGGATGAAACTAAGATTAATCTGTACCAGAATGACGGGAAGAAAAATGTGTGGAGAAGGCTTGGAACAGCTCATGAGCCAAAGCACACAAAGTCATCTGTAAAACATAGCGGAGGCAGGGTGATGACATGGGCATGCATGGCTTCCAGTGGCACTGGATCAATGGTGTTTATTGATGATGTGACAGAAGCAGCCGGATGAATTCTGCAATGTTTATAGATACACTGTCACCCCAGATTCATCCAAATGCAGCAAAGTTGATTGGATGGTGCTTCGCAGTACAGATGGACAATGATCCAAAATACACTGCAAAAACAACCCAGGAGCTTTTGAAGGAAAAGAAGTGGAATATTCTGCAATGGCCGAGTCAGTCACCTGATCTCAACCCAATTGAGCATGCATTTCACTTGCTGAAGGCAGAACTAAAGGCAGAAAGACCCACAAACAAAGAAAAACTGAAGACCGCTGCATTTAAAGCCTGGAAAAGCATCAGAATGGAGGAAACCCAGTCTAGTAATGTCCATGGGTTCCAGACTTCAGGCAGTCATTGCCAGTAAAGGATTCTCAAATAATATTAAAAATGAACATTTTATTTATGATTATATTCAATTGTCCTATTACTTTTGGTCCCTTGCAAAAGGGGGGATGGCTATTCTTAAGAGTTTGGATGTACATACCCTCAAATTAAACGTAGGAGTGTGCACTTTCAGGCCATATCCATTATATTACCTATAGCTTGATTTTGGTAAATACCTGAAAAAAACTAAAATTGTGCCTGTGTCCAAATATATATGGACCTGTGTGTGTTATATATATATATATATATATATATATATATATATATATATATATATATATATATATATATATACACATACATACATACATACATACATACACACACACACACACACACACACACACACACACACACACACACACATACATACGCACACACATTCAAAAGTTTGCATACCCTCTGAGAATTAGTAATATACAGTTTGTACCATTTTTCAAAGAAAACATGATTGAGCAGGCATAACACATTACTTTTATTTCTTATGGGAATCCTATTTAATTGTGTGTCATAAAAGAATGGCACATTCATAACACGAAACATGGCAACAAGTAAACCAATGAAATGACCCCTGTACAAAATGTTCAAAAGTCTGCATACAGTTAGTTCTTGATACTGTGTATTGCCCCTTTTAGCATCAATGACAGTGTGCAGTCTTTTGTAATAGTAGTCTACGAGGCCCCAAATTCTTGCAGCTGGTATAGCTGCCCATTCGTCTTGGCAAAATGCCTCTAGGTCATGCAAAGTCTTTGGTCGTCTTGCATGAACTGCACGTTTGATCTCCCCAGAGTGGCTTGATGATATTAAGATCAGGAGACGGTGGCCACTCCAGAACCTTCACCTTCTGCTGCTGTAGGGTCAGCTGGGAGGGTCAGTTTGTGCTTGTTGTGCAATGCAAAATGCCAGTATTTTCTGATAACATGCTGCATTCATCTTGCCATCAATTTTCTCAAGATTCCCTATGCATTCGGAGCTCACACACCCCCAAAAACATTGAGCCACCATCATGTAGGGATGGTATTCTTGTCGCTATAGACTTGTTGAGCCCTCTCTAAATATAGCACATATGGTTGTGTCCATAAAGCTTTATTTTAGTCTCATTACTCTAAATTAGTGTGCCAGAAGATGTGAGGCATGTCAAGGTGTTGTCGGGCATATTGTAACTGGCCATTTTTACGGCATTGACTTCTTTTTGACAACTCGACCATGCAGCTCATTTTTGTTTAAGTTTCGTCGTATTGTGCTCCTTAAAACAACCACACCGTCTTTTACCAGAGCAGTCTGTATTTCTCCTGAGGTTACCTGTGGGTTTTTCTTTGTATCCCGAACAATTTGTCTGGCAGTTGTGGCTGCAATCTTTCTTGGTCCACCTGACCTTGGCTTGGTATCAAGAGTCCCCATATTTTCCACTTATTAGTGATACAACACTACTAACTGGCATGTTCAAGTCTTTAGATATCATCTTTTTATTTCCTTTTCCATCTTTATAAAGTTCCATTATTTTATTGCACAGTTCGTTTGACAGTTCTTTTCTGCTCCTAATAGCTCTCTATCTTGCCTGCTCAATGCATCATCATGAGAGCTAACAAACTCATTGACAATTTCTACATTGACACGAATTGCAATTTAAAAAGACACAGATGTGGAAAATTAACCCTTAATTGCCATTTTAACCCGTGTGTGTCACCTTGTGTGTCTGTGCCAAGGCCAAACATTCCAGGGTATGTAAACTTTTGATCATGGCCATTTGCCTACTTTTAAATTATAACAACAGAAATCACCCAAACAACTGTGTGATAATAAATGGCTTCATATAATCACTGTCCTTCAATAAGCGGTTTTTTTTTTTGGCATGATCAGTCATATTTTCAATATTAATGTCATAATTTCACAATTTCTGCCAGGGTATGCAAACTTTTGAGCACAAGTGTGTGTGTGTGTGTGTGTGTGTGTGTGTGTGTGTGTCTACCTATCTATCTTTCATTTTACATTTTGTCATCATGCAGAAATGTAAAAATTGCAATTAATACAGTTTAATGATTACAAAATCTAAATTCAGCTAATGTACCTGTGTTTCACTTTGTATCAGCCGCTTGCAATGCCCTGTACAGTAAAATTCAGATTGGGAGATGGAGGGGCCACACTAGGAGTCAATCAGATTTGCTGAATGCTCATGTGCGAACAAGAAACATGCTAAATTGAGAAGTGATCAGAGGAATGACTGCATCTGTCTACCGCTTCTATATTGTTCAGTCACATGATGGGGGCAGGGAGATAACCATGCTGTGCTGCTTAAAGGGGAACTATACTCACCTCGGCTCCAGCAAATGCAGCATTCCAGAAGTCCCCATCTGGCTTCTGACATCTTCAGGCGACCAGCTTCCGGGTCTTGATTGCAGGTCGCTTTCATTGGCCAGACGGGGATAGCATCACTCCTGCGCATGTGTGGGAGTTTAGTCAGAATCGGCATTGCAGAATTTGTACCGCAAAGGATGGACAAACAGGAAGGTAACTTTAATGCAAAAGTGACAGATCATGTCTCTTCTGCATTAATATTCCTGTCTGTTTGCCTTTTATATTAGCCCTAAAGTTCCACTTTAACTGTAGCATAGAAATGTCAGTTTACCAACTTGACTCTCCTAGCAGAGCTGTGTACATCTGAGGAACAGATGGACAGAAATACAAAAATGAATAGACATATAAAAGCATATGTTTTCAGCTTTGCACGTGTATCTGTCTGACCTCAGAGCAGGAAAGACATCCTGGGTCTAAGTGTTGACCTGATGCTGTCCTGGCCACAGTCAGCCAGGCTTTGACAGCCGTGAACCCAAAAGCGTTCAGAGCAGAGCACTTACAAGGTCAATGCCCTATAGCATATTGGTGTCAATGTTTTTCATATACTTGATAGGAAATTGATAAGTGACTGTTCCACCCCTTTGAAGACATTAGATGTTTATGTTTATCTTCTTAGATGATGAAGGTGCTACTCCAGTAAAACGGCGACGAGTTAGCAGCGATGAAGAACACATGGTTGATAGCTGTATGACTGATCTGAAAACGGAGCGCGAAGCATCTACTCCCACAAGCACATCTGACAATGAGACAAGAGACTCTTCAATTATTGATCCAGGAACAGAGCAAGATCCACCTTCACCATCACCACTGTCTGCTAAAGAATACAGAATAGAAGTGCCGTCATCTCTCCCAGAAGACATACTGCCTGCAAGGCCACAGCCAACAGATGAGCAGCCTGGCTGCAGCATGAAGTTCGAAGAGAGCAAAGAAGTGGAAGAGCTCCAGAGCCCAAAGGAGACAAATGTAACAGAAGAGGACAGCGAGCTCCCTTCCACTTCCATTTCTGCAGTACTAGCTGACTTGGCAGACTTGAGGAGCTGTGATGGACAGCCATCTCCCACGCAGGACAGTCAGGAGCTCAGCCTGTCACTTAACTGCGAGCATTCCAGGGGACTTTTTAGTCATGTACAACAAAATGACATTTTAGATACCCTGTGCAGGACCATCGAGTCCACCATTCTTGTGGTCTCAAGGATATCAGGAAAAGAAAACAAAGCTGCTTCTTGACATTAGTTGTAGCACGTCTGCTTTTAAGTCTTTTTTTTTTTTTATTTTATTTTATTTTTTTTTTTCTTTTTTTTTATTTTTAAAGCTGTTTGTATACAAGTTTTGCAGTTCCTTTTCTTTGTTTTTGTTTCGATTTTGTGCTTCGGTTTGTCAAGTGCTTTCTGCTTGAATGGCAAGCTAGATTTATATGCTTCATTCTTGTTCAGGCAGAAGTCAAGAAACAAAAGTTGCATCTGCAATTCACTTTGTTAAGGCCAATCATAATGGTTATGTTTTATGTAATTCAGGTTCGCTGTAGTGGCAATTCATTTAAATGGCCGCTTGGAATAATAGGGGTGCATTACCCCTCCTTGCCCAATATATTGTAATTTAAACTTGTCATTTTTACCGTGTATAATATGGTGTCCTCTGTGCCAGTTTTGTACCTTATAATGAGGCAGTTGCCTCAATTCGCTGTGGTTCTTATTATCAAAATTAAGTTTACTTGTACTAAACCACAAGAAATTTGATTCTGTAAAGAATCCTCTCTAGCTGTGGCCTGGCAGTATATATGGTGCTTTATTTAACAGAATACCTGTGGAGGAAATAAAGCACACTTGATGTAAAAAAGAAAAAGACAAAAAAAGTAATTGTTTTATTTTATTGACATGATTGATCGCTATTCTGTGCACTTCATTAAACTAATTGTGACAACTTTTCATTTTTGTGTATATTGGCCTCCTTTTGGAATTTTTTTGTAGACACACCACATTATACTGACCTCTTACCTTAAGGTTTTATTCCGCATGTCTTTGTTTCCCAGTATGTTTTAAGGATGAAGCAGACACAAGAAACACGAGCCCTACCCTGTCCAGGTTGTCCGAGAATCTTTGTGGAAGCAAAGGAAAAAAATGTGCACGTTTGTTTTAAAGAAAAAAAAAATTTTTTTAATTATGTATGTGTGTGTGTGTGTATGTATGTATATATATATATATATATATATATATATATATATATATATATATATATTATTTTAAAAGAATTGAAGACTTTAGTGAACACTGTTACAAAACGACCTTTTTTAAATCTGTTCTGCCAGTACATCCTGAAGAATATAAATATATTTAAAAACAAAATCTTGTTCTATGACTCGTTTTGAGTCCACAAAATATAGTCTTGTTTTATAACATGGTTGCTATAAGATTTTTTTTTTTTTTTTTTTTTTGTAAATGATTTTGCTAGATTTTTCCATAAATTGACACATTTTAGGTATATTTAGTTAAAAGATCTGCAGGAAGGAGTAATCTTGTTAAGCAACCCAGCAGGTTCTTTGTTTTATCTCCCAGATTGAATCTAATTTGTTGCTACTGACAAGTAGTGGGTGATAAATGAAGATTAAGTGGAGCAAATTACATTTTTCCTTCAGGTGTTTCCCAGACCTGCCCACATTTAGAGCTCTTTCAGCTGAGTGGTGAATTGTCTTAGAGGAACCCCTCTGCTGTCCCTTTTCCCTTGCCCTAGCTCCATCTTCATTCATTTCTATGGAGCTGTCATTTTATACACAACCTAGTTGAGCACAGGCATAGAAAACGCCAAGCAGAACATGCATGGGACTCTGCATATCAGTTTCCATTTTTGTGCTTGAATGAGAATTGAATTCATTGATGGGATGAAAGGATTTTTTTTGCTGGTGCCCAGATGCAGAGGAGAGGCAGAGCGTGGACTTTCTTCAAAATGTAGCACAGAGCTCATCCAGACAAATCCTAGAGCTAAATTCAGATTTGTTTCTCCCGTTAGTGGTTTTGTAGTCAATAATGCTTCATACTTGACCGAGTCAGAGCATTTTATACAGCTGCCATACACACAAACCATGCTGCTTATCAGATCACTGGAATGTTTACAATTCTTAAAATTATTACTGGCAGTAAAAATCGTCATCTCACAACCAACAGCCCTAACACACTTCTTGCTTACTTTGTGTAGTAATAGTTTTAAATTGCTACCTTATGAAAATAACTGAAACACATGCACTGAGGATAGTGTCACTGAAGTTATTTTTTTTGAGAATCATTTCAATAAAATTGCAGATTTTTCATTGTCATTCATGAGGAATTGTGTGAATAAACAATTTGATCTCATCACACATACTGCGTTTTTGACATTAGAACCTCAATTCTGACAGGAATACAGGTGGAACACCAGCAGAAAACGTTTTGCCCTCAGCAGGGAATAGTGATTTTCAACATGTCTGAGGCTAAAAGCCTTTAACCCTTTCACTGCCAGAAATGTTTTTACACATTAAAAAAAAAACAATGTATCATTTTAGGTCTGAGTTAGTTAAACCCCTAAACAGTATACAGTTGTGTTCAAAATAATAGTGTGTTGAAAAAAGTGAATAAAGCTCAAAACCCTTCTAATAGCTTTTATTTCCATACACACAAATGCATTGGGAACACTACACATTCTATTCCAAATCAAAACATGAAGAAAAATATATCAAATTTGTGTTGTTCCTCTAAAAAAAAAAAAGTGAAGAAAAGTGAATATTAGACTGTTCAAAAAAATAGCAGTGTTTTGTATTCTTCTTTACAAACCCAAACATTCACTATATAAACTGAAAAATGTTTGAAGATTTTGCTTTCCTTTCAATCACTTAATGAATATTTAGTTGTTTCTGAGAACTGCTGTACATCTGTGTTGCATGGAGTCAACCAACTTCTGGCACCTGTGAACAGGTATTCCAACCCAGGATGATTGGACTACATTCAACAGTTCTTCTCTATTTCTTGGTTTTGCCTCAAAAACTGCATTTTTTATGTCACCCCACAAGTTTTCTATTGGATTAGGATCCGGGGATTGGGCTGGCCACTCCATAACGTCAATCTTGTTGGTCTGGAACCAAGATGTTGCACGTTTACTGGTGTGTTTGGGGTCGTTGTCTTGTTGGAACACCCATTTCAAGGGCATTTCCTCTTCAGCATAAGGCAGTATGACCTCTTCAAGTATTCTGATGTATTCATACTGATCCATGATCCCTGGTATGCGATAAATAGGCCCAACACCGTAGTATGAGAAACATCCCCATATCATGATGCTTGCTCAACCATACTTCACTGTCTTCACAGTGTACTGTGGCTTGAATTCAGTGTTGGGGGGTCGTCTGACAAACTGTCTCCGGCCACTAGACCCAAAAAGAACAATCTTACTTTCATCAGTCCACAAAATGTTGCGCCATTTCTCTTTAGGCCAGTCAATGTGCTCTTTGGCAAATTGTAACCTCTTCAGCACATCTTTTTTTCAACAGTGGGACTTTGCGGGGGCTTCTTGCAGATATCTTGGCTTCACATAGGCGTCTTCTAATTGTAACAGTACTCACAGGGAACTTTAGACCTTCTTTAAACTTCCTGGAGCTGATTGTTGGCTGAGTCCTTGCCATTTTGGCTATTCTTCTATCCAATCGAATGGTAGTTTTTTCGCTTTCTTCCACGTCTTTCAGGTTTTGGTTGCCATTTTAAAGCATTTGCGATCATTTTAGCTGAGCATTCTGCACTTCTTTATATGTTTTCCCCTCTCCAATCAACTTTTTAATCAAGGTACGCTGTTCTTCTGAACAATGTCTGGAACGACCCATTTTCCTCAGAATTTCAGAGAGAAATGCACCGTAACCAGCATGTACACGATTTGCTGCCTTCCTTCCTTAAATAAGGGCAATAATTGCCACCTGTTTTTCAAAGAATGAATGACCTCACTAATAGAACTCCACACTGCTATTATTTTGAACATGCCCCTTTCAATTAGTGATTCAATTACACAGAATCAGCAGCGTGCATGTCATGACTGTTGGGTCTGTTGGACTTCTATTACTCTACTACACCTGCTAGTAAATTATTTGCCATGTAAAAATATAATTTCTACCAAAAACAGTGACTGATCAGGTTAGTGATGTCTGACTGCTATTATTTTGAACACAACTGTACATCTGAATTGGCACAACCTCTGTAAAACTCTGGGATTCGTATCTGGACTACACACTGCGTGGATTGCCTGGCACTGGATCCTGCATGGTCCTCACCTTGGCACTGAGTGAAATGTGTGTAGTCAGCAGCAGTCCCTTTGTGGATATGCCCACCGTCACAATCGAAACCTAGACTTTCAAAACAGTCTAACGTCATGGACAGGTAAGACAAGGTAACCTTGTATCTCTGACCTTTAAGGGAAAAGCAGGGGCTATGCTTACACTCTAAAGGGACTACAACCCAAACATTTCAAACTTGGTCCTAAAATTCAACCACTCTCAGGTGGATGACCAGGTGTTGCATCACACCACTGGTTGCACACTTTATCAACATTTTTTTTGCCTAGAGCCCTTAAAAGGCACTTTCTTTTGCCCTTTCACCACAAGACAGTCTACACATTTCCAGTCATGCTTACCCTATATTTCAAACCCTACTCCATGGGTTAGCCCACAGGAGAATACCCTCACCCATCGCTATGGCAGAAGCCAGCTGAAAGGGAGTCGCAGCAAAATTTCAGAGAAACTTTCACTCTGCCGAAGTTCAGCACAACACTCAACCTCAGAGTGACAATGCTTCCCTTGCATTGGAGTAGGACCAAATATCAACACCAGTCTCTGTTGCAAGCTTGAATGGTTCCACCAGAGCTTGAACAAGCCCCTACCTGACAAAAGCATAGTTTTCTGCATCTATGTCACAATTCCTCAATCAACTATTGGCTTTAATACAACCATCTCTGTCTTTGGAGCTTGAGAAGGGGCTGAGCATTTTGCAAAGTCTCTGAATCAGATCCCAATATGCCCAACCCACTGGAGGTGAACAAAGGAAGGAATAAAGAGGACACAGAGGCAGTGTTAGAGAAGGCTGCAAAGGATTTCTCAGCCCCACAGTACTTTACACCTGAAGTTGCAGCTTCACCTAACATGCTTGCTAATGTGCATATACTCAAGCTCTATAGTCTCAGCATTGTTGCACTTGATTCTTCTAAGTCTTGAAATGCCCCTTTGT